ATTTGCGGTGGGGAGAAAATGGATACAGAGCTGTGTTTCTCCCTCTCTTGTAATAATGCTACAAATCACAGACATTAAATGAAACTGAATGTCGGAAGACTCCAAACAGATGAAATAAATTACCCATTCACAAAATGCCTAAACTATAGAATTTGCTCCCACAAAAGGTTTTCGCGGCCACCAACAGGGATGGCTTAAAAAGAATTTTAGACAAGTTCATGGAGAATAAGGCTACTAACCGCAATGGTTATGTTTTCACAAGCGTGAGGAGCGCTGTTGGGCTCTGGACTATCTTGTTGGCTTCCCGTAGGTATTGGGTTTGTATTTGGTTTGCTACGCTGAGAACAGGATGCTGAACTTCCTGGGTCTTTGCTCCAGCAGGGCTCTTCTTGCATTCATATATCACATACAGGTGAGGCACCGAGATGCCTTGTGACATCTTGGACAATAAAACAAGTCGCTCTTTTGGGCTGCAGCATCTTTAAACACACTCAGCCTGAATCTGTGGATGATGATCTCCTGCAGCTCCCTCCATAACCACATGTAATTTGGAGGTTGCCTTGTGTTACAGCACTGCCTGCTGGTTGTAGGAGAGCCTCCCACAATTTGATCTAATGATTCACAGCCACAAGGGACAAAAAAATTAAATTTTCCATCCCTGATTGTAGCAGGCCGACAACACTCCCAATTGCAGTTCCTGACTCAGTTAAAGGAGCAGAACTGAGATATGAAATCTTCTGCCCCCCACCCTGTAAGCTTGGACACTGAGTTCGAATTCCACAGACTTTGCATATAAAGAGGTTCTCCCCTCACTGTGCATTGCCTTAGCTCACCAAGTCAAATAAGAATGGTTTCTTCCTTTTGTGCATTTCTCTCTTTTCTCCTTCTCCTTTCCCTTCTCTTCATCACCATGGACTGTATCCAATGCTCTCTGTCCATCTTGAGTGAGCTGATGAGTGAGTTTTAATATTGTGCCACAGAGGAATTCAAGAAAACTTTTGTCTGACAGGTTGCAAAATCTCCTGTGCAAAAAAATAAAATCACCAGCTACCTGCTTGTGCATCTTATTATTATTTATTATTTCATTAAATTTATACACCGCTTGATGGTTAAAAAAACAAAAACCACCTCAAAGCGGTTTACAAAAAGATAAAACCACAAAATCAAGAAGAAGGAAAATACAACCATACTTTAACTCATACAATAGTTAAAATACTAAAGGAGATTAAAATTACCTCAACTTTACAAGCGTCTCTGTAGGCTTGTCTAAGCAAGAATGTCCTTAGCAGGTGCTGAAAAGAGTGCTTGATGCCAATAGGCAACAAATATTTTACTAGCAGAGCAACTATGCCACTAAGTGACTAAAACTTAGCACTACAGTGGATATAACCCTGTTACTAGGAAATAAAAGTTAAATAAGGACATTGGCTGGGATGCATTTTCTGGGGTAGGTGGGTATTCACTGAGTTGTAGGGCTGGAAGGGATCCTAAGGGTCATCTAGTCCAGCCCCCTGCAATGCAGGAATCACAGCTAAAGAATCCCTGACAGATGGCCCTCCAACCTCTCCTTAAAAACTTCCTATGAAGGAGAATTGGCCACCTTCACCTTTCACTGTCCAACAATACCTACCATCAGGAAGATATTCCTAATGTTTGGCACTGTGGTCTAAACCACTGAGCCTCTTGGGCTTGCCGATCAGAAGGTTGGCGGTTTGAATCCCCACGACGGGGGGAGCTCCCATTGTTCTGTCCCAGCTCCTGCCGACCTAGCAGTTCAAAAGCACGCCAGTGCAAGTAGATAAATAGGTACCACTGCGGCAGGAAGGTGAACGGCATTTCTGTGTGCTCTGGCTTCTGTCACAGTGTCCCACTGCACCAGAAGCGGTTTAGTCGTGCTGGCCACATGACCCGAAAAGCTGTTTGTGGACAAATGCCAGTTCCCTCGGCCTGAAAGTGAGATGAGCACCGCAACCCCATAGTCGCCTTTGACTGGACTTAACCGTCCAGGGGTCCTTTACCTTTTACCTTACTGTCATTTGAATTAATTGGTTCGAGTCCCACCCTCTGGAGCAGGAGAAAGCAAGTGTGCTCCATCTTCCATGTGGCAACACTTCAGACATTCGAAAATAGCTCTCATGTCAACTCTCAGTCCTCCTCTTCTCCAGGTTGAACATACCCAACTCCCTCAACTGTTCTTCATGAGGCTTAGTTGCCAGACCCTTTATCATATTTGTTGCCCTCCTCTGCACAGAACAGGACACAGTACTCCAGGTGTGATCTGACCATGGCAGAATAGAGTGGTATTATTACTTCCCTTGATTTGGACACTACTTTTGTTGATGCAGCCTAGAATTGCATTGAATTGATTCGTGTTTAGCTTGTGGTCTACTCTGACACCTAGATCTTTTTTTACATAGACTGCTGTCAAGCCAGGTGTCCCCCACCTCATATTTGTGCAGCTGGTTCTTCCTGCCTAAGTGCAAAACCTGTCATTTGGCCCTACTGAAATTCATTTTTGGACCCAGTTCTCCAACCTGTTAAGGTCCTCTTGAATCCTGATTTCGTTCGGTGACATATTAGCTACCCCTCCCAGTTTGTAGAGGGACCGATAAATTACCGTATTTTTTGCTCTATAAGACTCACTTTTTCCCTCGTAAAAAGTAAGGGGAAATGTGTGTGCGTCTTATGGAGCGAATGTGGGCTGCGCGGCTATCACAGAAGCCAGAACAGCAAAGAGGGATTGCTGCTTTCACTGCGCAGCAATCCCTCTTGCTGTTCTGGCTTCTGAGATTCAGAATATTTTTTTTCTTGTTTTCCTCCTCCAAAATCTAGGTGTGCCTTGTGGTCTGGTGCGTCATAGAGCGAAAAATATAGTAAGTAGAGCTTAATTTTCTGAGAGAGGTGGCGAGACCTTCTTAGGAAAGGCTACCAGGCTGTTCGGTATGATTCCAAAAGGAAGGAAAACACAAGCTAACTAGACGCTTCCTCTTTGCATAATCAGGAACATCGATGTGCAGACGCGACACCGGAGATGCGCAGCCTGGTTACTGTGAGCCAGGTGTTTCGAAACAGCAGGACGGTGTGTTCTGAAACTGAAAACCCGAACGTCTACTTACCGGTGCAGAACAAAGTGAACAAGGCGTCAAGATATCCTTGACAGGGTGGGGGTGGGGCTACATGTACAGGGACACGGGGTTTATTTGCCGAGTTTTCGTTAGCCAAGCGAACAGGAGCTTCGGTGTATGTGTGGGTGGGTGTTCCAAGCCAAAATGCTCGAGTTACCTTAGTACAACCTTCACCGCTTGAGCTGAAAATGCAGAACAACCTGCATTTGCAACTGATGACACCCTCCTCTCTGGTCAGCTGTTGAAGGAAGGTGCGGCAAGGAGATAAACAGCTCACGGAATCTCAGGGGGCTTTGGGAACACAAAGCGCTGACCTTTGAAGCTGCTTATAGTCTGCGCCTGCAGCGTTCAAGAGAACCTCAACACTTTTAAAGATCAGGAAATCTTCCCATCAGCTCTTAGGCTGGTAGCCACCAATGAAAAATCATGCTCTGCAATGGTCCCAGGGCCTGAAGGATGACAGCTGGCCCCTTTGAAATGGGCGCCTCATAGGGACATCGGAAGCTGTCTTACACCAAGTTGGTGCATCAAGCTCAGTAATGTCAGCATTGACTGGCAGGGTTTTAGGCAGCTACGGCAAAGAGAGTCCATTTATAAAATACAGTGGTACCTCGGATTACATACGCTTCAGGTTACAGACTCCACTAACCCAGAAATAGTACCTCGGGTTAAGAACTTTGCTTCAGGATGAGAACAGAAATCGTGCTCCGGTGGCGCGGCAGCAGCAGGAGGCCCCATTAGCTAAAGTGGTACCTCAGATTAAGAACAGTTTCAGCTTAAGAACGGACCTCCAGAACGAATTAAGTTCTTAACCTGAGGTACCATTGTACAGCTTCTCCTACCAAATGGGCTTCTTCCTCGAAGGCCAACAAAGCTCTCAACTGACCGCCCCATCATTAGCCACCCATAAAAGTGTTCATATTACGTGGACAGAACGTCCAAAGCTACTGTATTTTAAAGAGCAAAGAAACTGGGAATAGGAAAAGAGCCAAAGCAACCCAAATAGTAATAATAACTGTGCAAATGCAGCACTTGACAAGAAGAGTTCAGCTGCTGCTCATTCTAGAATCACAGAGCTGTAGAGCTGTAAGGGAACCCAAGAGTCATCTAGCTCAACCGCCAGCAATGCAGGAATCACAGCTTATCACACTGCACACTTCTGTGATACAGTTTTTGTTTTCATCTTGTTTTCGGAACTTTTACTGGATAATAAATGTTGTATTATCATTGTTTTTCAGAGTAAACTGCTTAGAGATCTTTACGTTATTAAGCAGTAAAGTCGTACCTTGGATCTCAAACACCTTGGCTCCCAAACAAACAAATCGGCTCCCAAATGATTGAAACCCAGAAGTGAGTGTTCCAGTTTCAGAACGATTTTCAGAAACCGAACATCCAGCATGGCTTACGCAGCTTCTGGTTGGATGCAGGACACTCCTGCAGCCAATCGGAAGCCTCGCCTTGTTTTTTAACAATTCCGGGAGTTGAACGGACTCCTAGAATGCATTCTGTTCAAGAACCAAGGTACGACTGTATAAAGCAGGGGTCAGCAAACTTTTTCAGCAGGGGGCCGGTCCACTGTCCCTCAGACCTTGGGGGGGGCGGACTATATTGGGGGGGGATGAATGAATTCCTATGTGCAACAATAACCCAGAGATGCATTTTAAATAAAAGCACACATTCTACTCATGTAAAAATACGCTGATTCCTGGACTGTCTGCGGCCAGATTTAGAAGGCGATTGGGCCGGATCCAGCCCCCGGGCCTTAGTTTGCCTACCCACGGTATAAAGTTTTGGGTAAGTACAGAGTAAGCCCACTTACTCTGGAGTGCGTGAACCTCCCTTAAAAGAGAAAAAAAAACCTCTGGACTGCGAAGTAGCACAGATGTTGACTTTTTTTATTTACATTTAAAAGTATTCACTTGCTGTACAGCGTCGTCTCCTTGTATGGCACCGGGTTGACTTTTTTAAAAAAATAAGGAGAAATAAAACGAAGCAAGGCCGAGGACGTGTCGACTGATCTGTGTGGGAAGCAGGCACCAACAACATGACGCCCCTTTCCGAGGCGTTTGGTTAAGCAGCTGTATTTGTCTGTGCTGAGAGTTCCTGGAAGGGTGGGCGGGAGGGGGAGGTGTCATCAGTGCTCTCCCTTCAGCACGGCCATGTGTGAGCCCAGATTCTCCTGGAGATAATACAGGAGGTGCAGTTCATAGTGTTCTCCAGACTCAGGGACCCTGATGCTGTGCCTCTCTTGTGGATAGATCTAAAGAAAGGGGGGAAAGGAGTCAATTTTCCTTCTTTCTTGAGGTATTCACATAATCTGCTGCTTCAGACGTCTTGTAAGGCCTTTATCTTTCTGCCCAGGCTTTCTTTGGCCCTGCCTTCGCTGTCTGAATTCTTATTTTTAATATGCTTTTATACTACTGCTTTACAGGTTTTAAGTTCTATCACTGCATTATTGTTGCCGTGATATTATCGCTTTTGTGTCGTGCGTTGCTAGGTATCTTCCTGAATGTTTTTGGCCTACAACTCCCATGATCCCTAGCTAGCAGGACCAGTGGTCAGGGATGATGGGAATTGTGGTCTCAAAACATCTGGAGGGCCGAGTTTGAGGAAGCCTGGTTAAGGGGTTTACAAATGCTTCTCTAAATGCCCCCCTTATCACATATACAGCACAACATGTCAACGGCTAATAATAATAATAATTTATTATTTATACCCTGTCCATCTGGCTGGGTTTCCCCAGCCACTCTGGGTGGCTTCCAACAAAATATTAAAATACATCTAACAAAAAAAGCTTGCCTAAACAGGGCTGCCTTCAGATGTCTTCTAAATCCCCCTACAAGAGTGTCCGACCCACTCAACCCACCACCCTCCTGCAAACAAAACATACTGCAACCAACCAAACACAACCAACCAAGCTCTGGACCCTCTATTCTCTTACAATGCCAATAAAAATAAATATATATGTATAAATAAAGGGTGAAAGGGCTCTGGAGAGGGGCTGCTTAAAATGGCAGCCGCTCGAGCGCTGCTGCTGCTGGCACCAACAAAGCCCAGCCCCCTTCCTCCTCTAGGCAGGGTGGGGAGAAGCCAGGAGGAGGGAGGGAGGGAGGGAGGGAGGGAGGAGCCGCCGCCATGGGAGGAAGAGGGAAAGAACGTGCGTGCTGGCGATCCACGCAATTCCCAGACCGTCCGCAGGCCGGATCCAGAAGGCAATTGGGCCTGATCCGGCCCGTGGGCCTTAGTTTGCCTACCCATGGTTAGGAGGTTCAGAGAAGGCCAGGATATGAAGCCTAGCTTGTTCCGAAGGTACTAACCACGGTTTCTCAGTTGGGACAAAACGGTAAACTATAGTTAATGGAAGACTCCTTGGTTTGTTTGCTATACTGTGAAGGGAAGAGCAAAGGAGATGTGTATGTGACCAAAAGGCATATCTGGCTGGGGCTGATGGGAGTTGTAGTCCAAAATAGGTGGGAGGGCACCAGGTTGGTGAAGGCTGCCCTAGAGCATCTTACCTGTAGATCGTAAGGCTTCGCAGCCCGGACCAGAAAACTAAGCAAAATGCTGGTATGTGCAAAATGAACATTTTCATCAAGGAATCCATGCAACAGTAACAACCGGTTGGGTCTGAAAGGATGAGGGGAGAAACAGTAAGCAAAGCTTCAGATCATTTGAATTAGAATTTCTTCGAATCCTGGTATCGTCTGAAGATACCTATGTAGCTAATACCGGTAGGGGAGCGTGAAATAACAGACCCCCAGGGTTGGAATTTTCCCCACTGCTTTATTATTCCCACAGCCCATTTTAATTATTCAGAAATAGAGATTCATAAAACCAATTACCGGTAGTAACAAAATGCACAAACACAAGTCATACTTTGGCAACTGAAACCTGGATCTGAAAATCAGAGTGGCAATTGTTTTTTCAGCTGACTATCCCTATGAAGTGACACAGAAAGATCTTTAGGCCTGCTAAATGGGTTATGTTAACTTTTTCCAGTGTTTTTTCGTTCAGCCCTCCAGTTAAAATCTAAATAATGGAAGGGAAGCTTTAAGCTGACATGTTTGGGATTCCTTTTTTAAAAAAAAAGTATTATTTTTTTTAGAGTTTATAAAGAGAAATACAAAACAATCTCAAATATCCTTTTTGCCCAACATTATTCTAAGTAAAATAAAAACATGACAAAAAAGAGAGAGATAAGAAGAAGAGATAGCAAAGAACTTTCAAGAGGAAATAGACAACATGCAATTCAGAGATTAAAGAACTTCCCATTCTTAGTCTGTCCACTATATATAATCACTTCATCCATGTTTAGAATTCCAACAAAATAATTTTCAGACAAAGTTTTGAATTAGCTAGGTCATCTAAACCATGCGAATATCACAATCCTATCGATGGCTGCTTATAAGTCCTAATAAGTTCAATGGAACTTACTCACAAGGAAACACATATAGGAGGAATGGGGAACTTGTGGCCTTCCAGTTGCTGCACCCCAGCTCCCAATGGCTCCTGCAGCCAGCATGACCAATGGTCAGGGATGCTGGGGAACCGCAACAACTATAGGACCACAGGCCAGCCACCCCCAGCACAGAGGATCACAGCTGAAATGCACTTAAACTGATTTTCCCCTTGTAATAAAACGATTTAACTACTTTCGGATATTGGGCTAACGGTTCTCATATCTACAGAATATGCCTGTTCTAGTTTATTTACATACCACTTTTTGGCGCAAATGCCAAGAATTATTTATGGGGTGAACCTCTGTGAAGCAAATCAAATCAGAACAACTGTGTGAAATCAGATCTCTCATTGATTTAGGACAGCAGAAATGTGTTCTAAGTTTTCTGGAAAACTCACATCGCTGATCCCAAGGCTCCAAAACAATACACTTCCTCCAGCCTCCCATTTCTCCATTCACCGTCCCGGAAGATTTAAACACAGAATTTAAAGCCCAGGCCAATAAGAAAAGGTGGGAACGGATGGCAGAATACCAGCCTAAGTCAGAAGAAGCAGACGGTGTATGTGTCTGTATGGAGGAGCTGACAGGGCCACTCTAGGATAGAAGACACAATCTTCCCTCTCAAGCCCTGTTAACAACAACTGTGGCTGATCTACAGCCAGCCACTAGGGTGGTATGTCTAATTAATGCACTTAATTAGCACTGGGGCTAATTGCGTAATTTGAGGCAGGGGGGAGGTCCGCCTGCAATTTCTTGAGGCAAAAGTTAATACTTTAATGACAACAAGGCTAGAAAAGCAGATTACTCGTAATGGGCCGTGATTATGTAAATGCCCATTCAAGTTTATTAAGTGGTTCTTTACTACCACGCAACCGTTTAAGCATTTAATTAGGCAAGAAACAGCAGCGTTAGGTCGGAATTTAGCACAGTTGGGGGTGAGGGGGGGCAGGAACACACTTACTCTGAAGGAAACTTATCCGCTTGCATAGCCACAGAGCCGAGGTAATAGCCCTGTTCGTTATTATCTGGGTGACCCATGTAGCGCTCGGTGTAGCCTGTATCGTAGAAGAGCCACAGGGTGACTGGGGCACCAGCAATGGCGACCTATGGGTAAGAAAACCATCAGTGTTGTGTTATTCTCATTAATGCATTTATTTCATAAAATGTACATATATAATACTGGATTGTTTGGGGGGGGGGAATATGAAAGCAGTCTGCAAAAAGAATGAAACAATGAAATTAACAGTAAAAAGAAAAAGTTGAAAACCCCAATGGTAGCTTTTGTGCAATGTGACTCCCCACTTTTTTAATATAATTTTAATTAATTTTTCTGTTTTACAATTTCAAATAGACATTTTACATCCTTAAGATATCAGTGACTTCCCTTCTTCTCTTTCCATAGTTCATTTGATATATCTTATATCCCTGCATATTTTACAAAAACTATACCAATCGGTTTACACTGCTGAATTTATCTTAATGCTGCCAGCATTTTCAGCCGTACACAATTATTTTCCATATATTCAATAAACGGTTTCCAATCTTCTCTAAACTTTATGTTCTTCTTGTTCTCTTATTCTACATGTTAAGTCTGCGAGTTGTGCATATCTGTCAATTTAAGTTGCCATTCTTCTTTGTTTGGGACCTCGCTCGTTTTCCATTTTGGGGCTAATGAAACACGGGCAGCAGTTGCTGCATACATAAATAACCTTTTCCATAATGTGACCTTCTTCCTTTGACATATAGCTTATGTCTCCCTTCCACAATTGATGCCACTGATGGCAGCTGTCTGTGTGTGAATTTGTGGCCACATGGAAATCAAATTGACTTTTATCAGAAAAAATAAACTCTGGATATGACTTTACTGTTTTAAAAAAGGGGGGGAGGTGCCACCACTCTGAAGGCCCTATTGTAGGGGTCAGCAAACTTTTTCAGCAGGGGGCCGGTCCACTGTCCCTCAGACCTTGTGGGGGGCCAGACTATCTTGGGGTGTGTGTGTGTGTGGAAATGAACGAATTCCTATGCCCCACAAATACCCAAGGAAGCATTTTAAATAAAAGCACACATTCTACTCATGGAAAAACACCAGGCAGGCCCCACAAATAACCCAGAGATGCATTTTAAATAAAAGCATTCTACTCATGGAAAAACACACAGATTCCCAGACGTCCGCAGGCCGGATTTAGAAGGCAATTGGACCGGATACGGCCCCCGGGCCTTAGTTTGCCTACCCATGCCCTATTGCGACATTGTACAGAATAGACCAGCTGATGAGATGGTATCTGTTGGAGCCGATGGGCTGGGTATATAAAAGACCACCTTTCAAGTTATCCAGTTCCAAGTTTTATGCAACTTTATATAGTGGTACCAATACCTTTCGGTCACCATGGGCAGAGATGACCAACTTTTTCATTTTATGAGGCAGGCACTCGTTTTCTCCTGACTGGGGGCTGAAAGTGAATTTTCCCATACAAACCTGACCCCTTCCAAATGGGATTCTTTGGGGGAAGGACCATAGGTCAAGAAGGGTTGATCACCTGCAGAAGGTCCCAGGTTCAACCCCTGGCAGCATCTGCAGGTAGGGCTGGGAAAGATTCCCTGCATGAAACCCTGGAGGGCTGCTGTCAGTCAGTGTTGACAATACTGAGCTAGATGGACCAACGGGTCTGGCTCAGCATAAAGCATCTTCTTATGTGTTATATTTACAGAGGGCACAATCGATCCTAACAAGACTTGAACTGTCAAATGAACAGGACATCTTGCAAAAGTTGGAAATGGAAACACACAACACACAACACACACACACACACACACACACACACACAGCCGGCTGTCTTGTTGCACATTATCCTACCTTGAAGATCTCTGGCTTCTGCAACAAGGCCATAAGGGAGAGGTATCCCCCGTAGGACCAGCCATGAATGCCAACCCGGTCCAAGTCGATGAATTCGTATCGGGAGGCCAAGTACTGCAAACCTTCCACTTGGTCACTTATTTCAATTTGTCCCTGTTGGAAGAAACCAACCCCCACCCCCCAAAAATAATATTAGGCTTGGAAAAATAATGGCATCATGGACAATGGGCAGGGGGAAGTGTCATCATGCACAGGGAAGGGTTAACCTTACACTCCCCAGCTGTTATCCCCCCCCCCAAAAAAATCAGAATTAGGCTTGGGGGGAAAGCCTTCTATGACCTCCAACAGAATGCTTTTTCCGAGCCTAAATGCAACTGGGAAAGGAGGGATGAGGCCTCTAAGGCAGAATTCTATGAGATTATCTCATCTCTTAATAAAAACGCAAGGTTGCAGCACTCAGACCTGAGTCAGGACTTCTGTACCTATTGAGCAACTTACCATCTTATATTTAAAGGCACCTTCGAACTTCAGACCGCGGTGGCAGGATCCCCTGTTGTCAATCACCACCACAACATAACCAAGGGACGCTAGGGTGTTCAGGCGGAAGTATTTGACCCCTTTAAACCGGTTGTTCACAAGTTGCACCTGGAAGGAAGCGCAGATTAAACTTCTACATTGCACACATGGGGGCTGATAAAAAACAACATTTTTTTATTCACAGCTTCCAGGAACAATGTTATCAACTGACCTGGGGGCCCCCGTATATGAAGAGTACTGTGGGGTACTTCTTCCCGAGTTGTAGGTTGTGGGGCTTGTAGATCATCCCATAAAGCAAAAACCCTGAGGAGCTCTCGAAAGAGAAGATCTCGGGCGGGACGTAATCTGGGAGAGGCCCTGCAAGGATGCAAGCACAGCTGTCGTTTGCGTTCAGCATGGCAGAGCGGAGTTGGCCATTGTATCTGGACGCTGAACATCCACAGGTTCCCAAACCCTTCAGTCCAACCCATCTCAATAACCACAAGCCTCAAATTTAAAGCAAAGCGTATTTAGGAACAGCTTCAGATGGGTGGGTGTGGGTGTGGGTGTCCCTACTGGCACCCAGGATGTCACCAGTACTAGCCAATAGGTGCTTTACCTGAAACGGTTATAAAAATAAGCAGTCTTGAGTGCTGTACAGTCGTACCTTGGAAGTCAAACGGAATGTGTTCCGGAAGTCTGTTCGACTTCCAAAACGTTCGGAAACCGAAGTATGGCTTCTGATTGGCTGCAAGAAGCTCCTGCAGCCAATTGGAAGCCGCGGAAGCACTGTTGGACGTTCGGCTTCCAAAGAACGTTCGCAAACCGGAACAGTCACTTCCAGGTTTGCGGTGTTCGGGAGCCAAAACGTTTGACTTGCAAGGTGTTCAGGATCCAAGGTATGACTGTATGACAAAGCCTAGAAGGTTTCTGCCCTCTGCTTCAAAACTGTACTCCTATCCGTTGCTTCCTTTATCTTTTTAAAAATAATAATAATAATAATTTATTTGTACCCCGCCCATCTGGCTGGGTTTCCCCAGTCACTCTGGGCGGCTTCCAACAAAGATTAAAAATACATGAAATTGTCACATATTAAAAACTTCCCAGAACAGGGCTGCCTTCAAATGTTTTCTAAATGTCAGATAGTTGTTTATGTCTTTGACATCTTACGGGAGGGCGTTCCACAGGGCAGGTGCCACTACCGCGAAGGCCCTCTGCTAGCTTTGCTTCTTGCAGTGAGGGAACAGCCAGAAGGCCCTCGGCACTGGACCTCAGCGTCTGGGCTGAACAACGGGGGTGGAGACGCTCCTACAGGTATACTGGGCCGAGGCCGTTTGGGTTTAAGTCTGTACACCCCTGCATAAAATTAGATTCTGACTGCACAACCACAATCCTTACACCAGGAAAGGGAGAACCCCAGTCACATGGGCCAGAAGTGGCCCTTCAAGCCTCACAGCCCTCAGGAGCCTCCCTAGGCCACCCTCCTCTCTCCAGAAAACCCTCCTCAAATGCTTTTGCCTGGCCTGGAATGTGGAGGGGTGTGGGTGGGTGTGGAGAAACCTCTGACTCTGGCTTGGCCTACCATACAGAGGCCATAGTTGCATCTGTTGCTCTGCACACCAGGGCCATGTGGCCTGCTGAAGGCCGCCCATGAGGGAATATGGCCATTGAGGTGGAAAAGGTTCCCCATCTCCACCTCACAAGAGTCCCACCAGTTTTCAAGTGGCTTCCTCACATGAGGAAGTACTGCAAAATTCCTTCAGGATGCTTTGTAAGCTTTGGTTCACACATGAAACGAACCGACAAATAAAGGAAGAGTTGTCACAGAGGATGCATGAGGGCAAGGATGAAACAAGGCTCCGGGACAGATGTCCTTTCACCTTCTTAAAGGCCTGGCACCATATCTGAAATACCTGCGGAATCTAAAATGGTAGCCCAGAATTCCTTGGACCTGTTGGAAATGTCATCTTCGAGGCCGGTCAGCTTGTAGAGAGACACCTCATGCGGGTTCCTCTGGTTGCTGAATTTACAAATCACCATGTCGCAGTTCTAGAGGGCAGGAGGAGAAATAAGTGACCACCTCTGAAAACCAACTTGGGCCTACCAGGCAATTTCCCTCAAGGTTTATGCTGCCATCACACGGTGCTTTATACCATTTCCCTGTTAGTTTCCATTTTATATTTGAGCTTCCACCCAACATAAAAGCCATCTCCGGAAACGTTGTGGAATCTCAGAGACATTTAGCGCTCATGCCTGTGTTAACTGGTTTCAGAAATAACCAGTTTGAAAACCAATTAACCCATAAAATTGCAGGAGTAAAGTGATGAAATTCAGAGTTCTGCATCAGCACACAGTTTCTTCCTGCTATCTTCATGTGGGAACTCAGCACAGAACAAAACCACAGCAAAGGAGGTGAAATACCTGACTGACGCAGCAGGCGTAGGAGAAACCAGCTTCTGTCAGCCGCTTGATCTCCCCGGGGTTCTCGTAGTGAACAACATACAAGTGATGTTCCAAGGGGGAATCCTTTGTACCTTCAAAATATACCAGTTTTTTAGCTTCATCCACCTGGATCTGATAAAAACAAACAAACACACACACACAAAAACACAGAAGTGACCCAAGTTTGTACCATCAAAAATTCCCAGGTTGGATTTAGTACTAAGTTCATTTCATCTGCCTATGTGGAAAGCTAATTTAAAACCCAGGTATACCTAAAGGAAGAAGTTACTTCCCACTGCAGCCTCCGGGCTCAGGATAAAGCTCTCAGGTGAATCTTGACGCTGGCCAGAGAATGAAGCGGTAGGACAGACTATACCACTCACTGCAGGGCACATACCACTTCCGACTGCAACTCCCTGCAAACTGAGGACTAGCACATCAGGAACAAGGGTTCTATCTCAGCACAAACTATGCCAACTATGTTCGATTTCAACTAGCGGGGAGCATTCAAAAGATGTGTACCCCTCCCTGGATGAATATTGAGACCCGTGTTGCCAACTTTTTTTTTTTAAAGAGGCTTCTAGCATCTGCAGAACCTGAGATATGAAGGAAAACACACAAACGCTATTCTCGTTTTCTGTTTTTGTGGGAAATTAGCCGACTTCCCTCCCTTTCGATGTCTCGTTTGCTCCCACCCCCAGAAAGATCCTTTGGGACACCAATGCCCCTGCTCTGGGGAGGAGTGGGGATTCCGAGAGCTGCAATGCCTGTTTTCCCTCCATTACACAACTTCAACTGCATGATTTTTTTCCACTTCTAGTTTGGATTTTTGTGGGTGTATCCCTAACAGGATGTGAAAACGGGGGCTGTGTACAGATTCCCGAGCCTGTGGTGGGGTTGCACAACCCCTGTGGCTGCTTCCTCATGCCCAGTTACTTTGTAGGGGCCACAGAGCCATGGAATCAAGCTGCAAAGTGGCGTGTCACAGGTAGGAACGCCCCTCTCTTGTTTGTTACTGGAGAGATCTGCTGTGCAGCTAACTCGGAGCTGGGCTTTTAGTGTGGCTGCCCTTGTTCTGTGTAATAGCTGCCGAGTCAAGATACGACAGGTACCAATTTTCTGCAGTTTCTGGAAACAACTGAAGACATTTCTCTGCCGACAAGCCTTCCTAACCAGACAAATTGGTCGCTGCCATCGGTGTCCACATTACCTTGCGGTTCAAAAAACACAAAACAACCCACCCCCCATCACATACTGTTTTTAGTTGTTTTTGTTATACTTTCTACACTGTTAGGTTTTCTACATTTTACATAAGATATGTATGTGGAATGTGATCAGTAAATGACAACGGCAACAATGAACCTAAACGATAATTCCACACAAATCCCTGACTGCATTGTCTGTTCTGTTTTTCACTATGTGGGCACTGAGGTTGCATTAAAGTTTTCCCCCTTGATCAGACTAGCTTGATGCTCAACCCATGTTTAGGTAAAGGTAAAGGGACCCCTGACCATTAGGTCCAGTCGTGACTGACTCTGGGGTTGTGGCGCTCATCTCGCTTTACTGGCCGAGGGAGCCGGCGTACAGCTTCCGGGTCATGTGGCCAGCATGACTAAGCCGCTTCTGATGAACCAGAGCAGCGCACGGAAACACCGTTTACCTTCCCTCCAGAGTGGTACCTACTTATCTACTTGCACTGGCGTGCTTTTGAACTGCTAGGTTGGCAGGAGCAGGGACTGAGCAACGGGAGCTCACCCCGTCGTGGGGATTCGAACCGCCGACCTTCTGATCGGCAAGTCCTAGGCTCTGTGGTTTAACCCACAGCGCCCCCCGCGTTCCCCCCAACCCATGTTTAAGCTCATGCTTTTTGGGGATGGGGAAAGGTCAAGCACATACTTAAAATTCCCAAATGCATTTGCCAGATTAAAAATAAAATAAAATTGAAGGGTCTTACGTTGGACCCGTGTCGGCCAAGAACTTCCCATTCCCCACTGGTAATTGGCACCTCTTCTTTGATGGGACACAGGAAATCACCTGCAAAAACCAAGATCAAAATTATCGGAATGTCTGCGCGGTGGCAGGGGCTGATGGGAGCTGTAGTCCAACAGAAGGCAAAGGCTTCCTATGGGGCTGCTACAAGACCCTCTCCTGGGCTGTCACCCCACACACTTCTGAGGGCGGCGGAACAACCCAGAGGGCCCCCTCTGCTGATCTTGACATGCAAGAAGGCTGGTAAGGAATCACAGAAGTTGGCAGGGACTCCAAGGTTCCTCTAGTCCAACTCCCTGCAAGGGAAATCTGGGCTTTACAAGCTGAGGTTTGGATCCTTGCCTGCCCAGCACAAGGCAAGCCAGCCAGTTTCGGCTGTCAAGTTCTCCAGTCTAGATTACAGAGAGAAAATGCAAATTGTTGCTTCGTTTGCACACTGTATTCCACAAACGTTGGGTACCGGTCTAGACAAAGCAAAGCACCCACACTTTCCATATTTTTCCTCTTGGGCTACTGAGATTCCTTCCAACACTTCAAACTCATCTTCAAAATCATAAGGACTAGCAGCTTAATTTTTTTATTTTAAAGTGGGGCACAAGCTGACTTGCGGAAGGGCAGGGTGCTTACAGCCCCAATCCAAGCCTAATGGGCCACTGCAATGCTGGGATGCCAACCTGAAAGAAATCTCTATTATTCTATTTCATTTGAACTTAGGAGCAAAAATGGCCAAAGCTGGTTACTTGGAGCAGGGAGTCCTCCACTCGAGCGCTTGTACCGGCTCTCCTTTAAAACGGTTGTGATTCTGTACAGGTGGCGGAATCCTGTTTTGCACTCAGAGGCAAAGATGAACTCTATCTCATCCTCATTGGTTTGGGGGAAAACGTGGAAGATATCGTGGACCTGTTGGAACACAGGAGGGTTGGAAGTTGAACCGAAGGATGGAGATTGAGCCCATTCGCACGCAACTGTAAACTGAGGTTTAATATTATGCGGACAAGCCTAGTCAATGCAGAGCAAAGCATTTGCCTCCCACACCCCTTTCTTTCCTCTTCCAGCACAGTCACAGCAGAGTCTTTTTTCACTTTTAAGGAACGCCAGCTTTGTTTGCTTTATGTTTGAACCAGGAATCTTGGTAAATAAATAAATAAATAAATAAATAAATTTTTATTTATACCCTGCCCTTCCTGGTTCAAAAAACCGGGCTCAGGACGACTAACAACAAATTTAAAACACTTAATTGATGCAACAAAAAACAGCCAAAAATACAGTATAAAACATGAATAACAATAAATTCAGAATTCAAAAATCAATTTAGGGGGGAAATCCATCCAATAAACATTAGATGATCACCAGGGCTAGCTGGCTAAATTAGTCCTATTTGGGCCAGCGAGGAGACCAGGGGAGAATTAGCTTAACACAAGATCTGTTTAGTTAAGTTTTGGAGGGGGCTTGCTGTGAAACTTATCTGTTTGTTTCAAACAAGGATCCCTAGTACAAGCAATTAAAGCTAAGCTGGGATTCTTTGAAACTGAAACTAAGCTCTGTCAAAGTCTTCCTCCTGGACACAAAGCATTAAGGCTGGCCAGCGCAGTGCTATGGACCACAGTTTAGTGTTACCTGGAAATATGGTCACTAGCAAAATCAGCCTACCCTGATGTGAACAACTCAGTCCTTCTCTCTCCATCACCTTTGAGGTGCCTTCCTTCCAAAATTCCCCTGCCTGTCCAGTCATTTCTTACCGATGACACAATCAGCACCTACCATCCCCTGGAGCCTGTAGGGCAGGCAAACTGACCACAAACTTTCATATAGAAGCTGCAATAGTTGTCGAGATTCTGTAGCTGACACTTTTCCTCCAAGCAGTTATAACATTGTTATAACTATGACATCACACTAGGGCGTGGCTGAAGAACCTCAGACCCAGGGACTGAATGTGGCCCTTCAGGCCTCTCTATCCGGCCCTGAGGACCCACCCCTTCACTAGGCCACACCCCTCCTCAGCCTTGCTTGTATCTGGCTTGAATGTGTCCTTGGACTGTGGCAATGCTTTTTGCTTGCCTGGATGGAAAATCACATGTTGAAGTGGGGCAGAGGCAAAACCTCTGACGTGGGTGTGGCCTGAACTTAAGTCTGTTGCACAAAGGCAAGAGCCACACCTGTTGCTCCACCCACTATTGCCTCTTGCTCCACCCACCACTAGCATGTGGCCCCCGGACTGTCGCCCAGGTGGCTGAATGTGGCCCTTGGCCTGAAAAGTCTCCCCACTCCTGGTCTAGGGGCTGCTAGCAGGACTTCGCTCAAGGGGATAACGTTCTTACATTTATCCAGATGTCTGTTGTTTCCTCGTAAACAATCAGCGGCGTGACAGAGTCGGGCACTGCGTCGATCAGCTTCTGCCTCTCCATGGCATCCTCTTCCACGGGGATAAATAAAGCGGGGGGAAGGAGCACAATTTGAAGCCGCGTTTGAGAGCGATCAAGCAAGATGGCCCAAGCACTGTGGACGGAAGGGGGAAAGCTTCGGAACATGGCAAGAGCTACGGCTGAGCACAGCAGTCGAAACACCAGCTCCCACAACCCCAGTTGGAGAGATCCGAACCCAAGTCCCTGTGGATGCCAGTGGGGCTTCCTTCAACGTTTCTGAGCACAGTTCCACGTGTTGGTGCTGAGCTTTGAAGCCCTAAACGGCCTCAGCCCAGTATACCTGAAGGAGCGTTTCCATCTCCATCATTCAGCCCGGACACTGAGGTCCAGCTCCGAGGGCCTTCTGGCAGTTCCCTCACTACGAGAAGCCAAGTTACAGGGAACCAGGCAGAGGGCCTTCTCGGTACTGGAATGCCCTCCCATCAGATGTCCAGAAGATAAAGAACTACACAACTTTTAAAAGACATCTGAAGGGAACCCTGTATCGGGAAGATTTTAATGTTTGATGTTTTATCACTTTTTTATTTTTATTACTAATATTCTGTTGGGAGCCACCCAGAGTGGCTGGGAAAACCCAGTCAGATGGGCGGGGTATAAATAAATTATCATCATCATCATCATCATTATCCAAGGAAGAGATTTGGACATTGTGCTCAACAAAAAACAGCTAGAGACTATGCAAGGGTCATTTGGAACAACTGAACAAGGCTGATTTCATATCATATCAATCACAAATATGTTGTATTATAAATGTTATTATTTATTTTGGAATGCCCCTCAATCGGGTCATGTCAGGGGACTGCCATCGGAACAGGGGAGGGAGGCAGGGCGATACAGAGAGCCTCCAAAGCTGTTGAGCAGCAGCGCCTCGTCTGCAGAGGGGTGAAACGTAAGGAGGGGAGGAGGAGATTTGGGGTGTCTAAGTTCTTATGCTGCGGGAGAAACCAGAAGGGGCCACTCCCGGAATCTGCAAGCGACTAGGATGGACATGAACTTTGTGTTTCTGCACTGTATATAGTTTGCACCAATAAAACCTGTAAAAGACAGGTCGGAGTCCTGCCTGGTTACTCGCGAGCAACCACCACCAGCACCTGACAGGTCTCAAAATCAATACAGCAAACTGCATAGAAGCATGTTAATGGAAAGGGATCAAAGCATCGCAAGAGGTGTTGAAATTTTGAGAGGTTGGATAGTTACAATGGAGTGGTCTCAGGGTGCACATTTTTATTTATTATTATTACTATTTATTACTATTATTAAATAAAAATGTATTTAAAAATTATTATTATTATTATTAAAAACTAAAAAAGAAGCATATGTTGGAACTAAGTCATATGTACCATAATAAAAAATAACATTAATTTATTTCATAGAATCAAAGCATTGTAGAGTTGGATGGGACCCCGAGGGTCATCTAGTCCAACCCCCTGCAATGCAGGAATCACAACTAAAGCATCCATGATAGGTGGCCATTCAACCTCTACTTAAGAACCTCCAAGGGTTTATTATATCTGTTGACCACCTTCTTTCCTCCAAGGAGCTCAAGGCGGCATACACTGTTCTCCACTCCCCATTATATCTTTGTAACAACCCTGCAAGGTAGGTTAAGCTGAGAGAAAATAACTGGCCCAAGGTCACGCCCAGTGAGCTTCATGGCCAAGCGGGGATTCGAACCCTGGGATCCCAGGTCTGGGCTGATCCTCTAACCATTACGCCACACCCAATAATAACAAAGCCCTCCAACACAAGGAGTTTGCCTCCTGCTCAGAACAGTCCAGTTCTAGCCAAGAGCTGCTGGGGAAATGCAGGAAACCATAAAAACACGCACTATTTCCCCTCTCGGGTCCATCCTGCTCGAGTGATATACTCCACGCCTTCAAACAAGATCTCAAAGGGCTGGACGAGTTCCTTGTCAACCACATCGGAAATCTGCCAAGAGAGGTGAGGGAAGTACCGTTCAGAAAAGCTCTCCCAAAGTGTGCTCCTCCAGCAAGCCTTTTAGGTCCATATCTTTTATCCCAGTCTGCATCTGCACTGGGACTGCTTTTAAGAGGTCTTAAATAATTTTTTTTTTTTAATTGTTTTCTCCATTGCTGTTTGCTACCCTCCGGGCTCCTCTGGGAGGATGGGTGGCATACGCATTTAATACATAAAATAAAAATATAAGCTACTAATTTCACAAATTACTGTGATTGTAATTCATTAATGCATGGTTTGCACATTAATGGACTTGTTTCAGTTAATATGCATCTTAATTAAATTAACCCCACAATAAAAGGTAAAGGTAAAGGACCCCTGGACGGTTACGTCTAGTCAAAGGCCACTATGGGGTTGCGATGCTCATCTCGCTTTCAGGCCGAGGGAGCTGGCGTTTGCCCACAGACAGCTTTCTGGGTCATGTGGCCAGCATGACTAAACCGCTTCTGGCGCAATGGAACACCGGGATGGAAGCAAGCCAGAGCACACGGAAACGCGGTTTACCTTCCCGCTCCAGCGGTACCTATTTATCTACTTGCACTGGTGTGTTTTCGAAATGCTAGGTTAGCAGGAGCTGGAACAGAGCAACAGGAGCTCACTCCGCCGTGGGGATTCGAACTGCCGACCTTCTGATCGGCAAGCCCAAGAGGCTCAGTGGTTTAGACCACAACGCCACCCTTGTTCCCACAATACGCAGGCATTAATCCTACCAATTCGCAATGATCATTTATTTATTCATTCATTTTGCTGCACTGATATCCCCCCTCCTCCAGGAGCACAAGGGGCATTCATTGTTTGCCCCCTCCTCAATTAGTCCCAACAACAACCCTGGGAGACAGGATGGGCTGAGAGGCAGTGTTTGGGCTCAAGGTCACCCAGTCTGCTTCATGGCTGAGTGAGAATTTGAACTCTGGTTTCCCCCAGCTCCTTAGTCCGACACTCTAACCAGAACACCACACTAGTTTTAAAAGATTTTAAAATGGCTATAATGCAAACCATGTGAAATGTACCTCCCGTTTTGCAGTGCAAGAATCCAAACCTTTGCCTCCACCCCCGCCGGGCATGTGGCCCCCAGAGGATTTGAAACAAGGCAATGTGGCCCTCGGAACAGGAAAGGCTAGCCACCTTTGTCTGAACGCCTCATGTTTCTTGCCCCATTTGCTTTCCAGCAGTTGCCCCATTTGCCAGCAGGCTAGACAAGTCACCAAACTGATTCAAATGAGGCAAATTAGAGCATCAGACTTACTCTGCCCTCAGCGTCGATGGTTATTTCAGACAGCTTGAAAGTTACTTTGGGGTTAGCGGTACCTGAAAAAGAAAAGACAGCAGTCAATGGTCACCAAGGAATGGCAGAATTATTTCAGGGCAGTGTCCTAAAAATTGGCACTTTCTGCTGCTGCCCTTACACATGGAAATGGCTTTTCAATTATTTGCTTCCCACACCTTGTAAAGATGTATCTTTTTGCACAAGCTTTCCTTATTCTATAAGGTTGGATCCTGTACCATTGATAATTTTGTATGGCTTCCCCCACCACCCCGCTCTGTTTTTACTATATTGTTTGAGAGTTTCATGTTCATCTGACCACTCAGAACGTTTTTAAATCTTGAAGTGGTTTGGAAATACAGTGGTACCTCGGGATGTGAACGGGATCCGTTACGGAGCCCCGTTCGCATCCTGAACAGAACGTAAGACGCGACTACGCGTCTGCACGTGTCACGTTTTGCCGCTTCTGCGCATGCGCGTGACGTCATTTTGACCGTCTGCGCATGCGCGAGCAGCGAAACCTGGAAGTAACGCGCTCCGTTACTTCTGGGTCGCTGTGGAGCGCAACCCGAAAATACTTAACCTGAAGTGTATTTATCCCAAGGTATCTTGGGATACTTGTACTTTTTAAGTGAAATAGTAATACAGGGGTGAACCCAATGCTAGTCCTACTCAGAGTAGGCCTGTTGAAATTACCGGACGTTACTGACACAGACCCATAAACGTGAGTGGACCTAGCAGTTTGTCAGATATACTGTAACCCAAAGCAAATAAATTTCACACTGAAATGGAAAGGAACTGCTGGTGGCTTTCACTAGGATTAAACCGCCCCCATTTGAGCCATAGCACAATCTATCTCACCGGTTTTGGGGTACCGAAAGGAATCTGTCCTCCTTGTCTCCAACATGGGGGATGTGACATGAATTATCTCCACCTCCGACTCGTCATTCTCTTCATACAGAATTCTAAGGATTTTGCCTCCACCTACAGCTACCAGAAAGATGGATGCAAAATGAAATTCAATTGGAACAAATGCAAGGTTCTGCATTGGCAGGTATAACCAGCTGCACAAATAGAAGATGGGGGACATCTGGCATGTGAAAAGGATCTAGGGGTCTTAGTAGACCATGAGTCAACAGTGTGACGCAGCAGTGAAAAGAGTTAATGCTACTCTGCATACTTACTCATCTCTGAATCGGGACACCACCAGTAGCCGGAGTATCTGTCAAACTCTTCCTGTAGCACAAAAGTAGCAACCCCAGCAGACTTGGGGTCCTCTTCAATGTTGGCAAATTCTATGCAGGCAATGCCAAGAAACATTATTTTTCAGAGAGAAGAATGCCCATGGAAAGCTTGAAGCATGCATTGTGACCCATAAAATGTCCATTATTGTAGCTGGAATGGCAAGGACTCCACCCCACAGGGGGGATGGAGAACCCCTCTGGCTCTCTGGACCAGGCCCTTAAGAGGGTCAGCTTTGCGGGCCAGATATGACGAGTGGACCTATCAAAATTTGTTGGATAACTTTGCAAGTGTCCACCATCCTGCTTTAAACTTCTAATGTCGGAGGTTTAAAAGGGGACTGCACAGGCTCAAACAGGAGCAAGGGGAGTTGTCTTAACATTCTTTGCAAAAGCACTCTTTGAAACAGCCGACCTCCTTCTCCTTTAAGTACCTGACTGACAGAGTAGGTTGACAGACAAGCCCCCTGCCAACTGCACCAATATTTAAAAGAGCATGAGTGGCTGCTTCAAAGAGGGCTTTGGCAAAGGACTTGCGCTTTGCAAAAGCACTCTTTGAAGCAACTCTGCTTCTCTTTTAAGAGAGTCAGATGGCGGCAGCCAAATTTTATTTGACTACCACTGGATTAAAACACGTCGACATCTGCATGCATGGACTGGCTTGCCTAAATAAACATGTTTCAAGCAGACACTGAAAGGAGTTCAGCAAAGGAATCTTCCTGAAGTCAACAAGCAGGGAATTCCAAAGTGTAGGTGCCACTACACTAAAAGATCCATTTCTTACAACTGCAGAATTAGCATTATGTGGCACCTGTAACAGTGCCAGTTCTGCAAACTGAAGTGGGCACAATCTCTACAGACCCCATGCCAGAGACAGATGGCCCTCCTACTCTGTTGGGGCATCCTTGCCCATGAGAAATGCGTCACCTACTCGGCTCACATGTAACTCCCAAGCCACTTTTGCCTCCTCACACTGCCCCACTCGTGCTGCCCTCGACATTCTTCTGCATTTGTCCCATGCTAAAGGCAACCATACCTTTGTGTACAAATGTCAGCCTCCGTTCTTCTTTGGTTGCTAGATTGGAGATCCAGATGTCATTGCTATGGATAAAAGCAATCCAGTTTGGATCTGCTGGGCAGAGCTTGGGATCCATCCGTATGTTTGGACAGCTCGTCTCTACCAAATTGGGCTGCAAGGGTTGTTTCTGCAAAAAAACGACCGTGGGAGAGAAAGACACTGGAAAACAGCCTTTTTGAACTAGAGAACCCTTCCCATGAGGCTCAAGGAATTTTTGCAGAAAGTGTCTGGGATGCAGTGAGAGTCAGCAAGAATGAATCGCCTTACGGACTTTATTAGCTTAGGAAAAATGGAGAGTAAAGGGAGGGGCATCAAATGGACCGGGAGATGTTTCTCACCCTCTCTCGCAATATTATTTGATTATTCATTTATTTCAAATGCGTATAACTCGCCCTTCCTTCACCAAAAGAGGCCATAATAAGAAAACCACACAAATGCAGTCATAAGCAATGCGGCAGACAGCAATTAAAAGCAGCATTTGTTCATTTAGAATAGTGTGTGCTACTTTCAAATAAAGAATATTAGAAGTCAATGGGTCATCCAATGAAGTAGAGGCACAACCTCTTCTAGGAGTGAATCCCACACGATGCACAGTGTGAAGAAGTCCTTCCTTTTGCCCGTCAAGAATCTTCCGATACTCAGCTTCATTGGATGGTCCAGAGCTCCAGTGCTATGAGAGAGGAGACTGAAGGAAAACTCCTCCAGAAGATCTCAGTTGGTGGGGAGGATCAGCACCACATGGCTAATTGTCCCCCATGTTACAGAGGCCCAATTGGCCTCCACTAGGAGTCAGGCACCTCTGGTTACACATTGTGGAACACTCTTCCAACAAGAATGTGGCAAGCACCTAAGAGCCTCAGAAGAGCTTGCAGGATCAGGCCAAAGGGAGCCCCCTAGCCCGTTATCCTGTTCTCACATTGGCCAGCCTTCATGTGAAACCTCCAAGCAGGTAAAGGTAAAGGACCCCAGGACGGTTAAGTCCAGTCAAAGGCGACTATGGAGTTGCGGCGCTCATCTCGCTTTCAGGCCGAGGGAGCCAGCGTTTGTCCACAGACAGCTTTCCGGGTCAAGTAGCCAGCATGACTAAACCGCTTCTGGCACAACGGAACACTGTGACGAGTGCCAAAGTGCACAGAAACGCCGTTTAGCTTCCTGCTGCAGAGGTACCTATTTATCTACTCGTGCTGGTATGCTTTCAAGCTGCTAGGTTGGCAGAAGCTGGGACAGAGCAACGGGAGCTCACCTCAACTGCGCAGACTCGAACTGCCAACCTTCTGATCGGCAAACCCAAGAGGCTCAGTGGATTAGACCACAGCGCCACCTGCTCCCACTCTCCAAGCAGGACCTGAGCACAAGAGCACTCTCCCCTGCCGTTTCCAGCAACTGTCACACACACTTTTGATTTTCAGTTGTCTCTTAGAGATCTTTTTCAATGTAGATAGGCCTATGTAACTGTCTACATTTTTTGATCATTTTGATGACACTTCCCCCCTTTAGTTTTCATGGTGTTTTGCATTTTATAGCATATTGCATTGTATATTTTATTGTGGGGTTTATGTTTCAGCTATTTTATTTTTTGTTGTCCCCCACCATGCTATACTGTATGAACTAACAACATATACATATGCTGAAATAAATAAATAAATAACCCCTGAAGTTTGGACAACTAGCAAATAATTGTAACCCACTTCCAGCACTGTGGTCAGGCTGAACTTTCCCTTTAGCCTCCTCCCTCCAGAGGGCACTGTACCTAAAACCCAGGGCACAGAGCAGTTCACAAAAGTCTAGCTTGCCGTCTTTTATTACCGTGAACCCGTGGGGACCTCCATCTTTCACGTGGTAAATCCCACTTCCGGCTTGGAACAGGAAGGTGCCACTTTCTTGGTGATAATCGTAAGAGGCGATACCAACCGTCCCGATCCGCTTCCTTTCCCGCAGCAGCTCCTCCTCCCGAGAGTACATCCCATAATCGAGGCTGGCCTGACCGGGAGAAAGCAAGAGGGAGAAAACTACAACCCACAGCCTGTGTTTTCTTTTGTTGTTAGGGTGTTTTTTCACTGCCACTGAGGTTTTTTATTTGTTTTACATTGTCAAAGAAAATCCAAATATGATTCAGCAAAAGTTAATTTATGATTATGGCTGCAATCCAATGCAGAATTATGTGAGGATAACATCTGCTGAATTAACTCTAAGCATTTATCTGTTTGTATTGTTTACCACATGCTCCCTATCACCACCCAACCCCAGCTGGGATTTCCCAAAGCACTTACAAAAAGAGGGGAGGGGGAAATACAAATATTACAAATTGAAAAGGTAACCCAGAACTGGATAAAATACTGCACAACCATTAAAGACTCGTGTATTTTTAAAATTTCAGACATGCACAGGAGCAAGATGTCTGTGACATAGAAAGCAGTGGGGCTCAGTTGCAACTTCCTTAAGGTCACAATCCTGTGTTTATTTATGTGGGGTTTAATCCCATGGCATCCAACTAAAGCTGCATTCACACAATAGCTTCTTCCACTTTACCAGTGTTTCTCATTCCATTCATTTCTTCCTTACATTTGCGGCTTCACACACCGTAAACGCCACTTATGAGAAACAAATGGAATATAGCGCATTTTAGCAGTCATTTCCATGTTACTTGATTCCAGAAAAAAATCCATTTGCAGCCCCCTTAACCCAGATAATTGCAAGGGTAAAGTGACAAAACCTGGGGCGCTACACCAGCATACAGTTCCTTCCTGCCTTTTTAATGGGGGAATCAAGCATGCATGTGCAGGAAGGGTCAAAATGTCATTGTCCAATGGCATTTGTTGTTGGGCCCAATGACATGATATGTAGCATGACATGCCAGTATTATTGGTCAAAAAACACAGTTCCATAGCACAATAGGTACTGCAATGCGAATGGAACATTAGGAAACAAGACAGAAGCACTAGCATTATAATCAGGAAAACAAATGCGGTATTTCCTATGTCTGAGTGTGCCCAAAATAAAGGGGGAGGGCTTGCTTCTGTATACTCATAGTATGAGGAATGAAGTCCCATGGATTCCAAAGGGGGCTTACATCACAATGATCAGATTTCCCCCCATGTAACTGGAGAGGAGTCAACCGACCTGTTTTAGACACCTACATGGGGGCGTTAATTTTTAGAATGCACTACTCAATATTTTCATTCTCGATTTTTTAAACTGCAATATTGACAGGATGCATTTAGTTTCACTTTAGGGTTTCTAATTTGTAGATTATATATATATATATCAGATTAAATATAGATTAAATATGTTGATATTCAGCTGAATCAAGAGCAGACCCACTGAAACCAATGGAAGTCCCAACAATTTCTGTGGGTTTACTCTAGAGTATGAGTAACAGTGGACATCTCCCATAATAAACAACACTTGCTGAATTGTGCCCAAAGACCTCTGCCATGCCTTTTTCCTTAAGAAAACTGCAGCAACCAGGCTGAGGCAATCTGTATTAAATGCTTTTTTAGGTAAATGGAAGAAGGAGCTGTCTCAACAAAGGGCGGCTCACCAAATGCATACAAGCAAAATATATTAGAAATGGAAAATGCTTTGAATTTTTAATTGGCAACGAGTGTAGCTAGGCAGGAGGAGAGCTGGAACAAACATTAGAGCTGTTACGATACCCTTTGCTAATGGGTTTTCATCTTTGACAGCTGCCAGTCTCTCAGACAGGGTGTGTCATTACCTGGAAGTCTGTCCACTGGAAAAGGAGAAAGGGAGGGAATGAAATGTGTAAGATTCAGGCTAGTCACCTACGTGAAAAAGATCCAAGAGTGGCTTCCACGAGAGCAAAAGAATCGCAGCCTTGTTTATGTTTTTGGGAACTTCAGAATAGAAAAGTGTATTTTCTCTGTTCTCACCGGACATTGCTGAGTATTAAAAAACAAAACACAGTTTGCAATTTATTTATTTTTGCATTAGCCGAATACCAAGCAGATAAGGAAGAGAGAAGCCAAATCCTGTTGGGAGACTTTAAAACCAAAAACTACCATGATTTCTAAAATAAACCCCTTTCGATGCAGTTCTATTTTTATTTTCATTTTCAGTCAGTATTATTTTAACAATTCACTATTCAGCTAATAAAGTTAAGAACAAGTAGCTGATTCAGCTTGTAACCAATTCAATTTTAACAAATCTGCACATTTCCCAAAATCTTAAGGAAATAAGAATATAACATGAGCCTTCCTGGCTTAAACTGAGGATGAATCTTCTTCAGAATCTTTACATGGCATTATTTCCACCACCCCGATAACTGGTATTTAGAGACAGACAGGCTCAGTTTGAACGCAGAACTAAACCATGGCTTACTGCTCTGTGAACCCAACATAGGTCCCCTCTCCTCCTCGCAGGAGGACGTCTGATGAGTTTATTCTCACTTTTAAGGGTTACACATGCCAGCTTTATAACCCAAGGTTTAAAGCTGGGTTGCTTGGAAACTAACCATGGTTTGTTGCAAACCAGGATCCCTGGTTCATACACGTTGCTTAGCTGAGATTCTTTGAAAGCAACACAAGACACAGCAGAAATCCTCCAGGCTGCATGGGAAGCTGTCAAAACTTACCCAGGTAATAGACCCTGTCCGAGTGGGGGCTCTCTGCATCCGTCCTCTTCACAAAGGTGAAGTCGTGGGGCGCCTTGGCCATCAGGCAGCCGTGGTCCTTCCTGGTGTCATTCAGCAGCTTCTTCAGGTGGCTCCAGGAATACCTCTCCACGTAGTACGGTTCCAGCTTGGCCTTCTCCCCAGGCGCCACATTCTCCCTGTGCTCGGCCGTTTCAAAGATTTCGAGCCCTGGCTGCTCAGTCTCCATTGCAGCTGCCATATTGCATGTTGATTCCTATAAGGGAAAACCCCACGAAACCTCTTTAAGCCACAGCAACCTCTCCCCAGCAGACGGGCCAGAGCACCACCACATGAACTGGAGAGGTTCTCTGATGTTTCAGGAAGGGAGACTTTCCAAGGCTACCGGGAGATGCTGGGGACTGAACCTGAGACCTCACCTCAAAAAAGGGGTATTGCAGAGCTGGAAAAGGTTGGAAACCAAAACGATCAAGGGGGGTGGAGAGATTCCCTTATGTTGCAGCGCTTGGGACCTTTAGGTTTCGAGGAAAGGAGAGTTGAGAGGTGACATGATAGTTTATTAAAATAAAACATGCGTGGCATGGAGAAAACGGATAGAGAAAAGTTTTTCTCCACCTCTTGTGACTCTGGAATTCATGGCTATCCAATGAAGGTGAATGTTAGAAGATTCAGGGCAGATAAAATACAGTGGTACCTCGGGTTAAGTACTTCATTCGTTCTGGAGGTCCGTACTTAACCTGAAACTGTTCTTAACCTGAAGCACCACTTTAGCTAATGGGGCCTCCTGCTACCGCCGCACTGCCGGAGCACGATTTCTGTTCTCATCCTGAAGCAAAGTTCTTAACCTGAAGCACTATTTCTGGGTTAGTGGAGTCTGTAACCTGAAGCATATGTAACCTGAAGCGTATGCAACCCGAGGTACCACTGTAAAGTCCTTGCTCCCACAGGTAAATGATGGAACGTGCTCAGTGATGGCTACCAACTAGGATGGCCTTCAAAAAGGATTGGACAAATTCATGGAGGAGACGGCTATCAAAGCCTGCTAGCTATGCTCTGCTTGCATGTTTGGCGGCAGCAATGCTCCTGAATGCCAGTTGCAGGAAACGGCAGGAGGGGAGAGGGCACTTGGGCTCCCGTCCAGCTTGAAGGCTTCCCACAGGCACCTGGTGGGCTCATTGGCCAGCTCCAGCGAGATCCTCTTATGTACTTCTGCAGCTGACTTACAGGGAGCCTTGCCAGCTCTACCTGCAGAGCAGGGCAACTGAGATGATCAAAGGTCTGGAAACCAAGACTTGTGAGGAACAGCTGAGGGAGTTGGGTATGTTTAGCCTGGGAAAGAGAAGATATGATGGCCATCTTCTACTATCTCAAGAGCTGTCACATGGAAAATGGCTTGCTTTCTCCTGCTCCGGAAAGTAGGACACAAACCAATGGATTCTAATGACAATAAAGGAGATTTCCGACAAAACATCAGGAAGAACTTTCTAACACTAAGAGCTGTTAGAGTCAGACAGTGAAACAGACTCTCTCAGAAGGTGGTGGACTCTCCTTCCTTGGAAGTTTTTAAGCAGAGGATGGATGCATTATCAAGCTGAGATTCCTGCATTGCAGGGGGTTGGACTAGATGACCCTCAGCGTCCCTTCTGATTCTATGATCCTGTGATCCTTTGCTCTGCCACTGAGCTACAGCCCTTCCTCAGCCTTGGAATCTGCCTTTTGCTTATGCCCCATCTATATTGCATATTTAAAGCTGTATCACACTACTTTGAATAACCCCAAAGAATTCTGGGAGCTGTAGTTTGTTAAGGGTACCAAGTTTTAGTGAGAGATCCTGTTCCCCCCACAGAGCTAAAAATTTCTAGAGTGGTTTGACTGTCAATCATTCTTCCCAGGGAACTGTGGGGGTTGTAGCTCTGGAAGGCAATAGGGGTCATGCAGTGACTGTGTAAAGCTTTAAATGTTTTTGTGCACATAGGGCCTGAATGGAACCAAGAGTCAATCTGGTTCCTTTGACATTGTTTACACAATTCTCAGGGGTTATTCCCATGTTATTTCCCAGCCCCACCAATGGATGCTGGAAATTGAGCCTGGAAACTTCTACATACCAAGCAGATGCTCCACCATCGAGCTACAGCCCTTCCCCTCAAATGAGATTTCAGGTCTCATGTCCTGAACATAAGGAAATAGGGAGTCAACATGTACCAGCCACTGGTCCATCTTGCTCAGCATCCGGGCAGCAGTTCCTCAGGCTTTCTGGATCCCTCCCAACCCCACCTCCAGATGCCCGTGATTGAACCCAGGACCTTCTGCATGCCAAGCAGGTGCTCTTGCCACAGAACCACCAGCCCTTCCCCCTAACAAAAACTGACAGGTGCCTTGTAGGGCGTCAGATCATTGGTCTGCCTAGCTCAGCGCTGCCTACACTGACTGGCAGCAGATCTGCCGGGTTTCAGGCCGGAAATCTCCCCCAGCCCTACCTGGAAATGTGGCGGGGTTGAACCTGGGACCTTCTGCATGCCAAGCAGGTGTTCTGCTCCTGAGCTTCCGCCTTTCCCCTGCCGGGAGGTGGGTAGGAAAAACACACGATCACCTCTACTCCTGGGTGGCCAGTGCCCCCGCTGTCCACCCGCTTCCCCCTTTCTCCGGCCACGGAGGCCAGAGGCGCAGGGGCGTCGCTGCTCTCTGTGGGGGAGAGGAGAGATCTCTGTGTACCGGAGGTGAGGGGCGCGCAAGTGACCCGCTGGCCTGGCCGGCGAGGGGCGCGCGGGGCGCAACCTACTCCAGCCTTGCGCAGGGCGCGGCGCCCTCTCTTGGGGGATCCTGCTGCGTCCGAATCGGGGGTGGGGTGTCAGGCCTGCTGCTCTTCCCCGTCTCCCCGGGCTGGGGTGTTGCTTGTGTGTGTTGTGCGTGGGGGGGGGTTCCGTCCTTACTCACTCCCGGGGGCGGCGCGTCCCTGGCCGGTTCCTCCTCGTCCTCCTCCTCCTCCTCCTCTTGCTGCTGCTTTGCTGATGTTGCAGCGGCGCTTCCGCTTCCTCGTCTGCCTCCGGCGGCAGGAGCGGCGCCCCACGCCCTGCCGGAGCCCGCGCGCTCCTCACACCGCCCCCGCCGGGCACGGAGGAAGCCCCGGAGCCCACGGGAGAGAGCCAGGGACCGGCGCACGGGTGCGCAATCCGGGCGCAGCGCAGCCGCGAACGCTGCGGCCCACCGCTCCGGAAAGGAGAGCAAGGCGAGCCCCACAGACCCAGAGCCAACCGGCAGCAGAGAGGGGTTTTTTTAATTTCTTATTTCTGTGCACCTCCACACCGTTAGCTGAAGAGCAGTATAAAACTCCTTTCATCTGCTTTTTTTTTTTTGCATTTTGCATACAGGGCGCGCATGTTACCTTATTTCAATCATAAAATTTATACACCGCTTGATTGCAAACACACACACACACCTCAAAGGCCAGGTGATAGCAAAAACTGCAAGGTTTTTAGTGGGGACATTTAGAATAAGATCTATTATTTTATTATTAATGCAGACCTCCAAAATGTATTTTGTACAGTTAAGTTTTTACCTCTTATCTTCAGTACATTCTATTTTATTGCTATGGCTAGTGGCTGATGCAAAGAAAAGATTCTTCTGAGCTGAGCTGATCACCTCAAAGCCATTTACAAAAAAGAAATAAAATTATCCATAAGGAATTGTTGTCTTTTTATATGCCACCCATCTGACTGGGTTGCCCCAGCCACTCTGGTCAGCTTCCAACAAAAATATTAAAACACACAGTAAAACATCAACCATTAAAAGCTTCCCTGAACAGGGCTGCCTTCAGATGTCTTCTAAAAGTCAAATAGTTGTTTATTTGTGTTACATAGGTGGGAGTGCGTTCCACAGGGCAGAAGCCACTACCAAGAAGGCCCTCTGCCTGGTTCCCTGTAGCTTCTTGTCTCACAGTAAGGGAACTGAAATTTTGCAGGTATACAGGGCTGAGGCCGTTTAGGGCTTTAAAGGTCAGCACCAACACTTTGAATTGTGCTCTTAAACGATTTGAGGCTTTTGATAAGTTAACCAACAGATTAAAACTTTCTAAACTTCCGGACAGGCTTGCCTAAACAAAAATGTTTTTAGCAGGTGCAGAGAAAAAGTACATCAAAGGGGCCTGCCTGATGTCAAGAGGCAGAGAATTCCAAAGTGCAGATGCTGCCACACAGAGAGATCGAGTTCTTTCAAGTGCACAACAGGTATTATGTGCCACCTGTAAGAGTAATACAGTGGTACCTCGGGTTAAGAACTTAATTCGTTCTGGAGGTCTGTTCTTAACCTGAAACTGTTCTTAACCTGAAACACCACTTTAGCTAATGGGGCCTCCTGCTGCTGCTGCACGATTACTGTTCTCACCCTGAAGCAAAGTTCTTAACCCAAGGTTAGCGGAGTCTGTAACCTGAAGTGTCTGTAACCCGAGGCACCACTGTACCTTGAACTTGACCCAGTAGCAAATCAGCGACCAGTGCAGGACTCTGAGCATAGGTTTTCTATGCCGACAAGGCCTCTCTCCTGTCATCAATCGTGCTGCAGCATTCTGTGCAAACTGCAGTTTCCAGATCGAATGCAAGGGAAGCCCCACATAGAGCACATTGCAGTAATCCAGTCTTGAAGTAGCCAAAGCATGAACTACTGTGAGAAGGGTCTCTCAGTCCAGGAATGGCTGTTGCTGTTGAACCAGCAGCAGTTGGTAAAAGGCTCTTCTATCCACCACACATATGAAACGTTCTGGAATATTTCTTTTGAATGGTGCTTCATTCTTTCAGGAACCACAGTACTCTTGTGAATGTAATGTTTTAACTGTTCCTAATCCTGAATTTTAAATTGCTTTTTAAATAATTTTTATTAGTGTTCAATTACAATAATAGCCTCATTATAACAATGCCAAATTATAATACAATTCCTAATACAAATCATTCAAATACCAAATTATAAAATTTAGGTGCCCCCCCCCCCCGCGTGCTAGACTTGATGGTTTGATGGTTTACTTTGTTCCTGCATTCCAAAATTGATTTCATTTACATTCCCATCATGATAGTAATCCCTTATACAACAGCTGCAATAGTTATAACTTCTATTCGTGTTAACACATTAAGTAATTTATAAGACTGCAAGTGAAGATCTCATACAGCATCGTTTTTAAATTGAATTTTATTATTTTTATTATCATAAAAAGCCAGTTTAGGAGATCCAATGCAGTGCATGCGCCCGTTTTAGAAGACTCCGGATGGTCAAGGTCCAGCTTCTATCCTCAACTCTCTGCAAGGAGAAAGCTAGCATACAGAACTTGGGCTCCATTAGATATTTGGCGTGGGGGGGCGGTGAAACCACCAAGGCCTCCCCGCAAACTGTGCATCCTAACCCTGCTCTTTTCATCCTCCCCCAGAGCCAGGCGCTTCCTGCCTGGCTTGCTAGCTTTCTCCTTGCGGAGAGTCGCGTCCGTTGCATGCGCGGGGCGGGCCTGGCTTCCTCTTCCCCCCCCGCCCCCCAAGGAAGCTGCTGCGCGAGGCGGAGTCTGTTAGGGTCGCGCGCGTCCCGAGAAGCGGAGAGGGCTCACGCGCACGTGGCCGCGCGCTCCCGATCCGCGCGGGCACCATTGGCGCCGCCCCTTCGCTTGCTTCTCTGCCTTCTCCTCCCGGCGCTTCCCGCACAAGACGCGAGGAAGAGGATGCCGAGCGCCGACGCCAGCCTGACCCCGCAGGTGCACTGGGCGCAGCGGCACCACCAGCTCTACCTGCGCGTGGAGCTCAGCGACGTCCAGGTGAGCGCCTGGCTCGGTGGGCTGCGGAGCCGAGGGGGTGGGGGGGTTAGGTAGGTGTCGGTCCCCCACCCCCAACACGCAGTCTCCCCTGCGGCCTTTCCCTCCCCCACTCCTGCCCAAGGGATTCTGGGGCAGCCTCTCTTCTCCCCGGGTGCCCTATAGATACCCCACTTCCCGGGGGGCCGCAGGTGCTTTATTGATGCCCAATAAAGCACCCCCCCAAAAAAAATCCTTAGAGCGACATGTACGCCCGCAGGGGCTTCCACGGCGAGGCATTGGTGCTCCTTGATCGCCACCGATCCCCACTTGGCCGAGGAGCGTTTTGGGGGGTGCTTTATTGGGCATCATCATGGACAGGCCTCAGGCTGTTTGCAGAGGAGGCTTCAGGGCCATGCAAGTTAATAATGCAATCATCGTTCTTTAGTAATATGGTGTGCGTGCCGGTTTTGCCAGGCGGGATCCACAGGGGCAAGTGGGTGTGCAAAGGTGAAGGGAGAAAGCAGGTTATTATCTCTTCGATCTGGTTGGTTCCCTGTGCGCATGTGTGCATACCACCTACATTTGACATAGCACGCAGTTAACACATTCCTCTCCCCTGCAGATAATCCTGGGAATTGTAGTGTCCCCCCAGGGTGCAAGGAACTAAAGACTACAGTTCTCAGGATTTTGCACACCTTTCCCCTTTTACAACCCTTCTCCTACAGGAAAGTTTTCCCCATAAATCCTGCACTAGTCTCCGGCGCTATAAGGGTATTGCTAAAAACTTTTGATTCGATTCGATTTATTGCATTTCGACGCCGCTTTCCATTCAGAGAAATCTCATTTTATGAATACATAGTTGGTGTTGTAAAATCGTTCAAAGTGCATCTCAAAGCGGCTGACAGAAAAAAAGAAAAGAACATCCCAAAAATGAAAGAACATCCCAAATACAGCACAAATAACATAAATCAATAAAATAATTACAATTTGTAAAACACTCTTAACGAAACAGCAGCTAAAAAAAAACAAAAAGGTAAACATCACGGTTGCAGCAAAAACTGTTTATTATATGATCCGTAATTCAATACGCCATTTATAATCTATAAATCAATGTTAACAACATTGATGAAAAACGTACACTAAGCACAAGTTCATACACACACTTTCCACGCCCCCGTGACTCATATTCTTTCACACTTTTCAGTTCATTAAAATACACATAAAATACACACAATGTTAAGCCAGCTCAGGCAGATGCTGGGGTCCTCACTGTGGAGATAGTGAGGTTTAGGGGGGGGGGGTTGGTGGCAGCATTATGTCCTTTTCACCCTCCTTGTGGAGTTCCTGCTGCTCCTTTTTGTGGAATAGGGGAGAAGAAGCTATGCTTTATCCCCACCCACCCACATTGCAGCTTTGGTGACCCCTTTCTGAAGGGCCCCCGTCCCGATATGTCTCAAATTAGGCTTCTGCAGGCCCTATTATTTTATAGGGACCATGCCATCAAGGCTTTTCCCCTAAGCGCCTGACCGTGGTTTTTTTAAAAAAAAGTTTTATTATTATAATTATTACATTTATATGTAAATTTTATAATTTCCGTCAAGGAACTCAGGGTGGTATACATTGTTCTCCTTCCTCTGCGTTTTATCATCACAGCAACCCTGTGAGGGAGGGTATTCTGAGAGCAAGTAACTGGCCCAAAGTCACCCCACAAGCATAGCTGTCAACTTTTCCGTTTTCTTACGAGGAATCCTATTTGGAATAAGGGAATTTCCCTTTTAAAAAAGGGAAAAGTTGACAGCTATGCCCACAGGCTTCATGGCTGACTGGGGATTTGAATATTGTAAAAGTATGTACTTTCCCACTCCAAGCTGTGATGAACAGCAGCTTAGAATCTGCTGGGATAAAAGCATGATAAAATTACCATTATGCAAGTTCTGCCGTCCTCTGCAGATCCCTGTCTCTGATAGTCTGCTTCTATTATTAATTATTATTATTATTATTATTACCACCCTTCATCTACTAATACAAAATAAAAGCACAAAATACATCATAAAACCAGGAACAAAACCACCACAAATAACAGTCCCTCTCCTCCAACAATTCTGTGAATGGGTTTTTTAAATATATTTGTAGATTTATGAAACCGCTTCACAGGCAAGAGCTACAAAAGTGGGGTGCAATAAGATACAAAAGGTTGTTGAAGGCACCTCGGGTAATTTAAATACAAGCAAATGGGCTAATGAAAACCTTGATCAGATCCAATACGGCTCTTTTTCTTTTGCCTCTTTCTCTGCAGGATCCTGACATCACAATTACAGACAATGTGCTCCATTTCAAAGGTAGGTCAGTTTTGTTGTGTTTTCATGATTCTTTCTGGAAGAAAATGGCTTTGGGATCTTGCTGTGGCAAGATTTTATGCAGTAGATGGCAATTTAGAATCGATAAATAATATGTAATACCCTTTTTTTAAATCACTGTTTCCTCCTGATTTTTGTTAAACTTTTGCTTTGGGGGTGGGGAAGGAGAAGCCGCGTTTGCATTTTAAAAGCGTTATTATTTTGGTCATGAGGCCTAAAACAACTGAGCTCTTGACATAAAAGCCACTACTGTAACTGTAAAATTAACATGACTTTGGAGGCTTACGTTCTATCTTTCCCCTCCTGTGCCGTAATTTCAAACAAAATTCAACCTATTTGAATATAGCAGTGAAATTTCCCCGATCTATTGAGTTGATTGTAAGCCCTGCTAATAATGGTCTCTCTCTTTCAAAACATCTTGTTTACTGTTGCATAAGGAACTGACATTCAAATTTGAAAGATAAGTGGATACAATGCAAATGTTTGTTTGTTTTTTATTTTGATCTTCTGTGTCCTCATCATGGATTTGCCCTACGTCTAAAGACTTGTAAGAGCAATGCATTGCGTTACTTAAAAAACCCCCCAAAACCCCAACCCAAATCCTGTCTTTGAATGCGATTAACGCATTATTACATAGGGGGGGGTGTCCATTTACACACCATACATTTAAAGTACTATGATAACACTTTAAACACTAATGGCTGCTCCCCAAGAATCCTGGGAGCAGTAGTTTGTTAAGGGTGCTGAGCGTTGTGTAGAGATTCCCTTGTTTCCCTCACAGAACTACAATTCCAGAATTTCCTGTGAAGAGGAATTGATTGTTAAACCATTCTGGGAATTATCGTTCTGTGAGGGGAAAAGGGGCCTCCTACTCATTCTCAGGGGACACGGGTGGCACTGTGGGTTAAACCACAGAGCCTAGGACTTGCTGATCAGAAGGTCGGCGGTTCAAATCCCAGTAACGGGGTGAGCTCCCATTGCTCGGTCCCTGCTCCTGCCAACCTAGCAGTTCGAAAGCACGTCAAAGTGCAAGTAGATAAATAGGTACCGCTCCGGCGGGAAGGTAAACGGCATTTCCGTGCACTGCTCTGGTTCGCCAGAAGCGGCTTAGTCCTGCTGGCCACATGACCCGGAAGCTGTACGCCGGCTCCCTCGGCCAATAAAGCGAGATGAGCGCCGCAACCCCAGAGTCGGCCACGACTGGACCTAATGGTCAGGGCCCCCTTTACCCCTTTACTCATTCTCAGAACCCTTAACTAACTGCAGCTTCCAGAATATGGCCTGTGGGGAGGGGGCACACTTACCGCATTAAAATGCAGCATTAATTATTATTATTATTATTATTATTATTATTTGTTGTTAATATTTATTGGACTTGTTAGTTGCTTGTTACCCAAAGGTCTCCAAGTGACTAACAACACATTTAAAAACATAAACATAACTATATTAAACAATTAAAGGTAAAGGTAAAGGTACCCCTGCCCGTACGGGCGAGTCGTGTCCGACTCTGGGGTTGCGCGCCCCTCTCGCTTAAGAGGCCGGGGGCCAGCGCTGTCCAAAGACACTTCCGGGTCACGTGCCCAGTGTGACAAGCTGCATCTGGCGAGCCAGCGCAGCACACGGAAACGCCGTTTACCTTCCCGCTAGTAAGCGGTCCCTATTTATCTACTTGCACCCGGGGGTGCTTTCGAACTGCTAGGTTGGCAGGCGCTGGGACCAAACGGCGGGAGCGCACCCCGCCGCGGGGATTCGAACCGCTGACTTGACGATTGGCAAGTCCTAGGCGCTGAGGTTTTACCCACAGCGCCACCCGCGTCCCAATTAAAAAATTAAATTAAACAATTAAAGCAAAAATGACCCCCATAAGAAAGACAAGAAGCTTGGGCAGCCTTTACCTGGTGCTGAAAGATGTTGAAGGTGCTAACCATGATGAGGACAGAAGTGAATTCTTGTCAATTTTGGCAGTTCCTTGACACCAGACTTGATATGTGGCGGGTTGTGCCTGGATGCATCGCTATGCCCTGCAGAGGGCCAAGTCCTGGTGTTTCTGATTTATCTTTTACCTGCTTTAAAAAAAAAAATGCAGGAAGGACAGACGGACAATTAACCTGGAAAGCCTTCTGAGAAACGGAGCTGTCATTCAGTTGCAGAGTTGTGCCACTTCCTGCAATTCTCAAGTAGATTTCTTACTTCTGCTTGTTTTTCTTCCTAGCTCAGGGCCACGGAGCCAAGGGAGACAACGTGTATGAATTTCAAATTGAGTTTCTGGCACCAGTGGACCCGCAGGTAACAGCTTCTGGTGTTTCCTGCAGCTGAATTACAAGGCCAGTGCTTTGACCAACAGGTGGATGGTGCTTTGGAGTTTTGTCTCTCATGGGTGGTTTTCTGTGTATACCTCTGCAACCTTCAGAGTTCCCCTGAGTACGCTTATACTCAGAACTTCCTCTGTGACGGTACTCACTGGTGCAGAATATTAATTTTATTCCCTCCCCCCTTACATTTACATCCCACCTTTTTTTCCAAGGAGCTCAGACTTCTGCTTTCTATTTTATCCGCACAGCAACCCTGCGAGGCAGATTAGGCAGACAGACAGTGACTGAGCGGGGATTTGAACCCTGGACTCCCAGGTCCCAGTCCAGCACTGTAACCATTACACCACGGAGGCTCTCACTTCTTTTTGCTACTTATTGTAGCCATTTTGTGCTGGACCAACAGCACTTTTATCAGGATATGAGTACTGACACCTCATTTTTTAACTTAAAAAGCAGTGCTTATACCTGTAGCAATTGCGCAACTATCCATCCCCCCTTGACCAGTCCTCCAAATGCCGGCTGGACCCGGCAGGGAGACAGGTAGTTACATGAGGTGTTTCAAGTCACAAAACAAATCGTAAGCTGCCACCACCTCCTCTCCTGGGTCAACCCTCAAATGGGGTCCAAGGAGGAGGAGAACCCCACTTCGATATTTACCGGGTTGCCCAGCCCTGTGTCACTTTACTGTGACACAGACAGAAATCCAACAGGTAGTGTGTACTAAGTGGTCAAGCACCAGTTCAGCTTGTCTGGGCAAAAGGCACAGAATACAGAAAGGCAAAAGTCCTTTTTCAAATTTATTGAAAAAGCTACTCAAAGAGTAAAAGCTTGCACATTTCTTAAAAGGTTACAAACAAGAAAAATAACAACATAATATCACTAACTAAAACATACTCACAAGTAATCAGTAGTTCAAAGCATAGTAAGAAGTCACAAAGTCTGTTCTGGTCAAACGCCCTCAGGCGAACACCAGGGCAAGGTGGTCTGCAAACCTTTATCCTTGAGAACCCCTCGTGGAATACAGGTTTAGGAACCAATCATTTCTTTGGGTTAATTACCAATTTGCCAATGGCTGTATGATGAGACAATAACTCCTGATTGTGAGAAGACCCACACAGCTGAACTTTGTTTATTCTCAGAGACCTTGAGATCAAAAGGCTCTCCCTTCATTCCCAGACTTCTCTGATCCATACCAGGCTCTTGAGCTGTAAATTACCTGATAGCCTTTTGTAACTTTTCACACTTCATCCACATTCAAGCCCCCAGCTGGGCAAGGATCTGCAAACCAGATAACATAGCATCCTGCCTAGAGTCAGGAGGCAATTTGATCTACACTTCTAAGGACAGTTTTACAATTAAAGAGACCAGATCTCTATTTCCCAGAAATCCACAGTTTCAACTCTCCCACAATGCATCACACCCACATGAACCAAAGTTTAACATACGAAGATTTCTCAACTTCACTGCAATACCTCTCTTGTTTCTCAGTGATTCCCATCTTGAGTTTGCTGTTTCAGAGAATGATGGTGTGGCCATGCAGCTATGTAGATACGATCAGCATGTGAGATTGCTCAGTGGTTTTTACAACTCTGAAATTCCAGTCAGCACTGTTTGTGTGATAAGCCAGAATCCTGTGCGTAGGTTGTGGTATTAGCCAATGAAGTTGGCTAATGCTTCCTTCCTCGGGCAAGAACCTGCTCTGCCTACATGCCAGCATCCTAGAGCTACCTGCTTCTGCTTAGCCTAGAGAGTTCCTTGGAGCCACTTAAGTATCAGATATCTGGCTCAAGTTTCCTGCAGTGCTCACCTAACCGCTTGGATGGGGGAAACTGCCTGCCTGGATCTTAATTTCTGCAATCCTCCTGCCTGCAAGGGAACAGAAATGTCAAAGCCCCCTTAGAAGCTGGAGCAATTGTGATTTCTATGCCAAAAGCTCAGTCACAACTATAGAGTTCCAAACCCTGACAAGTGAGAGATAAGAAATTCGCCCCAGTCGAGCACACAGATAGGGGCCGGCTGTACACAGAACTGGTTGTACAAAGTAACCCAAACAAGTTATGAAAGACAGTGGGGGAAATCTGAAGTTAGTCGTGCTCAAAGTAGAGCCATTGAAAAATGGGTTTGTTTTGACTAATCCTGGATAGCACCAAATTACTGTGAAGCAAGAGAAGGGATGGCTTTCCAGTCGTAGTCACATGTCAAAGTGCTACAGAAATCTGCACAGAAATGATTCCATAATTCTTGACTGTGTAGCCTTGTTCAGTTGTAACCATCGTAGTCTGATAAAGAATGGTTTTGGCTGTCAGACTGACAGGCACCTGCCTGAAGTATCCTGATGGCCTAAGAGGAAGAGAGCCTTGCTGCTTCTGGTGTGAAATATGGTACATTCTGTGCCAAATCAACAAACAAGGAGTGCACAATCGTCATGAATTTTGTGGGTATTTTGCAAAGTCGTTACTTATGTCAAAATGTATCTTACAGCAATGGCATTAGTATTACCCCTTATGCCTAGGAGCAGGGCTACACCCCACTGAAAGTTCATTCAAGGTCGCAGTGCCCTTGGTATTTTTTGCCACTGAATGGCAAAATATTCACTGAACATGCTACTTGCAACAGTCATTGTGGGGCCGTTTTGAGGCTCAGGGTCTCTTTAAACTGCTGCTAAAATGGATATTTGAGTGCCCTCCATTTCAGCAGTGGAAACTGCTTTCTCCTCCAGGAGTAAGGTGCACACCCAGCCAGGGGCGTAGGAAGGGGTGCAGTGGGGGAGGAGAGCCCCTGGTGCCCTCACTGAAGGGGGTGACATTTGGCGCACTGCCCACCTGTGACTTCCAAGCCTACCCCGAGCCATTGGGGTAAGGGGGGAGCTGTGCCACTTTGCCAGCGACATTCCCCCCTTCCCCCTTCAATTTGACAGCTTGGGGGAGGCTTGGGAGTCGCGGGTGGGCAGCTGCAGGGCGCGCACACCTCTCCAAACACCCGAGTGGCTATCCTGCGCTTGGGAGGGCACCCTCCGTGCCACGCCCCCCTTGGGAGTGCACCCATCCTGCACAGCGCGGGCATATGCTCCGCCGCTGCACCCAGCACCTATCAGTGCCCTCCAGCTCTAGAATGTACCTTTGAAGGCTTGTCCGTACCTGCATCACGATGTCAGGTGAAAAGAATCCTGTTGGGCCAAGGCTGGCGTGCAGGCGGAGCTTCCTCACCTGTGCAGTAACGGCTTGGGTCACAAATCTGAACATTCAGTTTTAAAAGTTGCGAATTAGTAGCTTGGTGTGGATGCTTTTGCAAGGCCAGGATAGCCTGTGTTGAGTAGCACTGCAGGTTATCCACAACTGTGCTTGTGTGTGTGCGTGCGATTTTTGATGAAGTTATTTCCAACCCAGAGCTGTTTGATAATGGAACGGTCTCCCTCGGAAGGCGACGGACTCTCCTCCGTTGGAGGTCTTCAAGCAGAGGTTGGGGGGGGCTCTGTCGGGGCCTCTTTAGCTGTGATTCCTGCATTGCAGGGGTTGGACTAGATGAGCCTTGGGGGCTCCCTTCCAACTCCAGAGTTCTGTGTGACTCAGTACCAGTGCTCTGTGGTTGTCTTCTTTCAGCCAGCCTATAAAATGACACAGAGGCAGCTGAACATCACCGTAACGAAGAAGGAGAGCCAGTGGTGGGAACGGCTGACCAGGCAGGAGAAGCGGCCGCTGTTCCTTGCTCCGGACTTTGATCGTTGGTTGGATGAGTCGGATGCTGAGATGGAGCTGAAAGCCAAAGTAAGGCCCAGCCATTGATACACAATGTGCTCTGTCCCATCCTTTCTCCATGAGGACACGTGGGCGTGTCTGCTTGGCTGATGATGGAAACAGACTACAGTGGTACCTTGGTTCTCAAACTTAATCCGTTCCGGAAGTCTCTTCCAAAACCAAAGTGTTCCAAAACCAAGGCGCACTTTCCCGTAGAAAGTAATGCAAAACGAATTAAGCTGTTCCAGACTTTTAAAAACAACCCCCAAAGCAGAAATTTAACATGAATTTTACTATTTAACAAGACCATTGATCTACAGTATGAAAGCAATAATCAATGTACTGTACTAGAAAATAAATAAGACAGTATTGTAGTTGATAAAAATTTTAAAAATAATGATTTCGTAACTGCACTGATGATAGTCATTGTTTGGATGAGGGGCTTTTATCCATTTCCGCAGTCACACAGTCAATCAATCAATCAATCAACCAGTAGCTGAACTAGGTTCCACACAGTCACAAAAACAAATTAACTGGAAAAGCCTCAAAAACAAAAACGCAAAATAAATAGCAAAAACAAAAGCGCCAAACTTAATCCATTCTGGAAGTCCGTTTGACTTCCGAAAGGTTCAAAAACCAAGATGCAGCTTCTGATTGGTGCAGGCATCCCAGAAACAATAGCTGACAACTGCATTGGATGTTCAGCTTCTGAAAAATGTTTGAAAACTCGAACACTTACTTCCAGGTTTTCGGCGTTTGAGAACCAAAGTGCCACTGTATTGCCAGCCCGTAACTCCAGTGTTCAAACATTTGCACTGGCTACCTATGCTCTCCTAGGCCAGGTTCAAGGCTCTACTATACCATACATCTCTGTCCAACTACTGAAGTCTTTGGGGGAGTCACTATTAGTTTCCAGGCCCAGTTCAAAGGGCTGGTGTCGACCTATGAAGCCTAACATGGCTCAGGACCTCAAGACCTTAAGGATTGCCTCTCCCCATACAAACTGACCCGGACCCTGCACTTGTCATCTGAGGCCCTTCTCCATGTCCCCCATCCCAGAAATGTGGCAACAAGAGAACGGGGCCTTTTCTGTGGTAGCTCCCCAATTGTGGAATGCTCTCCCCAGAGAGGCTCGCCTGGCGCTGCCATTACATGTCTTTTAGGTGCCAGGCAAAAATATTCCTCTTTAACCAGGCCTATGGCTGTTAAATATTCTATGGCCTGTAAAAGTATGGGGGAGTGGAATGATTGTTTTATTATTAGGCTGTCTGTCAGTATGCTTTTTACTCTGTTTTTAATTATGTTTTTAATCAGTGATGTTCTGTAATGTGTTTTTAATGTTATACGCTGCATTGAAATCTTTTGATAGAGGGTGGTATATAAATAGAATAAATAATATAACAATATAATAACTGTTGGCACCCCATGGCTAGAATGTCCACCAGGAGCTGTGCATCCAATATTGTGGGGCTAGTTCTATGGAACTTCCTTTCAGCTGAGGCCAGACAGGCTCCCTTCCTGTTGAACTTCTGCCTACTGAAAACCCTTTTATTTAAAAAAAAAAAAAATCCAGCAGGCATTTTAACTGATTAATTCTGATGTAATAGTTCATTCGAAGTCATTTTTATTTTCATTGGATTGAGTTTATTGTATTCTGCCTAAGAGGCAATTGTAATGAAGTGGTAGAATAAGTTGTCTAAACATTACCGTGAGTGTATGAAGCACTTTGAACTGTGCTATTTTAAATGCTAAGTAGTGTTGTTTTTTGCAAAGGCAGATTTTGTTAAAGGCAGACAGGACTGCGAGGTGATTAAGTAGCAACTGCAAAGGGAAGGCAATACTTAGCAGGGACTTTTGAAAAGGAGGAAGAGAGGCAATTTAAAATGAAAGCAAAAATGAAAGAGAATGCCCCAGGCAAGTTGGGGGCTGGAGGGGAAAAAAAGAGCTGAAACTGGAGGCCATCTGAATTGTCCAGCAGACACCATCACCCAAGAACGCGCTGGCTCAACATCCGCTCACGTTGGATGTTGTTGAGTTGGTTTTTCTGTTTTGTTTTTTGGCAAAGGTCTGTCCCAAAAGACAGCAGGCGGCTTCCCAATGGCACTTAGGTAAAGGGTAAAGGGACCCCTGACCATTAGGTCCAGTCGTGACCGACTCTGGGGTTGGTTGCGGCGCTCATCTCGTTTTATTGACCGAGGGAGCTTCCGGGTCATGTACAGCTTCCGGGTCATGTGGCCAGCATGACTAAGACGCTTCTGGCAAACCAGAGCAGCGCACAGAAATGCCGTTTACCTTCCCGCCAGAGCAGTACCTATTTATCTACTTGCACTTTGACGTGCTTTTGAACCGCTAGGTTGGCAGGAGCAGGGTCCGAGCAACGGGAGCTCACCCCGTCAAGGGGATTCGAACCGCCAACCTTCTGATCAGCAAGCCCTAGGCTCTGTGGTTTAACCCATAGTGCCACCCGCGTCCCCCCCAATGGCACTAACACTTGCTAAAAACCCATCTTGCTCATTTTTTAGGAGGAAGAAAGGGTTAACAAAATCAGCATAGAGAACCGCATCCCCAAAGACCGTAAGTAGCCAGTATCTTTTGTATAATCATTTTGTTAATTATTGTGTGTATATTAGTCACCAATGTGTTGCATGAGTCGTACTACAGTATCTTTTGTCTGGCAAACCTTTCTGTGCCAGCAAGATTTCTTTACCGCTCCTCCAATCTCCCTGTTTAAATACCACCCCATATTTTGTGAAAATGGAGATATGATGGACTGGGAAGAAGACAGGGAACAAGCAGGTCTATATAGACTTAGGGATTTTGTGTAAATGTTTTCTCCCTACATGAAGAACAGATTTTGGCTAAGATTCAAAATGCAACATGGTCACAGTTTAATTTTAATTGGTTGCTTTTCTTTCTGCTAAAACCATGTACTAGCCATTCAGTCAGACCAAGTGTTGGCTGCTTTAGAACAACTAAACAATTAAACATGAAAAGTGCTGGGATAGCTCAGTCGGTAGAGCATGAGACTCTTAATTTCATTGGGCAAAAGATTCCTGCATTGCAAGGGGCTGGACTAGATTGCCCTCGTGGGTCCCTTCCAACTCTACAATTCTGTGATTCTATAAACTTACGGTTAATGTTCCTGCTACATCAAAGGGTGTAGTATCAACTATACACATCTTAAGGCCACAAAAATTCCCTTGGAAACGGACCTTCAAGTAATGAAACCTGCTTTGCAGGGAAAACACATTTTAAAACAGTTTTGGCCCAATTAAGGGAATCTTCTTTGAAACTCTTACACAGATGGCACCTTTCCCCCTTGTGAATATCCAACATGATACCAGGGGCAACATCAACCTGTTAGAGGGGATATGGAGAGACTGGATCCTACAGACATATGTGGTGGTTTTGCAAATCTGTTTACCCATTTTCGGTTCTGGTATTTAAAGAGTTGAGTTTAATATACAAACTGGAGCTGCAGCCTTCCCCTCCACTTGATTTACTTGGAATTAAAGGACATTTCTGCTCCAGCAGCTGCTCATAAAGACCTTCTAACATTCCTCCTTGCAGCAACACATATGGAAATAGTCATACGATGATGGCGAACTGCCTTGGGCTTCAACATTGAAGCGTGGTGCTCCAGAGCATGGACAATGGCCCTGGCTGAAAAGCTGGCATGCCAGATTCGTGTGACAAAGGGCATTCTAACCCCCATCTTTTCTCTAATGTGTGTCAACCGTTTTGGGATTATGTGTGTCAAGAAGATTGTGTTCATAACCCACCGAGATCTCACAGTAATACGTGGAAAGGTGTGAACTGTAAGAATTCGATTTGATATTTTTAAGCAACATGGTTACGTAGTTTTATGTGCGGTGTGAAAAATGAATGTGTATAAAAGAAAGCCTTTGTCATTGTGCCTCCGACCAAAGACAGGATCTTGCATTCCACTGACTTCTGCCATTTAGCCCCTGTTCTTCTGCAATGCCTTGCAGCTTTCCGGCACCTGAAGAGAGGTTACCTCTTCATGTACAACCTTGTGCAGTTCCTGGGCTACTCATGGATTTTCGTGAACATGACAGTTCGGCTCTTCATGCTGGGGAAAGGCAAGTAACACTCTTCACCCTCTTGTCCCTGCTGGCTGGTGCTCCGCTGCCAAGTTCAATCCCTGGCTGCTCTCATTTAAAAGGTCCTTGAGCAGCAGTAGAGCGGCACATGCAGAAGTTCAGGGCCGTTTCACAATAGATACAGCCACACCCCCTTCCAAGATTATACAATAATCTTGCAGTTATGCAATAATAATAATAAATGGGGATGCATTGCAGTGGTCAGTGCAGATCTCCATGTGTTGCCTTTGGGCTAGATCTGGTGTTTTCTGTGCACATACATGGGCAAATGATTTGGAGTGCTCCAGTGTCGTCTTTCAGGGTGACTTAAATTGTGTTTACAGTGGTACCTCGGGTTAAGTACTTAATTCATTCTGGAGGTCCGTTCTTAACCTGAAGCACCACTTTAGCTAATGGGGCCTCCTGCTGCCACTGCACTGCCGGAGCACAGTTTCTGTTCTCATCCTGAAGCAAAGTTCTTAACCCAAGGTACTATTTCTGGGTTAGCGGAGTCTGAAACCTGAAGTGTATGTAACCTGAGGGGTATGTAACCTGAGGTACCACTGTACTGGAAATTCTGTTGTATGGAACTTGCATGTTCTTTTGAAGCGGAAGTCGCTTGCAGCGTTCTTAAACTCTTGCTTTAAAGCATACAGAACAACAATTCTTCGTGGATCTTCCCACACATTCTTCAGAGCGATCCTAGGAGCCAATCCTCAGTGGCTGACTCACTTCCTTTCACTCTGATTGGCTGCAATTAGAAGGCTTCTTGGTGTTTACATAGTTTCACTTTCATGCTGATTGGGCAACTCAAGGGCACTGCAAAAATAGTAATAGATCTTCGACACCCACCCACCCCCAAACTTTGGACTGCTACAACTCTTATCTTTAATGGAAGGGGTTGGAAAGGAGGGTCTGGGGGGCTGCTGCTGTTTGGAATAGACAAGATGGGACTCAGTGGTTTGCCTTAATATAAGACAGCCATAAATTTGTTGTTGTTATCAGACATGTTAGTTGTTATGCAGAGGCCTCCAGCCAACATACTTGAAAACACTGAGTGGCTGAAGAAATCATTCTCTGAGAAGCCTGACTCCAGAGTTCCCCTTGCAAAGTACCCCTGTTCCTTGGATCCGGGTCATTTTTCAATTTCCAAGGTGCAACTCTCTCTTTTTTAAAGGAGTTCCAAAGAATAACCTTCTTGTCTACCTCTTTCTTGCAGACTCTTTCTTTGATACTTTCCACACAATGGCAGACATGATGTACTTCTGCCAGACGCTGTCTTTCATTGAGATTGTGAACACACTGATTGGTCTGGTCCGGGCTCCTTTCATGCCTGTCATCCTCCAGGTAATTGCACATAGAGAGCCAGCAACCCCTCTCTGGTAACCCCAGGGGCCATATTCCAAAATTGGCCAGGGCCTCCTGGCTCCCATCTAGGCCAAATGCCCTTTATCTCTCGCTCTTTCTCTGCTGGAGTTCCAGCAGAAAGGGGAGGCTGTGGCAGAGCCCTCCCCAATTGTGCACCTTAGCTTCTATCTCCTGGAGTGGCAGTGACTGTGCCAAGGTCACCCAGAGGGCTTCATGACCAAGTGTGGGATTTGATCCCTGTCTCCCAGGTCCTAGTCCAGCGCTCTAACCACTGCACCACACAGAGCTTCACCATTCCTCTAGGGAGCTCAAGGTGGCCTATGTGGTCCTCCCCAGTTTTATCCCCACAGCAACCCAACTGAGAAGAGTGACTGGCCCAGGGTTGCCCTGTGAGCTTCATGGCTCAGTGGGGATTAGAACCCTGGTCTCCTAGGTCCTAGCCTGGCACTCTGACCACTACACCACCCTGGTTTGATCCTGCCTGTCTCCAGTCTTGGGCCTGTGTTCATGTGGGCAGCCTTAATTGGCAGTCTGGCAGAGCCTTTCACACATTAATTTCTGTTCTCCTTTTCACGGGAAGAGGAGCTAAATCACATGGAGGTCAATTGTTCTCATGATCTGGAAGCATGCTGAATACAGTACTAGCTCCCTCCTGCCCTCTGGCTTAGAGAGATGCAGACAGAGAGTTTGCTACGTGTATACCATTTCTCTGTTCCAAACGCTTCTATGTCTTTCTCTCCCCTCTTCCTGCCCCAGGTCTTTGGGAGAAACTTTGTGTTGTTACTTGTCCTTGGAGGTGTGGAAGAAATGCAGAGCAAAGCTGTCGTCTTCTTCATCTTCTATATTTGGAGCATGGTAGAGATCTTCAGGTATCGGGGAATCTTGCTTTGCAGTCCCAGGCTGCTCTGTCCAGCCAGGCAATGGCCCATCCAGTCCAGCATCCTGTTCAATTTCTCACAGTGGCCAACCAGATGCCTCTGGGAAGCCCGTGAGCAGGACCCAAACACAAGAGCACCCTCCCCTTCTGTGGTTTCCTCTGTGACACCCCCCCCCATACCGCCTCTCCCTTCCATATTCAAATCATTCCTCAACACAGAACACAGCTGAGCTCAGGCTTAACCCTTTCATTTATATCTCAGCTGAAAGGAAGCCACTGTCTGTGCTGTGGCCTGCTCAGCTTAACCCAGGCTTCCTCAGACTCAGCCTTCCAGGTGTTTTGAGACTACAGTTCCCATAATCCCTGACCACTGGTCCTGCTAGCTAGGGATCATGGGAGTTGTAGGCCAAAAACATCTGGAGGGGCGAGTTTGAGGAAGCTTGGCTTAACCCCTCATTTGCTTCCCTCCACTCCCTGCAGTGAGTGAAGGGCTGTAGCTCAGAGGTAGAGTATCTGCTTTGCATGCAGAAGGTTCCAGGTTCGATCCTTGGCATCTCCAGGTCAGGCTGGGAAATGCTGCCATCTGAAACCCAGGAGATCAGCCAGTTGTAGACCCAGGGTGGCTAACCCAGGGCCTGTGAGCTGTATCTGACGCCCCAGTTTGTTTTCATTTAATTATTTTAATTTGTTAAATTTACATCCCACCTTTCCTCGCAAAGGAGCCCTTGGTAACAAAAATACAAATAAAATAAAAACATACCCCAAAATTAAAAAGCCTAGTAAGACACCTAAAAACAAATTTTAAGAACATTTTAACTTAATCATGTGTCCAGGTAGGCCTGCTAAATCATAAAAGTTTGCAGCAGGCATCCAAAAGAGTACTGCGAAGGCACTTGCCTGGTGTCAATAGGCAGGGAGTTCCAAAGTACAGGTGCTGCCACACTCAAGGAACGACTCCTTGCAGGCAGACATTGTGTGGAGCTTGCAGAAGTGCAAGATCCACAAATTGAGGTGATAGACTTGACTCGAGCCGGGTTAATTAGTAAATTTAGTTAATTTGACTGAATTTGTCTATACCACTTTAATTATAAAAACCTCTAAGTAAATATAAAATATACATAACATTAAAAAATATAAATAAATAAATTATATAAACAATTATTCCTGCATTCCAGGGGGGTGGACTACATGGACTAGACACATTGGGATCCTTTCCAACTCTACAATTCTAATATATGAAAATCAGCAGTTAAAAGTATACATTGTAAAATACAATTACTTATTAAAACACGTCAACTTTACACTTCTGGGTAGAGCTTGTCTAAATACAGTTTTAGCAGATGCTCAAGGCCACAATATTTTTTTTGTGCTCCCCCACAAGTCCCATCCAAATTCTTAGTGTATTTTGGGTTTTTTTTAATGAGGGCACCAGGTTGAGGAAGCTTTTTATTGTTGCATTTGTATCCCACATTTCTTCCACGGAGCTCAAAGTAGCAGACGTGGTTCTCCTCTTCATTTTTTCAGAGTCTGGGATGTAGGTTAGGCTGAGAGACGATGACTGGCCCAAGGACACACAGTGAGCTTTCATGGCTGGGTAGGGATTTGAACCCTGGTCTCCCAGGTACTAGTCCGACACTATAACCGCTACGCTACCCTGGCTGTGCTACGTCTTTTCAGCTCGCTGCCATTGTTCATGGTTCCTCCTTCCTTTCCCTCCTGGGGGGTATTCGGTGGCTAAGCCTGATGAGCCACTGACTTGCAGGGCTTCCCTTCCAGGTATCCGTTCTACATGCTCTCGTGCCTCGATATAGAATGGAAGATCCTGACCTGGATTCGATACAGCATCTGGATGCCCCTCTACCCTCTGGGGATCTTAGCAGAAGGTATGCTGGAGAGACATAGGCGACTGTGTCGACACCCGTTACCTAGCACCGCAAACTTGCCATCCAACGCCACTCAAGGCTCAGAAGCAGCCTGTGCCAGGTGTGGGGAACCTGTGGGCTTCCAGATGTCACTGAACTACAAGCCCCATCATCCCCGGCCCCTGGCACTGCTTGCTGGGGCTGATGGGAGTTGCAGTTTAGCCACATCTGGGAGGTTAAAGGTTCCCCCACCCCAGCTCTGTGCTGAAAATCTGATCTTCATCACCATCCCAGGAATGGGCTCCAGCTTACATCATCCTGGATCGTTGGCTGTGCTGGTTGAGGCTTATGGCAGTTGGAGTCTATCAGTATCTGGAGGGATAACATTTTCTCCAGCGCTGCTCTAGTCCTGGGTGCCTGAAGATTGGAAGCAATTCTTCCAGCCTCGATTCCGGTACATTTGCCTGGTTTTCTGAGCTCCTTTCCTCTTGTTGTTCACATGATGTTCACATGATGAGCTCCCTTCCTCCTGTTGTTCACATGATGTTCACATGATGAGCTCCCTTCCTCCTGTTGTTCACATGTTCTCATGTTTTGCTGGAGACGAGGCTGAGCGAAGCTGCATGTAAACTGTAGCCCTTTGCTCTTCCCCGCAAGGTGCCTTGACCTCAAGCCCTGTCTCCTTCTGTTTCCAGCTGTCTCCGTGATTCAGGCTATTCCCGTCTTCAGCAGCACTGGGAGATTTAGCTTCATGCTGCCCTACCCACTGAACGTCACCGTTCCCTTCTCCCTTTTTCTCCAGTTCTACCTTGTCTTCTTGTTTCTAGGTGAGTTTCAGATTAAAGTCTGCAAACAAGGTAATGTGGGATTGGGGTGGACTTCATGAGGACTAGAATTGTTCTTGGATAACTTGGTGGTGGTGGTAGTAGTAATCATCATCATCATCATCATCATCATAGTATCCTGCTGAAGGGAACTCTCCTCCCAGGGTAAGGTTTTGCACAAAGCTCTGCAGAGTTAGGGGTCATCATAAATTGTCACCTTGCTTTACATTCCTTTTTCTCCCCAAAGAATTGCTGGCAAAGTCCAGACGTTTCCTGTCCTCCCTTCTCCAGTCTTTGTTTACTAAGGCAGGAACAGAGCCACACCAAGTGAATAAATACTGGCACACAGCCCCTACTGCAGTTGTTTAAGGGGGAGGGGTAGTTTGGGGCCTTGCAAGGCCAGAAGGGCATGGTGAGAGGCCACTATTCACAGAGATACGTTACTCATTTATTAAATCTCTATCCTGCCCTTTCTCCAAACGGCACCTAAGACAGGAGACATTGAATAGTTCAATCATTACAATTTAAAACCATCTACCAGCATGTTAGACTGATGATTTGGGGAGCTTGAGTACCAGTACTCTCTCTCTTTTCCTTGGCACTACTGGCCTTGGGAGTTCAGACTTTTTCCTTCCTCCAGGGCCGTTTGTGAATTTCCGCTACCTCTACAAGCAACGGAAGAGACACCTTGGACCCAAAAAGAGGAAAATGCACTAGGCCGGAGCCTGGAATGGTTCCTTTCTCTTCTTCTTCTAATCTACCTTGAAGGCAGGGTTAGGGCTCTCTCCTAACGGTTTTACTTACCCTGTTGATCTGAAAAGCCAGTTTTGTACAGTTATAGCCAACATGCATCTCCCCTCCCACACAAAGATGGATCCAGGTGACATTCCCCACCTCCCAGTTAGGTCCAGCGACTCTTTGGTCAACCTGAAAGGGTGGGCCAATAGTCGTAGCCCTTGTGTCCTGTGCTACCTGCAAATAAAACTGACCCCCTCGGTGGGAACACAACTCCCTGCCATCCAGGAGCTGAGCAGTGTTTGCCTGGCTAAGTCCACGGGTGGAGGCAAGAGCTTCTCCACGCAGAAAATTATTTATTTTTAGGGGTTTTCCCAGTATCAAAACCTTTGGAATGGTCCCAGAGCAGGGAAGCTAGCTGGTCACTGCTTTTTGCTGAGGCTCCCAAGCCAAAGTCCTGAGCAGGGTAACCTTAAGCACCCTTTCCTCTAGCCAAAAGTGGTGTGCTGGTGGTTTATTGAGGCCTGCCTCTCTTTCCTTCTCCCTGCAGTGGAGATGGCCAGCTGTGAGGTAAGTCTCCCTCAGAATTGCTACTGGCATGCCCTTCTTTGCACATCAGGAATGGGGCATCTGTGACCCTCTAGATTAGGGTTTCCCGAACTTGGGTCCCCAGCTGTCAACTCCCATCTTCCCTCGCTAGCAGGACCAGTGGCCAGGGATGATGGGAGTCGTAGTGTTTGGAGACCCAAATACTTCTCCAAATGTTGCTGGACTGCAACGCCAACTAATTCTGTGAGTTGGACATGCAAGCAGGGACCAATGGGAATTGGGAATCCCGACACCTGGAGGACCACAGCTTCCCCATCCCTGGATTTATTCTTTTCTTACATCTGTATTCTAACCCCCTTGATGTGGAAGGACATCCTGTTGATTCAGAACTTCTGCAGAAAGACACCTGTTGTTTCTAGAGTTGGCTTGATGGGACCTCCTCCAGCTCACCACCCAATATCACAATTCTTCTTCTGGTGCAAGAAGGCTTTTGAGTGGCTCCATGGTTCTAGACGTGCTTTGTCTTTGTGGGGTCTAGGAAAGGCACCATCCTGCCTTTAGAATTGGGGTGGGGGGAGAAACACTATTTATCCACCAGACTGGGCACAGGCACCCTCCTCAGGGCCAATTTGGAGGTGACACTTTCACCTTAATTTACTCCAGGAAGGTAAATGGTGGGGTTTGGGGGACCCAAGTCCTGATCTGCCAGTAGTGACACTGACTTTCGACCGTAGCACACAGGGCACCTTACTTAGCCCTTTCCATTGCTGTCCCATCTGTTAAAATTACAGTCTAGGGTGCAGGCACTTTTGTCATGAATCTGTATTTGCTGGTCTTTTGGGAGGCAAATAGAATGTGTATTTCTAATAATAAAGATTTTAAAACATCTTTTGTGCACTCATTGACGTTTTCTTTTTTCTTTAAAAAACGAAACAGGATTCGGTGTGAATAGAGTGCTTAAGTTACGCCGATGGCAGATATTCTGCCATGGTCAACATTTGAATGAGTTATGCCTCCTATTTACATATGTGTATTGGTATGTTTGTTAGTCATAAATAAGGACCCTGACAGAACAGAGGGGAGCAAAGCAGAACCTGAGTAGCTCTTGGAGTGATACTGGAATAATTTACAACGCGGGTCTCTGGCTCAGCACCCCCTTCCCTTCATGCCCCATGCCCAGAGAACGGGGGAGGGTCTGTTTGAGTGCTTCTGCTCCTTCCCACTATTGAAATGTTTTCCCTTACAGCTTTACACCTGCATAATGTATCTCTTGAACCCCCTGATCTACAAGGGGGTTCACACTCTTCTATGTGGTGATCGCTTCCAGTCAGTTCAACAGCATATGACATTACTCATATCCCCTCCAACCTGCCAGTTAATAGAAGCAGAATTCTGAGCTCCGGCTGTTGCAATTCACCATCAATGCCCAAGTTCAGTCTTGGTGAAAATGTGAAATTAATGACTAGAGTGGGGAATTCAAAAAGTGCTACCATTTGAGAACCAGACTCTTAAATGTACATCAAAAGTGCATGCCAGTCACACTGTTTAAATAGCAGCAGGGGTTGTTTTTTACTTTTTCTTTACACAGCCCAGCTTCCAGAAAAAATAGTTGTCCTAACTTTCTCTCCAGAGCAGAGGTGGGGGACTTGATCTAGCCAGTTCCAGACCATCTTCTATAAGCTGTTTTGATGGGGGGCAGGGCTGCCCAGCAGTCAATCACCTGATGTAAAACGACACCAGCTGATTCAGTATTCAAGCCATGGGAGCTATGTCAAATCTTAGTGCTGTAGAACCAAAGTGCAGGGAAAGATTTATCTCCGCAACTGACAATGGTTTACCTAAATAGCCCTATGGTGCAGAAATCCCCACTGTTGATGTCTTTTTACATTCCTTGTTCAGGAAACCTTTGAAACGGTATGACGGATTTCAGGAGTACTGTGTTGGTTTTAGGGATTTCTAAATTCTCCCTTTCTCAGGGCCTGTGATAGGAAGGAAAGAGGGATGAAAATGTAACAAATTTAATAATACAGTCTGCTCTTACAGAGCAAGCTTGGAATACAATAGTTAAGAAAACAATCAATGATGGTCAAAGTTTCGCTTTAGAGGGTCATCACAGGCGCTCTGTCCCACTGCTGGAGAAGTCTGTCTGCAGAGGTGTGATGTTGTGGTCATAGGTGGCATATTCCGAGGTGCCACTGCCTGCCATTTTGAGCTGCTGAGCAGCGTGGGTAAGCTGGAAGGCGGCATCTGGATGGGCTGTGTCTGGCAGGAGGGTGCATTCCCTTTCAAGTATATCTGCTACGCCTTTCAACAGGTCCCAAAACCCAAGGGCTAAGGCTGCCTTTCGCAAGCGATTCAGCTCCTAGAAAGGAGTTAAGAGAGACAGCAGTGTTGGTGTCAGTTGAGACTGATGGGGTGTAACGCAGGAGGCCAACAGTAGGTGGAGCCTGAGTCAACTCTAGTTTTATCCCAGACTTCCTCCCCAACTTTCTACAAGTGCAACACTGAGACAATGGAGGAAGAAGCTGACAGCCAGTGCGATCTACTGTTCCCCATTCTCCCTAGTGGACCAGCCTCCACTGGAGAGAGAACACTTTCTAATCAAGCACTTGTGCAGTACTGGGAGGTCTTAAAATTATAATGTCATCTGAATGGGGGGAAATAAAAAGTCTAGTGCAACACTAAAGTAGAATGAGTTCATCATTCACTCTAAACGGGTGCTTCTAAAATCAAGGATAGGGGATGTGTGTGGCTCTCCAGATGTTGCTGGGTGGGTGTGTTGAATCAAACTGGAGAGCCACAGATTCCTTATCCCTGTTTTAAATGCATTAAGGCCAGAGGCTTCTACACTTTGTCTCACTGGGTAGTACTAGCATACACGCTGCTGTTGTCTGCCAAGGATCCGTGCATGTTGCAAAGGATTCTGGAGTGCACCTCTGGAGGTGTACAGTTCATTTAAACAGAGCACTGGCTATTTCCTTGTAAGTAAACGAAGAGTGCACTTCAGAACACACACAACTGCACGTTACACGGGAAGGAGGTGTACATTGTCCTCTTTCAGGGAAGTTAGCCTCCAGCTACTGACTCCTCCACTGAGAAACCTTTGAGCCAACCAAGTACAAACCAGGGCTCTCCAGCCCTGAGCTGGAGAACAGCTGCTCTAAGCCAACTATGCCAGCTCTCACTGCTGCTAAGACACAACTAGCTCTCTCTGTTCTACCAGGGAAGAAAAAGCACTGAGTGAGTTGCAATTTATTCGCCTCTGCAAGAGAGCCCCTGGAGACCAGGGTGCCACGGGAGCCTGCCGCTCTCACCTTGTAGAAAGTCTGTGTTTTTTCAGGGAGCTTCCTTGCATTCCTAAGTATCTTCTGCACATCTGTCTGCGGGGAAAGGAAAGGGAAAACATGCCTGGCTTGCTGGAGCTTGAAACTTCATCCCCCACCCCCTTACAGGTACAAAAAAGGACAACTTCACCACCACACACCCTCAAACCCCCTTCCCGCACAGTAGCATTCTTAATGGGGAATACGCTTTACTGCTCAGAAACCTTGGAACTGTACCAGAAGTTGACAGCAGGCTGACATGAATCCTGTGAGCACCAAGGTGATCTGCCCACACCCAGAAGCAGCCACCCACTTTTTACACCAACAGAAACCTCCAGACAGTCTTCATTCTTTTATTATGGCTGGAGAACTGAGGCAGAGAGATTAGTACATCTTGCCCGAGGCTACTGAGAAGGAGTAGACCAGGAGCTGAACTCTGGTCTAATTCCACGAGGCTTCACTCACTGCATTTACAGCCCTACCTCCCCCCCATCCCCCCAGGAGCTGAAGGGGGCATATGTGGTTCTGTCCCTTCCCATTTCATCCTCACAACCAGCCTGCAAGGTAGGTTATGCTGAGGTACTTGAACCCTGGTCTTTCAGGTTCTGGTTCAGCACTCATAAGTCCTACTGCCCACAGCTGTTGTCCAGCAGCAGGTTGATGTAAAAGCCTGTTCCATGTGCCCTGGGGCTGCACAGTGAAGGCGGGGGGGAAAAAGGGGCCTTTCAAGAAAACAGGCCCAACCTTCTGGGCTTTCCCCCCCACTGTGGAGCGTCTATCAAACTGAAAGCCTCTTGAGAATCCCCTCCCACACACAGACCTGGGAGCACAAGAGAAAGTGGATGCCTGCTGTGGGCTTTGAATTCAGCCCTCTGCTCACCTGGAGGCCATTTTGTTTAATCCACACTGTTACATTCTGTGCATAGCTGCGTTTATTCTTGGGTTGTAATGGAAAGGGACTCTTGTTGTCGTCTTCGCCATATGGGTTCTCTTTAGCATCTGAAAGGAAAATAAATCGCTGAAGAACGAGACCACTTACAAGCAAGCCAAGCAACTGGACATATGGACCGGATGCTTGAAAAGGGGACTCTAAAAAATTGTGAAGAGATTCGCAGGACACAAGAGCCCTTGATCCAAGGTGGAACATGTACACCAAAAGTTCCTGTGTGCACAGAACCTCACCATTTGCACACCAATGGTTGGGGCAGTTCTGTGAGCAAAAAGAGGGAACTACATCAGGAGCCTTCACTGAAATGAACGGGGAATCTGTGGTGTAGAACTCATGGACCCAACAGGGGAGGAAATGGGCTTGGGAAGACTAGTGTCTCAAACGCCGAGGGGATTGCTAGAACCATTCAGACAGGCATGACCCCTACCTGAGATGGGGCCAAGTTGGGCCATCTTCCCCAGCCAAGGAAGAGGCTCCGGACCCGGCTCAAAGAGAGACATCATGAGGTTGGACTTCTTCTTGCTGTCAGCCTGAGAATACAGCATCCCATACCATTCAGGGCTGAAAAGAAAAGCAGAACATCCACAAGCAGTTCTACCATTCTTGCTCCAAAGAAAACACCCTGGCCAATCTGGGGCTGGGCATTCCCTTTCCCTGCAGCTTCTCACTACTACAAGACAGACAGAAGTCACAAATGATCTGTCATATGAACAGCCTACTGGATCAGGCCAATGGCCCATCCAGTCCGGTTCTCACAGTGGCCACCCAGATGCTCCAACGGGAAGCTTGCAAGCAGGACCCAAGTACAAGAGCTTTCTCCCCTCCTGTGGTTTCCAGCAACTGGTATTCAGAAGAATTACTGCCTCTGTCCGTGGAGGCGGAGCATAAACGTAATGGCTAGTAGCCATTGACAGCCTTCTCCTCCATGAATTGGTCCAGTCCTCTTTTAAAACGATCTAAGTTCGTGGCCATCACTGCCTCCCGGGGGAGCAATTTCCATAGCTTAACTATGCACTGAATGAAATGCTTTATTTTATCTGTCCTGAATCGTCCAGCATTCAGCTTTACTGGATGTCCATGCATTCTGGTGTTATGAGAGAGGGGAGAAAACCATTTCTCTATCCACTTTCTCCATGCCAGGCATTATTTCACAAACTTCTACCTGCCCTCTTCTTCTATTAATTTTCAGGAAATGTTTAGGGTCACTTTGTTCCAAGACTGGGCCTCTGCTGTGGAAGTTTCCAAATGTGGCCCTTGTGACTCTTCCCCAGGCTTCGGCCCCATGCTGGCCCTGCTCTGTGACCCCCCTCCTTGAGGGCTTTTGCCTGGCTACAGGGATATGTGGGCGAGTGTAGAAACCTCTTGGGTTTTCTGTGGCTGGCATGTTACCTACTGTGTATAATAGCAAGAATTGCCTGTTTGCTCCATCCTCTGTTTGCCTTTGACCCTGCCCACCTGGAAGCCCCTGGAAGATTACTTGGAGTGAATGTGGCCCTCAGGCAGAACAAAGGCTTTCCCACCCCTGTTTCAGAAGCTTCTGGAACCCCTGCCTTGTTGTGGCAGACATAAGTCGCCCATCAAGGACATCTGAGAGATAAATCCAGTCTCCCTTTTCCAATACTAAATGAACTGAACATCAATCACTGGTCCCAAATACATAGAATTTTAGCCAATAACATCTCTGTTCTCCAGAACCACAAGCCCCCTCCCCCCATCCCCCGGACCCTTCGTACCCTAACTGCACAATAGCCACCATGCCTTCGACTTTCAGGCTCCCATGAAGCAACACACAGAAGTTTGGGATCTTGCCCGCTATCTGATTAGCCGAATTCTCGTCTTCAACCTCATCAGCAATCCCAGGACCCACCTCATCTCCTTCTAGGGAAAAGGGAAAATAAGACACTATCAGAACCTGCCTCCTCTCACTGGGGTGGTGGTGGTTGTTATTGCTACTAATACTACTACTGCTTAGATATCATTCTTTATTATGCTAATATCCCACTTTTTTCCTCCAAGGAACTCAAGTTTGTGTTCTCCCCCCCCACATTTCATCCCTTTATCAATCCTGCAAGATAGGCTAGGTTGAGAGATCATGACTAGCTCCCAAAGTCACTCAGGGAGCATCATGGTCAAGTGGGGATTTGAATCCTTGTCTCCCAGGTCCTAGCCCAGGACTCTAACCAACACACCACACACTGCCCAGATCATTGCTCAACAGACTAAAAATACAGAGTTGTCGCTGCTGGGTGTGGGGAGGGGAGAGAGCAGAAGGGCTCACCTTTGTTGAGAGCAATAGGCAACACCAAATGCCTAGATAGGACAGGGGGACTGGAGATATCTGCTATGTCAATAAACCCAACTATTTCCAAATCTAAAAGGGGGGAAAACAGAGAGAAGGTAGGGGATCAGATTTCAAAAAACACGCCAGCTAGGGATTTCTTCCACACACCCACATAATGTCTAAACAGGAACACACCATCTCACACATGCTCCTGGCCCTCTCAAAAGTAGACCAGGACCATTCCAAAGTGGAATCCAACCAGACCACAGTGGTTCATCTTCAGTTTCAAATCCCAGAATTGGGGCCTGCCACTGAGAATACCATCTCCTGGGCCACCCTCCCTCAAGCTTCTGAGAGTGGTGGAACAACCAAGAAGTCCCCCTCTGACGATCACAACCCCTGAGAGTGTCTATAGGGAAGGAGGCAGTCTTCCACATCCTTGTCGCCTGAGTCATTTAGAACTTTCAATACTAAGTGTCAGAAGTGGGACAGATGGCTACATTCCACAGCCCAAGTCAGAGGAAGAAACTGCCGAGGAGGAGGAGCTAAATCAAAGTTGTTGCCAGAAAAGAAGCAGCTACTTACCCGTATTAATTGTTTTAGGGATTGGATCGATTTCCTCATCTATAATGAAAGGCTCCGGCCTCGGAAAGGCTTGCACGTCCGAAGACAAATGGCCGCATTTCAGAACAGCATGGAAGGGGGTATAAGCTACGTCTATTAGCTTTCTAGAACAAGAGAGCTTATCATTAAAACAAAAAGTTAAATCCAAACAAGGAGTTTGTTTAGATGATGTTTAATGGGTGGGAAGACTGGTGACAAGACATCTTTTGCTTGACCATTCATTTCTAGTTGCAAAGAATTATGTGATCTTTCAAGCAACAGGAATTTTTTCATCAGAAAGAAGAGCTAAGAAAGCGGCCATAAGATCAGTGATAAATAAGGCCCTTTGTAGATGATGCTGGGAGAGCAGTTAAAAGATAGGTCAGTGGTAAAAGGTCCCAGGTTCAATCCAAGGCACTTCTAGGTAGGCAGGGAAAGACTCTAGCCACCACAGCTAATAGAGATTATGGGAGCTGTGGTCCAACATCTGGAAGACCAAAGGCTGGAAAAGGCTGGTGTAAACAATACTGACCTAGATAGGCAAACGTGTAAAGATAAGGCAGTTTCTTATGATCCTAGGAGTTCTCTATGACATAGCTACACAGTTAAACTGGTCTTAAACTAGCTTAAGCTGCCATAGACTCCATTAAGGAAGCAGGCACTGTAGTTTCTAAGAGTGCCAATGACAACAAATCTCCTGCAGTACATGGAAAACCACAATTCCAAGAGTTTTATCTGTCAAATTTGGAGAGCTCTGCTTTGGAAGCAAGGGGAATGGAGGATTCATAGAGAAGTCAATTTATGTAGCAATGCTCATATGATTAAATTACTATCCTGCCAACAGAATTGTGTGCAACTCATGATCTTTTCATCCCAAAATTTATGTCTTATCTTATCTGTTCATTTCATTTACTTTATCTATCTTGTACTTTGGAGCAAACATGGAAGCTGGAGCACCAGCCGGCCAAAGTTAAGCATTTTAAAGTCCAATTCATCAAAGTATTAACATTAGTGAGACTTTGTACTTAACTGTGGCTGGACTGTGACCATTCCTGATTTTCTCCTCAAAAAACCTTGCAAATCAATGTTTATAGCACTAAATTTAGACGGCCATCTGTCACGGATGCGTTAGTTGAGATTCCTGAATTTCAAGGGAGCGCACTAAATGACCCTCAGGGTCCCGTCGAACATTACAATTCTATGATAATTACCATCAAATATTAGTAATTACTCAAGGGGGGGGGGGAGACTGTGGAGGAAACTAACCTTGCAGACAAACAAGAAGGGACAATAGTCACAACTGAAAGGCAGAGGACACATTAGCATCAGAAGACTGAATTATATTGGTGGAAAAGTTACCCAATAACTTATCTGTGCTAGGTAGGAAGAGAAGGAAACAAACCCACACCATGTCATGCAAGACTCTGTGTTGAAGGATAGCATTTACACAGCAATGCTGATCACAGGTGTACTCACCCAAACATGGACTGCACATTCTTCAAGCAAAGGGGTCCATCAATAGTAAAAATCTGACCCTCTCCGTTGTTTAAGTCTATGAGCCGTTCAAGACAATCTAAAGAATCTGAGCTCTGGAGCTTTAACAAAAGAAAGCACAACTTCACACACAGTGTCCCAGTTGCATGTAATGCCAAACTATAGCTTTGTGCGAGCAGGCAGCTTCCTGGAGAGGCAATTTCCCCATTCTGCTTCTTTGGTCTTGCTGCTGCTGCACTGCTGTGAGCTAAGCCATAATTTATCTCATCATAAAATCCAAACTCAGGCTTGTGGTTTGTCTTCTGTAGACAAACCAAGAGCAAACCTTGTTTAAAGCCAAAGGGGACTCACCTCCTCCAGATTGGCCATGCACATGACGTATAGCTTTGATGGGAAAGGAAAAGGCAGAGGGAACCGGTTGCTTTCAGTTCGTTGGCCAAGAGTAGCCAAAGAGTGTCGGAGAGAGCCCCTTCCAATGCCCAAGCTGCCATCAGTAACAAGGACAACCTAGCAAGGAGGGAACAAGAGAAGCAGTGACCCAACAAACATGTTGATCTCCAAAAACTATCCCATGCTGCAAGCACTTGTCAGTCGATTTTAGAAGTACCAGTTTGAGATTTCACATCCTCAGTTTTCCACCTGCAATATGGGGATTATAACAGCTTAACTCAGACTTGTTGGAAAGGCCAGCCTACAAAATCATTATTTCTTTCCCAAGTTCTTGGGGTGTTTTCCCATGTGAGGTTTGAATGTGCCTTCAGGCTTCTCTTTGCTAGTAGTACATCATGTGAACCTCTATAGGAAGGCCCCTATGCATTAGAATTATACAGGATGTGACAGTGTTTAATAAGGGCCAACAAATTAGAAGCTCTTAGGCCAAAAGGAAACCTCAGAGATACAACCCGCTCCTTCAACTAATACTCCTGTGGCAAAAGAGGCAAACAGAAAGTACTGAGTGGCAAGGATAACTTTCTGACAGGATACTTCTTGCTCACAAAAAAGGGTATGCTTAGTACACCTTACCAGGATGTGAAATTTTTTCCTGCAGATGCATGTAGTCTGCTCAATCCTGAACCCTAATTTATAGCAGTCATCATCTGGAATAGTCTAAAATCTTACCTGGCAGGGAATGGCAGCCCCCCATTCCTGTTGCACAATATTGCAAACCCCAAGCAGAGCAGACTCCAAGCATGTTTTGTCATAATCGTCCATATTACTCAGGGCTTCCTGTCAACACAAGTTACATACTAGTTGGCTGGGGTTAGAAAAATACTCTATATGCAACTTGCTGCTCAATTATACAGGACTGAGTTGGAGTTTTGAGAATGACAATCAGTCCTAATTCATATTTACAATGCAACAAAAACATTCTCTGCCTTTATATTTTGTACCTGGAGCGTATTGTAGTCTCTTGTGAAGGGAACCATCAGTTCCCAGAGGGATGAAAACACAACCAAAGCAGTGAATTCCAGTTTGTAGTTGGTTGCCATGTGTTCAAACAGCATGGTCAGGCCATGAGCTGCAAGATGTTTCCGCTGATATTCTTCAGAGCCCTCAATTGAGACTGGCCGGGTCATTGAGAGGGACACATCCATCACCACCACAGTCGGCATGGTGTCCCCTTCTTTGTTCTATCAAATGTACAAGAGGAAATTGCTGTGGAGGAAGAAATGGAAATAAATGCCCATCAGTTTTAACCTTTTTCAAATTAAATATATAATAACACCTCCTGCAAATCAGGAGGTTTTCCTTGTGGATTGTTGGAATAATTTTATTGAAATATTATGACTTTTTGGCTTCTAGCCTTTTTGTAAGTTGCTTAAACTTTTAGTAGGAGACTAATGCACCAAATAAATGATAATAAAATAATCTTAGAAACAACTAATTCCACTTTCATTACCTAGGGCAGGGCCAAAAACTGGTATATAAATAAACAGGTGGTGTTGCAAGGAGAGAAATGGAACCAGAGAGTGAACTCCCCAGAAAACATCTGCTATTAATGTAGCTATTAATGTAATAATAATAATAAATAAAATAAATATTAAAACAAAACAAAAAAGGAACCTAGGGAAGAATTACAAATATGCATGCTGGCACTGTGTGGTTGAGGGATGGTCAACACAAGCACAGCAAGCCAATTAAGGATAATAAAGGAAATCTGAGAAGGGGGAAATTGGTGAAGGAAGAGGAGTACATTACCTATAAGAGAATGGATAGCATAAAAGAGGCCAAAAAATGCATAGAAAAGGAGAGAGGCAGCACCTATTTGGAGTGCAAGGGATGGTAAGAAGAATCTGAGGGAAGAGGACAAATTGGTGGAAACAGTGGAGCATTACCTAATAGTTGGTGACATTCTGAATCTAAGATGAGGGTCAAGAGTGAATTCCAAAGGGGTAGCCATGCTGCAGCAATGCCAACAAGGGGTTTTGTAGCACCTTAAAGCACCACATTAGTGTGGGCAAAAATAAGGAGGAACGATACCGGTATATGCAGAAAATACGTCCTGAGAAGCTTGCAACCTCTCCCATTTGTCAAAACCCTCACAAACTCACCTTTTCTCTGTGGCTTCTGGCTGCATCCCAACTGTGCGAAGGAGTCTGAAGCAAACCTATGTGCGTTTGTTCACATTTAGCCCCTTAGCCGCCTTTGTCTCTCCCTTGGCTATGGCTGCTTTAACAACAAAAGAGAACAACATTAAGAATTTCCCGGTTCTATCGGACCAGTGGCCCTTTTAGCCCAGCATCCCATTCTCACAGTGGCCAACTAAGTACCCCAAAAGGACACCCCACCCCAAACCAGGACCTGAGTGCAAGAGCAGCACTATTTCCCCACATGCAGTTCCCAGAATCAGGCATGCTGCCGTAGAAAACAGAAAGCTGCCTTATACACAGAGCCACATTATGAAGGTCCATCCAGTTCTGCATTGCCTACACCGACTGGCAGCAGCCTACCGGGGGGTTCGGGCCAGCAGTCGTTCCCCAACCCCCACAACCACACCCGGGGATGTAAAGGACCGAGCCTGGGACCCCCCAGAACTCAAGGCAGGTGCTCCACCACTTAGCTAAACACGTGTGTGTCCCTCCCCAACAGTGGAGGGAACGTATAGCCATGGTGGCTGGTAGTTGCTTTTAGGCCGTGAGCAGCTCGGGGAAGGGGCTTGCCTGGCTCTGACGAAGGAAGCCGCACACAAACAACAGCAGCCATCATCATGCCCATTATGTGGACAAGAGAGAAAGTATGTGGGGGGCACGTAGGAAGTAGGAAAGAAAAGGGGGCTGGAAAAGGAACTGGGGGGTCCGTCTAATTAGAGAAGGGGGAGCTCCCAGCCCCACTATGTTGGGATGTGTGAGTGTAAATCGTACTTTCCATCCGGGATGGGGACCTCACCCGCGCACCGCCGCCATATTGGGCCACCCCCGTAATTCCTTCCCCGCTGCTGCTCTAACCGCGGACTTTGGGGCCGGCTTTAGAAAGCGGCCCTCACAAAGCACTTACTGGGCACGCGCGGCTCGGTTCGCCTCGCGCACGCTCAGTTGCGGCAAGTGAAGCTGGAGGGCGGAGGAGGGCGTTTTATCCACCGCGAGAGCAGGAGCTGTTTCCCTGCACGGCTTTTGGTTTTGAATACAAGGATCAGGTTTCCTTGCATCTCTAGAATGCAGAGAAGGGTGTTTTTTTCGGGCGGGAGGGGGAGTAAACTTGCAGATCTATGCTACAATTTTTAAAAAAGCAACCTTTTAAAAATTCAAAAAACCATTTTTTTAAAAAAAAATCTTTTAAAAATAAGAAGAATGTGCATGTTTCAAAATACACTGGATTATTTAATTATTTAATTAATTTGTTTAGAGCATTTGTATCCCACTCTTCAGGGACGCGGGTGGCGCTGTGGGTTAAACCACAGAGCCTAGGGCTTGCCGCTCAGTCCCTGCTCCTGCCAACCTAGCAGTTCGAAAGCACGTCAAAGTGCAAGTAGATAAATAGGTATCGCTCCAGCGGGAAGGTAAACAGCGTTTCCGTGTGCTGCTCTGGTTCGCCAGAAGCGGATTAGTCATGCTGGCCACATGACCCGGAGGCTGTATGCCGGCTCCCTCAGCCAATAAAGCGAGATGAGCGCCGCAACCCCCGAGTCGGTCACGACTGGACCTAATGGTCAGGGGTCCTTTTACCTTTACCTTTTATCCCTCTCTTCAGCCAAAATGTCTCCCAGAGTGTCTTACGTACAATAAATTGTAAAGGTCTGTGTTAATGACGGGGGTCTGGCAATAAGGAAACTAGCGCCTTGTTTGCTGGGTGGGGAGGGGACGTCCATGCTTTTCCTGTTTTGTAAAGATTAATTTAATTTTATCATGTATATAAAAGAGAGATCAATTATAACAAAAGACGAAAATTAAAAGGTGAAAAAGCAAAACTATAAAATAGGTACAGTTGCACATGGGTTAAAATAACAAAGTCCAAGTTAAGATGATCAGCTTTATCAGATTATTAAATTTGGTTCCAGATTTGCCCGCCTTGTGACAAGGGTAAGAGTTGCCTTAAAAATGATGGCTCTGCTGTATACAAGAGACCAGGGCCCTGCAGGACTTGACATCTTTCCGCAGGGCCTGCAAGACAGAGCTGTTCCACCAGGCCTTTGGCCAGGGCACAGCCTGACTCCCTCCCTCGGCAATCTTCGCGGAGCTCTGGCCCAATGGTTGCCAGTGGCTTGAATTAATTAATTTTATAATGAATGATTTTAGAATGTTGTTTATGCTGTACTTTTGTACTGTTTTATTGTTGTTAGCCGCCCTGAGCCCGGCTTCGGCTGGGGAGGGCGGGATATAAATAAAATTTATTATTATTATTATTATTATATGTCATAAAAGAATGCCAAATCATAGGAAAAGAATCTAGAGGTTCTAGCCCTAGTTGAAATCTCAAATTACGTGCTGCTTGTCTTTTGTGGAGGGCATCTCAAGAGTCATTGATTCATTTATTATATGCTTCTCACCCAGTCCACTCTCCATGTGTACTGATGGGGGGGCACCATAAAACTCAGATATTTGATATCCCATTTTCAGAAGAAAAAGATAGAACGGACACTAAAAGTAGATTTATTTAGAAATTTAAGTCCTTCATTTCTTTTCATTGCTTTTACCGGTGGTCTTGAGAAACCTCACTGCCTTTGTACATTCCCTAGAAAGTTTTTTTTAATGAAAAATTAGTGGGATGCCCATCATCTAACAGCATCACCTAGGTACCTCCACTAGCTTATGCCTGGTGACTTCATCCACAAAGTGCAGGTTGCCAACATCCACATCACATCCATGTACATATGCATGCCACTTGCCTTGACCACATTTGAAACCTCCTATTCACACATACATCAATGAAAAATGCCAGCAAACACTGGTACAAGAATTTTGGAGTTTGGGAGCTTTTGAAGGCATTTTTGGCACGATTTAACGCCCGTTGCCGGTTTTCCAGGACATTTGCCTGATTTCCAAAAATCAGGATGTATGGCAGCCCAATAGTAACAATAATAGTAATACAGTGGTACCTCGGGTTAAGAACTTAATTCGTTCTGGAGGTCCGTTCTTAACCTGAAACTGTTCTTAACCTGAGGTACCACTTTAGCTAACAGGGCCTCCTGCTGCCGCCGGAGCACAATTTCTGTTCTCATCCTGAAGCAAAGTTCTTAATCTGAGGTACTATTTCTGGGTTAGCGGAGTCTGTAACCTGAAGCATCTGTAACCTGAAGCATCTGTAACCCGAGGTACCACTGTAATATAATATGCTGCCCATCTGACTGGGTTGCCCCAGTCATCTTTCACTCTCCATTCATTCAGAGGGGTTACACTCCCTCTGAAGGAGTGGGTACACAGCTTGCGGGTACTTCTGAATCCTTTGCTGTTGCCTAAGGCCTTGGTGGCCTCAGTGCAGTGCTGGTTCCTTGAGCACAAGCCTGCTGTTAAGTGGGGAAAACAACCTAATTTGTAAATAAATGGAGCAGGCAGAGTAGTGACTTCAGAAAAATGTAATAGTTTTATCTGGTGCTTGGCATGAGAATACAGGGTGTTAAAGGCAGGCCCTTTTTTCAGCAAGGAAATGTTAGGGTGTGCAGATTGCCCTTCTGATATTTGCTACTGAATATTTTAAGATACTGAATATCATCAGATTATGTTGCTGGTATTAGAGCTTTTAAAAATACTTGAGGTACATGAAGCTGCCTTAGTGACATGCAATTCACAAAGGAGTCCCACACAAGTTTCTGTGTAATAAAGGACATTTTCAGGCTGCAAATATGAGTTTCTATATTAAAAAATCCACTGATATTAAGAGACTTGTGGAACTTTAAATACTAACAAATTTCTGACATAAGGCATTTGTGATCTATACCAAGCTTATGCTATAGTAAGCTTGTGCTTACTCTAAGTTTCTTAGGCTTTCAGGTATCACGAGACTGTGATTTTCGCTGCAAGACACTGAACCTCCCTGTGGAAATTGCTATTAGGGTTACTGAAGTCTTAAGAATCCTGGAAATGATGGAGAAACATTGCAACTACTTGTCCTCAATATAAATGTAAGACAAAAGAATGAGCACAAAGATCATGTTCACTTTTCTTTATTGAGCCATTGTAAAATTTTAAATAGAATCGTTTTTCTGGGACATTTCATGGGGGAAAACACAGCTTTTTCCATTGTGAACATGGAAATTTACACCTTAAAATTGACCTACAAATTCAAAACAAAAATAAACACTTAAAACTGATATTCTTTGTTGGTAAATAAAATGTAAACATTACATATGTACAAATCTACAACCATTCATTTGTAAAAGTGCTCTTTAGCAAATTAATCCACCAGCTGTACCTCCTGCTTTATAATGCCATATATACACACATTTACATGTAATGAATATCCATTTTCTGTCTTTGGGATAAAGCATTTCCTATTGAAATACTAAAGTCATCTACTTGATAAATCCATTTCTCTACAAAGAGCAAACCTAACATTACAAGGATTATGAACACAGTAAAAAGGAAGAAAATAAGCACTTAAAAGCCTCAAATATGTTTCAGATACCATGAACCATAAGGATAAAAGGCTTTGTTATATTACCAGTAGGAAACACAGAACTGTTCCTAACTATTAGGACAACTCACTATAAACAGAAGGAAAAAGATTCAATAACAAAGATTAAAAATGTAAACTCAATCCATGTTTGTTTTTAAGTGAATGTATGGGCCACCTCAGACATATCAGATTAAATTTTGTGTCCGTGGTGATGGTTTTCACTAGAGAGATGCATGGTGATGATTTTCGCTTATCACAATTTGTGATAAGAATGGGGATCAGCCATTCAAAAGGGGGGTGTTGAAACATATTTTGGGTGTGCACAAGCTACTGAGTATGTTTGAAGTAATTCCTTGAATTCTGGCCAAACATGTTAATAGGACAATATCCCTCTCTATCCTTCTCTCTTACCAAGCTAACACACCAGCCTAGAGGGCTTGATTTTAGTATATGCACACTTATGCTGTTAGGAAGTGCTGCAACTGGAAAATTATCGGTCACGTTAATTGAAACTTTGATGTTAAGACAGCAGTAGACACACCCACACATACACACACCCTTGTGAGACCATATTCCCCCAACCAGGTTATACATACCATATATGAGTGAATCTGATTTGTCACTTTCTTGGTATCCCTAGAAACACCAGACAGAGCTCAGGAAGAAGCTCTCCATCATAGCTCTAAAGTGCTATAAAATAGTGGCTTTTACACAGCTAACAGAAGCAAGAAGTTGCAGTTCAAAGGCTGACCAGCACTCTACTTTCTTCTACACAGTACAAATACCAAATGACTTATTTACATTTGTGGCAACCACAGTGCACATCTTTTCCTTACACAACATAACTGTGTGAATACAACATAGCACAGATACTGTACACAGAAATTAACACCCACCCACATTACTAGGTACTTAGCAATGTGGCTTCCAAAGTTCTATACCCACTATATTAGGAGGCATAGCTTTGTCACAAAATTCATGGAGATGACATTCTCTTAAAATTACCTGTGTTTGTCTGTAATTGCAAGGTGAGTACTGATGTGTGGAAATGCACGAGGAAATTCTCCTATGCAAGCCCGCAGAATTGAATGGAAGCTATGCAAGAGGATGCAGGGGGGACTTATGCAAGAGAAATTCCTAGTTCATTGTGTCCTTAGAGACTACACTTTCAACACACCCAAAGAGGCTTCAGCCTTAAATGTTTTTTGAGCAGCAGGCCCACATGCTGTCTGAATCCAGGAGCAGATTCAAAAACAGTTTGAGACATGGCAAAAGGGACCTGCTGTTCAAAGACAAAGAAAAATTCAAAATGCCTGAAGTAGCTCTTTGGATTCGGGTCTAAGACCAAGTTGCTAAGGCATAGGTTAATAATCCCCATGCGAAATGACTATTAGCATACTAAGACCATAAGAAGAGCCTGCTGGATCAGGCCGATGGCCCATCTAGTCCAGCATCCTGTTCTCACAGTGGCCAACCAGATGCCTGTGAGAAACCTGCAAGCAGGACCTGAGCACAAGAGCACTGTCCCATCCTGTGGTTTCCTGCAACTGGTATTCAGAAGGACACTGCCTCCAACCAAACATATTAGCTGGAGAAAAACCAGGAGGAGGTGACAGAATAGGCAGCACATCTTCCTGTAAACAAGGAACTCTACATGTATGTGCAAATTAGAGAAGACACTATAATGTTCTCCAGTTCTCAAAATTTTAAAGTATCTGGGTTTGAAACACAAGCAGTGTGAAGCCATGCAACAAAAAATAAGAAGTTGCTATGATGTTTGCATATTAGCAAACAAGCAATGATATCTAATATATCTGATACACATCTTATCTCAAAGTAGATTACATTCTCTTCCCCAACCCACATGATCCTATTGCACCCAAATTTTCTGTTTGGACAAGCTTGTCCTAAATTCCATTTTGGAACATATTGGTCCACAGATTATACAGTTCTTTCCTTCAGTTTGTATATAAGCATTTTCCCCAAGCGACTTGCCATACACTTTGGCTGGGATCCAAAGCACCATTCCCACATGCCCAGAGGTGCTTTGGGTTTGTCCTTCTTAGGCAGCAGCCCATGGAAGCAGAAACACATGACACACCACTTTGGAAACTGCAGGGACTTTTGAAAGCAGATTGTGAAATGGGTGTAGCCAGGATTTTTGGCTTTTTTGGTGGGGGGAGAAGCTCAGTTAGCTGTGTATTTTTATTGACTGGGGGGCAACTGCCCCCTGTCCCCCCTAGCTATGCCCATGGATTTTGATATGGTATAGGGCAGAAGTAGGGAACATCATAGCCCTGGGCCCTTGGAATTCCACCTGGGCCCACTCCCTCACCGACTCGGCTCTGTGCCCTCTCAGGTGCTTTTGTATGGCTGAAATGTGTCCTTGAATTGTGATAATTCCGAGTTGCTTCAAGATGGCGGATTCTGCTCGCGGGAGCAAGGGCCTTTCTGATGAAGAGCAGCCACCTGTCTATGTCCCAGATGCCAAATGGGTGTCAGGTGGCCAGGGCTTCTGCCTATGAATCTTGAAGCAACCAACAGACTAAAACCCCTGGAAAGCCACCACTGTGGAACAAGAGCTTGCCCGCCTTGAATAAGAACACTAGCTCAGATTGGAAGCTGCCAAGAGGATCTCTAAAGTCTGTTTTTGGAAACACTCTTCTAGCAACGGCAAACCTTATGGCATTGTGAAGATCTCAAACATATATACCCAACCCTCCCAAGAGAAATTTTTATGGCTCAGTACAATGGGATTAGCTTCCATTATGAATTTAGCGGCCCTAGTATTACTATCATTTGCCCTGTACAATGTGTTCAAGCCCAGAAAACATGAATTGTGACAATTCCTCCTGCTTGCCTGGATGGAGAGGTGGGCAGGGTGTGGGGCTATGTGTTTCCCCAGGAAGAGGTACTTGTTCGAAGTGTGGTGCTTTGAAGAGGGCATCTTCAAATATTAAATAAATGCAAGCAGTTAATTGCCAGGGGGGAAAAAAAGAATTGTAACAATTCCTCCTGCTTGCCTGGATGGAGAGGTGGGCTGGGTGTGGGGCTATGTGTTTCAAAACCTCAGAGTTTTGGATAGCTGGAATGTAGCGTATTGTACAATGGTAAGAGTCACATCCCTTGTCCAATTTTGACTCTGGCCTGGCCCAACACCTGGGAGGTTTTCCATGAGGAACTGTGACTCTCAGACTGAAAAGGGTTCCCAACCTCTGGTGCAAAGCTTGTTATTTTGATGAGGAAAGGTCCACAACCCTACAGAGCAAATCTTGACCCATTGGGATGCCTAAAGTAGCTCTTTAAATGGCAGGCTTTGCAATGGATTATCTGTATAGCGGTGGCTCCCCAACAGCCAACCATGTCAGATTCTTAAAAGTGACAAATGCACGTAACTTATGAAAGCTTCATACAAGTTTAAAATACTTGTCAGCTAAAGTCTGCAATCTTTTAAGTGTGCACTTATGGGGAGGGACAGGAAATCCTACGACCTGCATTGCGATTGAGAACAGCATCGATATTTCCACACTACTTTTTAAAAAATGAAAGAGAGAAGGGCTTTATCTGCAAAAAAGACCAGTTGCTATAAACAGCAATATTCTGAGGGAGGACAAAAGTATTGCTTCTGCAACAGGATCACTTGATTCACTATAGTAATTTAAAAAGTTAAAAAAATATGAACTTGCTATAAATAATTTAAAATCTGTTATTATACAACTCTGGTATGAGCTCTGTGACATTTTTAACTTTCTATGTAAACAGTTCTGAAAAGCTTATTTCATTCATGCAAACTTTCAGTACATGATTTTGGTCCATCTCTGCTTAAGCTTTCTGCAATGGACCATTCCGTTTTCTCCCCTACATGTTTTGCAGACACTGTCCACAGCGAAGAGAGCCTACTCTGGCCCACGGCTCATAAGTCATTCCAGCAACATTTCCCCCCTTGGAAATCCTAATTTTAAAACAAAGCTGAAGATGCTTTTTTAAATGGAGAAGGGTGAGAGTCTTTCTGAAGTTCTGTTTCTTCATACAAACCCTGCTGCAATTCATTAGGTGCAATGTTTATTTTTTTAAAGGTACGGCTCCCCAAAAATCTTTCGACATTCCATCACTCCTGTACTTGGAGGCCTATCACAGTTGTGGGTGCTCTTCACCTGATTTACTGTAAGGCGGTCGTAAGCCATTTTGTATTCTCTGTCAAAAGCATCTGTAACGACAGGAGGGGGGAGGTTATACCAGAACAATGGAGCAGGTGCCAGAAATGCTTTAGCTTTGGGATAGCTATGAACTAGGAGTGTTTTCTGCACAGCTCCGATTCATTTCTTGGGGCAGGGGGATTTCCCAGTGGACTCTGCTCAGATAGGGGATTCTGAAAAAGGCACTCTGTCCACGGCTGACTTTAGGCACCAACTCAGGAAGCAAACCTGATAAAAATGATTTACTCTTTTATAACCTTCTTGTCAGATGACCCATTCCTGTATTTCTGTTTCTTTAAGGTTTGATTTTATATGTTAGGTGGTTGTACACCACATAGATATATTTTATATGCTTTTGTGATGTATGAATTATTACTATTGTTAATATTAGTGTCTGGTTCTTTTCTGTAATACTGTGTGTGTGTGTGTGTGTGTGTGTGTGTGTGTGTGTTTTCAAGAGACTGATGCCATTTTAGACAACAGTTTTGCATTCATGTTTCACAAAAGAGCCTGCCTGAAGCACTTCATCATACAATTCCTTTTAAAAAATGTGTTATATCCAGATTAGCAAGACGAACCAATAACCTCAATTGGGGGCTGATGGGTGGCCCCCAAATGGCTTGTGCTTCCAACTTAGTGGTGTTCCAACTTAGTGGCAGCAACAAATAAATAGTAGCTGCTTGCAAATTGGGCTGGTTTGCACAATGCTAAACCATGGGTGCATGCATTAGAATTAAGCCAGAGCAAAACCTTCAGCTCAGAATAAAAATTTCTGCAGCATTTACTCCGAGTTTTCATTAGTCCTGAGTTATGAATGAATATGAATAAGAGATTATTGTTTTAAAACAAAACCCTGGTTAGTTAAAAAAAAAAGTCCTCTTCATGTTCCTTGGTTTGAAAATGGCTTGGTCACTTTTTAGTGACCATCAATAGTCTGAGTCAGAGGAATAAACCCATTCTTATTCCCTTTATAAAATCTTCCCCACTCTTGTTTGCCTGAAGGTGATCTTCACCGCACGCAGGCAAATAGCTATTTACGAGTCTGGCTTTACAGAAAAGAAGAAACTAGGTTTAAATTATTATACTTCATCTAAACAGGATTGTGAAAGATGCTTTGAAACAAAAAGTATCCTTTTAAGTCTTGAAGTAACAGTTTACAATGACTACTTTTATGCGCACTTAGCACAACACAACACAACTTGATGGCTTACCTATATCAATGTTATCCCTTCCAAGCGCAACAAGAGAGAGAAATAGTATTTCTCTATAAAGGCTCCTAAAAAAGATACATTGGAAAGTGTTATTTTAAAAACCACAATCTTATATGAACCTACTATACTTCATATAATCCGGACATTCTTCTCCACTCTAAAAGTAGTGATTTTTGCATTGTTATTATTATTTGTAACTGGGTCATGATGATAGCCCTGCCAGGTCTAGAAAACACAACATGAGGCGAAGGGGAGTTCTCACTGTTAAAAGAGATTGGAAGGCTGGATTGCACCTGTGGCGTTTGCCTCCTAGGATGGGTCAAGGAAAGGGTTAAAATGGGTGTGATGTGATTGGCCAGTGAGAATGCAGGGGGGGAGTAAAAGATAGAGTGGGAGGTTTTGAAAAGTCAGTTGAGGTTTGTCAGTTGGGAGTTGAGGTTTGTCAGTTGGGAGTTGAGGCTTGGGTGTTGGAGAAGAGGGTGGAATAGGCAGTGGGTTGGTCGAGTTATTGTGAGAGAGTGAGAGGAATTGTTAGGGAGGTAAATACATAGTTGGGAATAATTCAGTTTGAAGTTGTTAGGAACTAAGATTTAAGAAACTGACAAGAGAAAAATAAACCGAAACCATACACTTATTCCTGCACTTAAAAATAAACTTGATTATTTGTTTATGTTAACAACTGTCTGGACTCCATGTGTCCCTGTGAGAAGCGGGGTGGTGGCAGCGAAGAAAGCAACCGCAGTGGTGGCAGAGGGTCAATAGACCTTGAAACGTCCAGGGGCCCTGTGTGATCGCCACAGCACCCTACTCTCCTTGCCAACCTGGGCATAGAGGTTAGGTCCAGATGAAAGCTCTACTCCAAAACATCTGGGGTGGAGGAGGCACCAAGCTGGAGAAGGCTGTTCTACTTTGTACTAATTCCCGTATTTTTCACCCTATAGGACGCACCTAGATTTCGGGGGGGGGGGGATAAGGGGGGGAAATTTATTTTTTTCCCCCAGGCACGGGGCTGGGGCAGGGGAAACCCGAGCTTCCCCCGACCCCAGCCCCCAGAACGGGTGCCAGAGTGATGGCGAAGCTGCGCGCAGCTTCGGCATCGCTCTGGGAGCTTGCCGGGCTGGGGGGATAGTTTCCTGAAGCCTGGAGAGTGAGAGGGGTTGGTGCGCACCGACCCCTCTCGCTCTCCAGGCTTCAGCGAAAGCCTGCATTCGCCCCATAGGACGCACACACATTTCCCCTTCATTTTTGGAGGGGAAAAAGTGCGTCCTATAGGGCGAAAAATACGGTACCCTTTTTCTTATTTATACCACATAGTGGGACTGCAATTGACACAAGGTTTACATTCCCAGGGACTGCGTGCAAAGGCAGAATCACGGCAGAACAAGCCCTGGAACTGTCCCTGCCATCCAAGATTTTGAGAATGGGGCTGCCTGAGATCTCATGGGAGTCTCCCACAGCTTGGTAAGCAGGGTGGAGGGTTTAAAAGCTCTTTCTGTTAAGGATTTTTGTGGCATGGAAATAATTTTTAAGCCCTCTGCCTTAACAGGCTCTGGGAGGCTCTTGAGAAGACTCCCAGAGCCTGATAAACAAGCTTGCTCCTCTATCTATCTATCTATCTATCCATCTATCTACAGGGTGAGTCTTTTAAAAGAGGCCCCGTGGAACATATGTACTCTGTATCCACAGAGCCTGTTTTAAAGGACTCACCCTGTATCTATGTCTGGTGATCTGCAGAAGCTGCAATCACGTTAAGTACATGCTTTTGCAGTGCCCTTGAGAAAGAGATTTTTTTCCCAAAATTGCCTGGGCTCTACATAAACACTGTTTTGTAATGCCTGACATTGCTTCCCTTTGTTCTGTTTTTGCCTCTGGGGTTGAGCGAAGGGCGCCACTTTGCTATGTTTCCACATTTTTTTTGTGAGCCATGGCGGTTTTGCATTGTGACCCACTTAGGAGAGCACAGTGCAGTAGGCACGATCAAAATGCAAAGCTGGTACAGCTTGCTTCCTATTCCAGCTACCTACATCCAAAGATGTAGGTAGCTGGAATAGGGGACGCGGGTGGCGCTGTGGGTAAAACCTCAGCGCCTAGGACTTGCCAATCGCATGGTCGGCGGTTCGAATCCCCGCGGCGGGGTGAGCTCCCGTCGTTCGGTCCCAGCTCCTGCCCACGTAGCAGTTTGAAAGCACCCCTAAGTGCAAGTAGATAAATAGGTACCGCTTTATAGTTTCCGTGTGCTGCGCTGGTGCTGGCTCGCCAGAGCAGCTTCGTCACGCTGGCCACGTGACCCGGAAGTGTCTGCGGACAGCGCTGGCTCCCGGCCTCTTAAGTGAGATGAGCGCACAACCCTAGAGTCTGTCAAGACTGGCCCGTACGGGCAGGGGTACCTTTACCTTTACATCCAAAGAAAGTGGAGCAGAAGCTCTGAAACACCTTGTCTCTTTGAAGCAACCAGGATGTGAGGGGGAGAGTCCCTGCCTGAATAATTTTCATGGCCCTTCTCCCATAACAAATGGGAAGAATGAACCACTCTGGCTGTCACCCTCCACTGAGTGAGAAAGCCTTGATGTTTAATAGTGCATTTGTGATCCTCACTGCTGCTTTGCCAAATAGGATACACACAAGCACACAGCACTGTGGCTGCTTGGACTGAGGGCATAGGTTCAAGGAGTCCGGTGAATTGGTCTGGCATCACCTGGAGCTGCAGCATTGTTGAATCTTATCAGATGTGGGCATGATTTGGGTGGGAGACCACTGGAAAGCCCACAGGACCGGATATGCATTTAAAACATTTTCTTTTGTGGGGGGGGGGGGCAGTGATTACGTTCCAGTGAACACTGTGAAATAATAACTGCCACCACCTCTACAAGAAAGAGTGCAGAGTGTTTGTTCTAAAGAAGCATTCAGGTATCAAACACATAGCACGAAATGATGTTACAGCCCATAAGGCATCCTATCAAGAGGCATCCTTTTTCAAGATGCAGAACATCAAAGCATTGATACTCTCAAGGGGATGAATGACTTCCTCCTCTTACAACATGATACTCTAGGCTTCTTTTTAACTGTGCTCATTTACCTTTGCCTTTTCATCTGTGGCCATTTGTTCAGTCTCTCTAGAATCTGGCTCATTGGCCCATAGACATCATTCATCTTAATACTCTTCACCATGCTTTTTAAGAGCTCCTGGTTAAATGAGCTGTCATCGTTCTGCAGTAAGCGAACCATTGGGTAATTTTGTGCTGGGGAGAAGGAATAAAAAGGAATATTTAAGAAGGAAATGAATAATAACAGGGGGAATAACAGCTGAAAGGTAAAAACAAGGATACCTTTTAAGTTGGCTCTGCAAAAAAAAACACTTGTCATATAAAGACAGAATCAGGATAAAGGGAGTACAAAAATAAAGCACAAAAAAGCAAGCCATAAAAGGGAAGTTCTGGCCAATAGCATATAAGAGTTGCAACCAAATGGGTATTAAAAGCCAATTCAAAAACAAGCATTGAGACCAGGTTTTACTCAGGTGACCCTGCAAGTAGTGGTGGCTGGTGTCCATTGAGACAGGTGGGGAGGAAGGCAGAGAAGCAGGAGACGCAGAACCAATGACAGGTGGAGCCAAGAGATGCTAGTTTAGCCTGCATCTTCTTCCCTGCAGAGTTCCACAATGACAGCACTGAGACTAAGGTGGAGGAGGAAGCTGGCAGCCACAGCCACCTCCTAGGCTGGATATAAGGCAGGTAGATGGGAAGGCTAGCTGAGTCTGGCAGAGGGTGATGGGGCAGTGTCTCCATTTGTCTTAATGGACCAGCCATCTCTGCCTACGAGGCAAATCACCAACACAACTCCAATGGTTCATCTTAAAAAAAAAAAAGGATAGGAATTTAACAATTGAATGGAAAAAAGGCTGGAAAATAAATTTGTGCTAAGGCAGTACACTGTAAGCCAAAAAGTTACTGTGTAAAATATACACACATACACACTAAAAAGGGGAATATTTTTTTAAAAAAAACCAAACAAAATAAAAAAGCAACCTGAACAGTACAGAATGTAACACTCACTCTCAAACACAAGTGTTTGGTTTTGACCTGCAAGACAAACAGATTAGCACAATCAAAATCCCCATTGCTTATCAGCTTAAGTTACTGGTGGTCATAGTGAAGAATTTGTTCTAAAAACAGCACACAACAGCTTCCAGGCTGCATGCCGGTCATCACTTACTCTGTGCATTCCACAGAATATAGAGAGGCTGCCCTGGATCCTTATGCAATTTCATGTTGTCCCACAGCATCTGAATTAGAACGTACTTGCTGTCCTCTAAGATGCAATTCCTGGGAATCTGAGCAATAACAACACAAAAGACAAGACTGAACATAATAGTAGGAAATTACAGAACAGCATCAAACTTCCTTGATGCCACACACACAGTGGGAAAGGATAACAATTCTGACTTTTGGCTATCGCATTGTAAGCTTCTTCTCTGCTAGGGCCCCACTGAAGAGTTATGAATACCCTGGCCAGAGGTGAAAGTGGGTGTGGCAAAAGGCAAAAAAGTAAACAGGATTGACACCCTAGCCTGTGAAGGAAGGTGTAATGTGGTTTTTCGCTCTTTGTTCCCTGCAGTGGTATGGATTTGGATTGGCCCCCTGTTCCTGTGCCATTGTCACAAATTGAACTTTTTCCCCCAGTGCAAGGAGCAGACTCTTCGATCCAGATTTGAAACACAGTGGAGGAGGGGTAAAACGAAAAACAAAAAACTATGCACAGTCCCCTGGCACCTACTTATTTACATCTCTGCCAGTCCCCTGCACTGGCTATTGGCATCTCAGCTAGTCTGGTCCAGAGACTAGACATGCACTTATTTTCCATTCTTGAAGCATTCTGCAAGGATGAGCAGAATACTGCTCAGTCTTCAATTTCAGAGATCTAGCCAGCATGCTTTCAGTACTCATTATGAGGATATCAACAGGATCTCTAGAATCAGAAACTATCCCAGAACATGTTCAATACAGGTCTAAAACAGATTGGTAGTTCTCTCTCTTTCTGCCCCAAAACACACACATGCACAGTCCCAAAATCCCTGGAGTGGGAAGCTGTAGGAGCAGAGAAGAGCTGCAGTCGGAAGGCACAAGGTTTATAATAATTTGTCAAGCCCTTAAAACAAATGTACAGCCATTTTTTCATACCTTTGAATTCTTATTACAATGCTCAGAGGACAGTATTAATCCTGGTAAGTTACTGGGTAAGTCCAGGCGTCGAAAATACCACACTAGATTCCAGAACACAATGGGATGGTGGTCCACAAAGTCTGGCACTGTTATCACATGATCCCCTTCATTTTCTAATAAACTTTCAAGCTCCTTCCATACAACAAGAGGACTCAGGTATGGTACAGTTATGGGCTCTGGACTCTGCAAACGCCACTCCAACCCCAAAGGATCCTATTGCATATATAAAGAAATAAAAATAAACATTTTTTGTATTTATTATTACATTTGCATTCCATCTTTTCTCTGAGGAGCTCAAAGTGACATACATGGTCCTCTCCACCCCCACCCTACCCATTTTACCCTCACAGCAATCCTGTGAGATAGGTTAGGCTGAGAGACTGTGATTGGCCCAAGGTCACCCAATGAGCTTCATGGCTGTGTAGGGATTTGAACCCTGGTCTCTCAGGTTCTGGGCTGACACTCTAACCACTACCCCACATTGGGTCTCATGATTAGCTAAGCTCTACTTTAGAGGTTCTTCTTCAGGAGCTACTAAAGTGGGTAAGAAGAGGCAGCCTTCTCAGTCGCAACTCTCTTGAGAACCTATCCTAGCGCTTACACTGATGTCCTTTAGGTGCTAGGAGAAGACTTTTTCATTTTCCTAGCCTTTTATTCTCCGATGGGCTTTAATTTGGGGAAGGGCCATGGCTCAGTGTTAAGAGCAACTGCTTTATGTGCATAAAGTTCCCAGGTTAAATCCCTAGCATCTTCTGATAGGGCTGGGCAAAGATTCCAATCTGAAACTCTGGAGAGCTAATGCTGGTCAGTGCAGACAATACTGAGCTAGATGGATCAATGTCTTGACTTAGTAAAAGGAAGCTTCCTATGCTCCTAACATCCACTGTTGTTTGACTAGTGTTTTATTGAGTATCATTAAAACATAAGAGCCTGCCTGCCAGATCAGACCAAATGCCCTTTAATTCCAGTATCATGTTCTCCCAGTGGTCAACCAAAAGTCCCAAAGGGAAGCCCACAAACAGGACCCAAGTGCAACAGTGCTCATTCCACTTGTGATTCTCAGCAACTGGTATTCAGAGACATGCTGCCTCCAACAGTGGAGGGAGAACATGGTGGCTAGTAGCCATAGGATAGCCTTATCCTCCATGAATTCGTCTAAGCCATTCAAATTGCTGACTATCACTGCCTCTTGTGGGACCAAGCTTCATAGTTTAACTCTGTGTGACACTTCTGGGATTATACCATTGGTCAATTATCCCCCCCTTTGGTAAATTTTAAGCAGGACAACTAGCACCAACATGGTAAAAGCAATTGTGCTTTGCAGAATCTTTGATTGCTCTGAAGGCAAGAAAAGAAGGCCTAAGTACTCACAGCTGTCCCCTGCAATGTGGTAGGCAAGCTCCCAGTGGGAACAATGTGACTGTGCTTGTGATGCTCTGTTTCCTCCACCTCCAGGGGACTGAAAGTACTCATGCTTCGAGACAAGGCATGGCTGGTGTGCTCAGTCCCAGCAGCATTTTGCCTTCTTGGAGGGATCTGAATGCTTCTGGCACAGGTGCTATCAGGCTCTTTGGATCTGTTACCAACAAAAGAATATTTGTATTTGTCTTTTTATATTTTACCTAAAATCACACATTTAAAAAATCAACATCTACCTCCCCCCCCCCAATCTCTCACACAACTCTACAATAAAAAGAAAAGGTAAGGTCAAACACTGTCCTGTTATTTGCTGTTCTAACACACTGCACATAGAATCCATCCTTCAATAAACTTGCTTGCCTGCTGTCTGATAAATGTGCCATACTGCTAACTGGTTCTTAGGTGGGCAGAAAATAGACTTCAGTCTAGCCACTAAGCCAGAACACACAGTTTTCTTATTCATGTATATGAGCCATTTCATGACAACCTCCTCCCCATTTCCCCTGCATCTTCTAAAATTTATCTAACTGATGGGCATAGATTATTACCATGCCACTGTTGATTATTAATAAAAATTAGCATAATGATTCATGCTGATTTTACTGTGGCTTTCTAATGGGTATTTTGGGTAGACTGTTGCTTTTCTGATGTTGCTTTATGGTTTTAATTTTTATCGCTGAATCAGGCCAAGGACCATCGAAGTCAGCATCCTCTTACCCACTTTGAGCAGTCAGGATGGAGTGGGCAACCATGACTTGCCTGTGGGCATTTATTAAAGTATTATTAAATGCCCACAGGCATGTCAAGTGTTTTTTTTTCTTTGACTGAGTCAAAATGTGATAATTTTACCTATTTGAATGCAAGTCATCCTGAGCAGGTATTAGAGATGCTGAAAATCCTGATGTGGGATCAGAGATGCAGGACTTTGCTGTATGGTTGAAAAAAGATGATGGAAGCTGCATGTTCTCTGAAGATGGACTGGATTTCAGGAAATATCTATAAAAAGTACCCCCCAAAAATGTTGCAATTAGACAACACACATTTGGAAATACTGCAAGCAAGAATCCAATGGCAAATAATCAGTTACCTTCCAGGACCCCGTAGATCTCTGATTTCGATGTTCAGGGAAGGCAAGAATTGGTTTCCGCAGAAAGGGCATGTGGTGTTAAGGTTGGAATCATCTGCTGTCCAGCCTGCCATGATTTCTTCATCATGTACAAGACAGTCACAGGTATGGCATCGTGAACAGCTTGAGATGAGGACCTGTGGAAAGCACTTCATTAAAGCCCTCAGTGCGGCTTTTGCCCCCAGTAGCAAGAGAAATCCCAAGTCATATCAAACTGCAATAGAAACCCAAGTGAATTCATAAAACCTAGAGCTGGGCTGAAAGCGCCTCTCGGCTCTGCATCCTATTCTTTGGTTGAAAACTTCAGGGGGGCTGGAGATTCCCATTTCAAATTGACCACCAAAGGAAATCTTAAAATATAGTTGGAAATGTTTGTAAATGTCAAACTTGTTTTGGTATTTTAGATTCATTTATTGAAGTTGAAAGTAAATAATGTATCATGTATGCAGATGTACACAGGGTTTGAATATGTTGCATTCTGATAGGTTACCGTGAAACATCGAGTAAAATTTTCACTGTTTTTCAGGTTCTGGAGATGAAAACAGTCCAATTCCAGACGTGTTTTTTTGGAAAGCAAATCTGAATTCAGTGTGGCTGACTTCTAAGTTAAGCATGCACAGAATTGCAGTCTTATAGCTGAACTGGCAGGCTGGCTAACAAAAATGCTTGCTTGTGGACTTGTTTGCAAGGCAACTTCAACCATTTCTTTGTCATCTGCTCTTACATTTACATGCTGGAACTAAAAGGGGCTGAGCAAATAAGTAAATGTGCTCTCAACTCCCAGCCTTCCTGAGCAAAAACTGCCCTCATACCAATTAAACCAATTAAAACGTCAGTTGTCTAATCTACTAATTAAGCTAATTAAAGATTGCAGGCCTAAAAAACAACAACCAGCAGTTCAGTTTCAACACATGAATCCAGCAAGGCACGAAGATGTTCAATTCAAGGTACTCAGAGATCAGCAACCTAATCCACTATCAGCATATCCTCTTTCTGTTAGTGACCTTGTTTTAAGCCAGAGATGTGGAAGCTTCTGCCTTCCAAGGGCCTTTAGCCCAAAGGCGGGGGAAAGGAAGGAGCAGAGAAGTGAGGGCAAAGACACCTCTTTGCATGCTGTGAGCCAAATTCAGTTTGCCTCTGGGGACTTCAATTGGACAGGCAGGATGTTTTTCTCTCTCACATGGCTTGTTAATTCAAATCAAAGAATGTTGGGCTGCATTCTCTTCAGCTGGCTGGATAATGGAACCACAAGTAGCAACACAGCCTGATTCTCTGTTAATTAAAAAACAAAACAAAACCGACCCTGCTTGACCTCTCAGCATACAGAGACTTTTTGGGGAGTCTTTCAGTCTGGGGCTCCTGGGCAGAAACTCCATAAGAGACCCCAAGAAAAAGTTCACGGGGGGGGGGGGGGAGATGTTGGAATTCCACACCCCACAAAAGCCACAGGCCCATCTCTACAATGTATGGATGCTAACTGAGCCTCACACCATTTTACACCATGTTTGGCTGCCCCTGAACACCACCATCATCACCACATTTCTTGTAAAGGATGCTAACAATTCAGCCAGGTACACAAGACTTGCTTGACAAGGTGAGGTGTTGCGAAGATCTGAACAAGGTGCTGATGGTAGCGTAGGGATTGCTGCTGCTCAGGCAGCCTCTTAGGCAGGTTATATGCCAGGCTCAGGAATATTCTCCAGGAACCACTGTCACGGCAGACAGTGAAGTGTGAAGGTGAAAAGGAATGTGGAACTTCCCTTCTCTATTGGTTTGGTTCATTCTTGAAAGGAAGAATAACACCAACCATTCACTTGCATGTACCATCTCTCTCTCTCTCTCTCTCTCTCTCTCTCTCTCTCTCTCTCTCACACACACACACACACACACACACACCCCATAGGCACATGTAGACCCAGATAGAGTGTTCTGTCTCTACCAGCACAAAGGAAGGAAGTAGGTCAAAGTGAGGGTGGGAGATGAGGAACAGCTGGGCTCTGTGCAAGCGTTGTGTATGTGATGTCACATCAGTCAATAAAACACCCGCTGCTCACTCTCATTCCCTCTCCCTCATCCTTATTAATGCTAAATAACAGATACCAAACCAAGATACAGTGGTACCTCGGGTTACATGCGCTTCAGGTTACATACGCTTCAGGTTACATACTCTGCTAACCCAGAAATAGTGCTTCAGGATAAGAACAGAAATTGGGCTCTGGCAGCGCAGCGACAGCGGGAGGCCCCATTAGCTAAAGTGGTGCTTCAGGTTAAAAACAGTTTCAGGTTAAGAACGGACCTCCGGAACGAATTAAGTACTTAACCTGAGGTACCACTGTATGGAAGGAAAAAGAGGAAGAACCAATTTGTATATAGGGTTTTTAAATCTCCTAAATATTTGCCCATGGGCCAGATGAAACCTAGCAGCAGGCCAGATCTGGCCTGTGGGCTGTAGGTTCCCCACCTGTTTTAAACCCTTTGAGATTTAATTATCTAGTCCTGACCTTTCCAGAGCGCAATACAGAGTTCTCCAACATTCAGCTGATCCCCTTGAGGACACCCCTCCCTGTCACGAAAATTTAATTAGTTGCCTCAATGGAAGAAAAAGCAGCTATGAGGATTTTGCTGCACTGCGGTGTCAACAAATTAGCAGCTGAATCACTCTATTTTTAGAGCTGACAAATACATTTTAGATTGATTTGCTGGCTTCTTCTATCAACAGCTTATCAGTGGGTATCAACGATTGCTCATTTGGATAGTAATGAGGCTTTTGAAGGTTCATTTGAAAGAGTAATGAAGGTCCCCTTAGCAGTAACTGGCAAAAAATATTCCATTAATATTAGAAAGCTACATTTCTGAACTGAAGGGTCACCTTGATTTTAGAAACTACCCTAAAGGGATGGCCATTACACAGGGCAAACTAGAAAGTATATGAACCATCCTTTTCATCAGAACTAACACTAACTTAAGCGGGGAAATGTAAGGTAGAGATGAGTGGGGATAGAGCAGAGAGCTCTTTGATGAGGCAGGGGTCTCAGGAAATCAGATGTAGCACAAAAGATCTGGGTCCCATGGTTCCTTGTCTGTTTCTAGCCAGAAGGAGGAGACAACCTGTTATCTGGATACCTCCTCCACACCAAACTGAGAAAGCGAGTAACCTATCCTTTTTGCTAGTATAGAACACAAGCTGTTTAAAAAGGGGAAATGCTGTACCTCCAGTGCGTAATTCTGGAACACGCTGGTGCTGCTTGTACTGCAAGATGATACCAGCTCTGATCTGCCAGGCAAAGGAAACTTTGAAAGAGAGCCTAAAAGGCAAATAGATACTTGTTACTGCAGAAGGAAATGCTAGACTGACCCATGATAGTACTACATTGTCATGGAAAGTACAATTGTTGTAAACAGCTGTCATTTTTTTATGAATAGAGGTATATAAGTACTTTTATAAATAAAAATAAATAATAAAAACAGAAACACACTCTTAGAACTTGGAATATTACTAACAAAAAGCAGAAGAGAAGAGAATGACAGGAGAGGTAGTCATCCACAGAGAGACAATAAAAGTTATTGCAAATTAGACATGATGTGACATTAGTTGCATGAGTACACTGCTGTTGTTACTGTGCAAGTAATAGCCAGGGGAAATCTTGAGTAGCTTTTTGTGGATAAGTTTAATTTTCTCTCTCCCTACCACTATTTTGTGCTGTTGTTAAATAGAATTAAACTGTTATTATATGTTTTGAATTTTACGAGATTTTATTGATTTTGTTTTTTGCGATGTGTATTTTTAATGGGAAATGCTTTGAGGCCTGCATGACATAAAGCAGTACACAATTCTAAATAACTGTTGTTGACATCTGTCTCTCTCAAGAGACAATGGAGTGCATCTCCAGGGATCAAATCAAACCGCTGCATTAGCAGCACCGAAGTGAGCTCCTCATGGCGCAACCCTGGATAGTGTGTACCAAGGTCCTGGACTGCCCAGATGGCAAGGCCCCACTCTCCGCCTCACTGATGTAGTCCAAAGGAAAGCAGAGCAATACGTTTGGCACCAGCTTGGCTGAATGAGTTGCCGGAAGGAGGCGTACAAGGCGCCACCCAACCATCTTAGGGACTCCACTCCGGATCTGTGTAGGGTTACTCCTTAGCATTTTCTTCTCCAGAAGATACCCCATAAAGAAGCAGAGGTTTAGGACCAGATTTTTCCTTCTCCTAGAAGGGCCGCCTTTCCAGGTTAACGAACCCCATCTTTCCCTCACTTCCCTCCACAGCATGTGCAGAAACTGCCTTCTTGACCGTTAGACCCACTATTGGTCTCATCCACCCAATCTGCCAGAGCTTGTCTTTGTATGCAGGGGAAGTCCCTAACCCACTGAGGGTATGAGACCCATCGGCTACCCTCACCTGGTTTAGCTGGCCAGTCGAAGCCATTCCTATGGTGTGGTCGCTGTCACATGCTGCCAGCTTCTAGGAGCCGCAGGTGACAGCTGAGTGCAGGGTAGGGACCAAAGGTGGACAAACTACCCCAGAAGGAGCATAACATGTCCCTCACCAGAGGTACTACCCCTCCCCTAACACCCCATACATCTGTTACCAAATAACTAAAATAAAATAAATAGGGTAAGAAAGGAAATTTGAGAAATTTAAGGAGAACTCTTACCGGACTGAGAAAAACGCTTCGATGTGCCACTGTTAGAAGCTGAACTTTCAAGACTTGTCCTACTCAAGCCAATTCCCTTTAACACAGAGGAGGCATTCTCTTGAGGAGAGGAGTTGCTTTCAAGATCATTGCAGACGTCTTCATCAGTCAGGGAGGCAGTTTCTGAATCAAGGGCCCCAAGGGATGAAATGCTTGCTCGGTCTGAGTTTTGATCCTGAAAACAAGAATAGTAATGTTTTCTGTGCTTAAAGGTCTCATAGAAAGTATCTGGAAGAAACACCATCATCAATACCAACAGAACCAAGCTGGATCTTCTTCTAGAATAACTGCTTTGAACATCCAAGTTGACTTCTATTAACTGGAAGTGAAAATCTGAGTGCCAAGCAACCTGACTCATGTATATAGTTAACAAATGAAGACTGAATATCTCCTGCAATAGTTATCATATAGATGCCACTTTCAATGTCTCATCACATTCCAAAATTTATTGGCTGGTAGAGAGCAAAATTCTTTTCCTTTTTCAGGATGAAAAATTTGATCAACAACAATTTACTTGTCCCTACAGTGCAAGAAGACAGAGGGCCCTATCTATTTATTTTGCAACCATTTTCCTTCTCTGTGTTTGACATAACTATTATTTTCTTTCCTCTTGGAGTCTCCCAGAGGAAAGTCAGGTCTGTTAGTCTCAGCGTGATTTACATGCACCTGGCTCTCAAATCACAGGATTTGTATGCATACCCAAATCTTTGCTGAAAACATTTTTATCATCTTAAGTGACAGGGAAAGTTTCTCACACACCTGCACTGCACAAAAGAGCTGCACACCACAGTTTGAGAACTGCTCTACTACAGGAGCCATTTTGGCTCCCCTCGCACCCAGCAATGTTTTAAGATGCTTACCTTTGCTGATGCTGCATACGTAGTAAACTTTGAGTACCACTTGCTGGCCTTCTCAGCAACCCCTTTCCCTGCAGAAAACATGCTGGTCTTTAGAACGTCAAAGGTAGGTGTTAGCAGTGTATCCAAGTTGAAAGCAGTTGGAGAGGCAAGAGCTATTGCACCAGCTGTATCCTGAGATTGTCCCCTGGACAGACTATGGGGAGAAAATACTGGAGAGGACCAAAGTCTGTCCCTTCCCCTTTCTTCATTTTTTATGTGGTAGCTTTTGGATTTGGTAAGGCTTGCCGGTCTGGGTGAGTTTGGAGGAAGGCTAGATCTCCGGCATGGCTGAGCCAACGTTGGACTCTTTTTGTTGGTGTTCTTGTCACTGTAGGCTTTTTGCAAATCTATGCTTGGCGTACGGCTTGTTAAGGGGCTGCTCATATTGTTCATATACATTTCTATTTCTTCAGCTAAATCTCGCCTTGCAGACGGGGTTGAGGCACTTCTGTCCTCATCGTCATCCTCTTCCTCTTTCTGTTGTTCTGTCTCAGCAGCCAGCAAGGAAAGTGGATCAAATCCCATCTCAACACCAGTTTTCTCAACGAGCTTTACTGGAAAGCTGATGGCTCGCTGAATCCTCTTTGGCCTTTTATGTAACAGCTTCACAGTCTTCACTGAGAAAGGTTCATTATCCAAATCTTCCAAATCAAATATGACAGGAGACTCTGTTTTGTCCACAAAAAGGTCCTCATAGGGAGCATCCTCATCACTGGATTCTTTCTCCAAGTTCCCTCTCTTACTGGGTCCCAAGGAAGACTGTCTGATGTTGAGAGTGTTGGGCCTTTTTCTCTTTTCAAACACTTTGGAAAGAATTTTTGCATCCACTCCTAGTTTTTCAACTATTTGTTCTGGACTTGCCTCCTGGTTAATATGGTTTTTCATGAGTTCTATCAAAGCATCTCCACTCAGATTACGGTTCCTGTTTCTCCAAACCATCTGTTTCTGATCCAGTTCAGCTGCATTTAAGTGCCTATTTCTTAAGCTTTCAACTCTAGTAACTCTTGTTTTGTTGATATCCTCAAAGCAAGAGAATAACAATCCTGCAGAGCTTTCTGTGAGGGGGAAACACACACAAATCCAGGGAAGTGGGGTTACTTTAGTCACAAAGCAAAGCAGTGCAGAAATTGCATAAAACCTTAGACATCTCTAACATGTGTAGGAGTTTTATGATAGGATGGGGACCCTTATATACTACCATATTAATAGAGAATCCTGTTAACAGTCCTGAGAAAAAAATATCTAGCCCTCTTATGAATGAATGTATGCAATGGGATTGTTGTCTCACAGAAAATAAATGAGTCAAAACCATCAATTCATGAGAATCAACTGCACCAGCTTACCTCTGCCGATCTCTCCTGCTGTATCTGCTACTTTGCCAATTTTATCATTCAGGCGAACAATCCTTGATGCAGGCTTAGCTCTATTCGAATTTTGATAATTTAATGAAGGAAGGCAGTCACCACTTCCCTTTCCACTTTCTACTTCAGATACTGTATACACAGACAATAAACATATATCACTTGTTAAGATTTGAGCTTGCTCTTAGTAAATTCTAGAAAAATAGGAGCATTAACCATAAGCCATTTCCCCAAGTTATTAGGTATTCAAAAGTCAAACTAGCATACCATGTAGACCGTCTCACACTTCTTTACTGCTCGCAGGGCAGGCTGGTTTACATATATTACATGTTTCCATATGATACTGTGCATGTGTGGAGATGCTAGCATGGTGCATTATCAACAAGGGAACATGGCAGCTGAAACCTGAGCAGCAGAATCTCTTAGCAGTAAGTACACATGACAAGTGATTGCCCTATAGTGCAGGGAGGATGGCAGTGGCAGGAGGCGATATTGCTTATGCGCTTATTCCCAGCTTAGACTGGTTCTCCAACTACAGTCATTCCTGGATTGGGATAGCCTCAGTTACCCATACCCTGGTGGCCTCCCACTTGGACTACTGTAATGTGATCTATGCAAGGCTGCCCTTGAAGATAGTCCTGAGGCTGCAGCTAATACAGAATGCAGCTGCTAGGTTAATAAGTGGGGCAACGGGTATTTAAGACACAACACTAGCTGTCAGTGAGCTATTTGGCCAATTCAAGGTATTAGTATTAAGTACCAAACCAGTGCCAAGGGGATTTCGCAGTTGGCAGTGATGTGTGACCGTGCCGTCTCTCGGTGGGGCTTTCCCATCTGTGGAAGGCCCTCCCTAGAGAGGTGCTTCAATCTCCCTCACTATTAACTTTTAGGAGAAATTCTAAAACATTCCTGTTTACCCAGGCATTGGATGGTGAAAATCCTGGGCTGTGGCAACCCTGAAATTATTAGTCAGAGAGGAGGTGATAGCTTTTAAGAGTTTTGAACTGTTGTTAGAGGTTGCTCTTAACTGGATTTAGAAGTTTTAATTGTATTGCTTTTGCACTGTTATGTTTCCTGCCCTGGGCTCCTTTGGAGGAAAGTGCTGGGTATAAATTTTAATACTAATACTACTACTACTAGTAATAATAATAAGCAGCAGCACCACATAATTTAACATTGATTTAGAAATGTGCGCGCACACACACATTCCTGTAAAAATCTAGGTTCTTTGATCCGTTATGCAACTGAGTTACAAAGTCTTCACGCTCTTCCCAGAAGCACACGAAATCTGTACTTTTCACCAGAGGCAAGAATCCAAGTTTTTCATGTCTGTTTTAAGACTCATAATGGATTAAAATCCCCTGTAGGCATAACCATCTTTTCAAACCTCTTAAATTCAAATGTGCATAAATTCACTTTATGAAACCATAGAGGTTGTTACAGTTCTACATCATATGCATTTGCTCCAGTGAGCATTCAGCCAATAATAAAAAGGGCTGAGAGAATAATGGTGAAGAAAGAAGACTCTTTCTTATTGACTCTCTTCCTTGTCTTTGCATTTGCCCAGCAGTGCTTGTGGAAGGTATTCATTATAATTTTATGTACTGCATTATAATGCATTGATAAACCAAGGCACCCAAGGGGGCTAACAATTAAAAATATGGACACCAAAAGGTGGGGCTGCCTCAACAGTTCTCCCAAGCTGCTGGTAGTCTATGACACAACATGGCACAGAAATACAACAGTAAAGGGATATTCAAAAGAGAGGCAGTGCATAAAAGTTGGAATCAAAACAACCCCAAAGGAACAGAATTCAGGCAGCATGACAAGTATCAATATTTGATACTTACAAGAACTAGAGTCACTCTCTTTCTTCTCTTCCTTTTGCTCACCATTCCTCTGAGCTGTGGCTTTCCCTTGTTTAGCTGCTGCTTTCGATAGCCTGTATAACAGATCTGAATGTTCCCCTATCATAATAAAAAGGATAAAAAATTAACAATACATTTTTTACTTTAAAAAGAATGCCAAGCAGAAAGGGAATCATGGGATGCTGTTGCAATGAAGTACATTGGTACCTCGGGTTACAAGACGCTTCAGGTTACAGATTCTGTTAACCCAGAAATAGTACCTTGGGTTAAGAACTTTGCTTCAGGATGAGAACAGAAATCGTGCAGCGGCAGTCACCATTAGCTAAAGTAGTACCTCAGGTTAAGAACAGTTTCAGGTTAAAAACAGACGTCCAGAATGAATTAAGTTCTTAATCCGAGGTACCACTGTATAGAGGTGATATTGTTTGTAAAAGTGACCATTTGTTTGAATGAGGAAACTCAGCAGTAGAACATTTCCAGAAACTTGGGGGACTTTTTGGTGACTAAAGACTGTCCTCAGTTAATAGGGCTGTTCTGCTTTTAGAGACTGCCTGTATTTTTTGCATGACACTGATTATTAGAAAGAAGACCCTTGGTTCCAGTGCCTGTCTGGCTGCAGTTAGGAAGGATGTACAAAGCTGTTTGGGAGAAAAGGGATTTTTACCCCTCTCAATTATGAAATTCAGTAAGACTAGTGCTTTTTTTGAGGGGGGGTGCGGACTCAAGCACTGAGTAAGACTATCTTACCAGATGAATCTAGACGACAGCCAGTAACTTAATCTCTGCCAAAATGTCAGTTTAGAATTTATGTATTCTGGACCACTGTGACTTATACAGGGAAGAGGCATGGTTCAGTGGTTGAGGATCTACTTTGCACGCTGAAGGTCCTGGGTTTGGTCCCCTGAGCCATCTCCAAGCAGAGCTGAGAATGTTCCCTGTCTGAAACCATGGAGTTACTACTGGTCTGTGTGATTAGTGCTGACCTCGATGGACCAATACAGCTTCCTATATGTCTAATATTTTAAGGAGTAAGATAGCAATGCAATAAATCTTTAAATATTTGTTCCCCACAATTTTGCCAGAGAGACCCAGGATTCTGACCATTCCTGTTCCATCAGCGTCTCTTCCTCATTGTGTCATGTAGCTCATCATATTTTCAAGAGGTACACGCAGCAGAATGTGCTACATAGCTGAGGCCCTATCATTCATGTTAGTCTGGATAAGACATCCCTGGTCTTTGTGTCATCCATTACAGCAATTAAAACACTGAATAGAATATGCTGCATAAATTAAGACTGATTTTGAAAACTGGGCATTTCTACCTATTGAAAGCAGTTACATTTGCAGAGCTACAAACCAAAAGATGCATAAAAACTCCTACCAGAAAGAACTTTGTGGATGCCATTTGCAGGTTGCTTCCTTAGAACTCTTTTAAACTGAGCTATTCCTAAGACAACGTTTCTTATCTTTGTCCACAGAAAATAGCCACTTCGATTGCTTGACGGCCAAGTACTTTCCAAAACAGCCTGTAATAACAGTAAAGGAAATTATTTAAATTACACAACCTAAGGATCTTGGAGTAGTACACTTTCAGTTATCCCATTCTATATTAAAGCAATCCAATGATCAACCTGTTCCAAAAATGTCATGGCCTAGGATTTTGAGACCAGGTTTCCCTGGTCTCATTCTGGGCAAGACCACCTGCACTATACACTTTAAACAGTCACAGCTTCCTCCTAAGAATTCTGGAAACCATAGTTTGTTAAGAATGCTGAGAATTATTAGGTGACCTCCACTTCCCTCATGGAGTTACCATTTTCAAAGTTTCCTGGGGAGAGACATTTTGATTCTTAAACCACTCTGAGAACTGTGTTAAAAACAGAGAACAGATGGATAAAAATCCAAACCATGTCTGTAGTCATGCACACATATACTCAGCACTTTTTCTCTAAAAAATGTTTAGGGGTACTCTCATTGTCCTACTCATATTGAAATACTGCCCCTCAATGAGGCCAAACTTAGATTCACAAAATGTTTAGGGGTAGGCGTCCCCCTGCGTCCCCCCAGAAAAAAAGCACTGCATATACTATGGTTTGCTGAAATCAGACATTGGCCAATTGATCATTATCTTTACAAAGAATTATTTTTCCAGTACTAAAATGCAAGGCTTTCAAATAATTAACAAATATTTACCCTATTATAATAACCATATGTAATGGCATTGGGGTCAACTCCAGCTTTTTTCATTTCAAAAAGGACTCTCACTGCTAGCACAGGCTGGCCATACTGTCCACATAACTGCATCAACACCCGGTAGCATACCTGGAAAAAAACAAGATTCTCCTTGTCAGATAAAATAATAATAATAATAATGCATTATTTATATGCCGCCCATCTGACTGGGTTGTCCCAGCCACTCTGGGCGGCTGCCAACAAAAAATAATAAAAGCACAACACAAATTCATTCTCAAGAAACTGGCCAACTTAGGGCCATCATCATATTTCAGAAAGGACATCCATTTATGTCATCTAACCTAGACACTGGAGAGACCTCTTCAAAGGAAAAGGCTTGGGGTCTCATAGAGAACCCTAAAAACCTGGAGGAACTTGCAGCAGTGCAGAGGTGGCCAGAAGAGATCCATATTAGGGATTCCTGGGCTCCCACAAGAACCCCTCCAACCCCATTCTGAGCCTTTCCTTCATCCCCAACTCTCCCCCACCATCCCACAGACCTTGGAAGCAAAGGTGACACCAGATTCAAGAGAAAGTTCAGAGTTGCTAGAGAAGCACCTGTTTCACTGCCAGACAGCTGTATTGTGAAGAATCTACTTGGGAGGCAAGTTGCAAGCAATAACCCAGCAGAGGTCCAGGAAGAGGAAATACTGGTGGTGACTATAAATCATATTTCTGCCCCTTTTGAACTCATCAAGTCACCAAGTCCAGAACTCCCTAGCACAGCTCCTGAATTGAAGCTCCAGTTTCCACACCAGGTACTAGATGTAGGCAATTTACCTCGTCAGGTGGATCAATCTTTTTCGAGTGCATTTTCCGCAGCACATCATAGGCTGTCCTCAAAGCCCTCACTTTGGAATGGCACACCTTGACATAGGCAGGAAGGCAGATAAACCAGAGGCCATAGCAGTGGCGCAGCAAGCACCTAGACCACATCTGAGGGATGGAGGAATACCTCTTGGCTATCTTGTGGGCCGACTTGATTTCCTGCAAAGAGACATTGAAAATATTGTGTTTTAGGTATGTTACACTTTTAAAATCCTCTTCACATCAATAGAAGGGAGATAAGCATGAGGCAGATCCTCACTTGAATTATTTCAGTAACAGCTCTGCAACTATTGACTGCTGCACACTCTTCACTGGAGGCCACTGAATTGTGGAACAAATTCAGTTGGTCTGCGAGACTCAGTGGTTGTCTGGCAATACAAACAACTAGCAGCTTTTCACGTGGTCACAGAGAACCTGAGGGCCAAATTAGATGATACACAAGGGATCAATGATCACGTCTCCCAGTGTTTTCTTCTAAGCTTAAATACAGTTGCTAGGGGGAGGCGAGTGCAAATTGGATCAGGACTAGGGAAGTGGGTTTATATTTATTACTCACTTTCTTCAGAAAAGGGAACTTAAAGCCACTTATAAAAAATATCAAAAACAAGCATAAAAAGAAAAAGAAAACCAACATTAATGTATTTAAAAGAGCAAATCCAACTCAGCCCCGCTCAACTAAATGATAAGCAGAAAATTTAGATCCAAAAGCCTAGGAGAACAAGAACATTTTGGCCTGGCACCTAAAAAACAGACAATGATGGTGCCAGGTGTGCCTACCTGGGGAGAGCATTCCAAAAAGTGGAGCCACCACTGATATGCCAATCAAACCATCAGTCTGTGGTGGCTAATTTTTTTTATTAAAAAAACTATGTCAGATAATCGAGCCACAGATCTTCTGCGTTTCATCAAGCCTGGCCCTCAACTCTGGTCTGTTTCTTCTACATCTTAGTCTTCAGACTGAAGACAAGTTATTATTGGCCTATGCTGGCTCAATCGCTCACCAAACTTGTGGGTTTCCTGGAAGAAGGTGTTCAGTACTATGTTTTACTTTGGCTTCTGCAGCCTGCTTATCTCCTGATGTGCAGGATTTGGTGGCCTAATTCAGCAAAGGCTATGCCTGGTTGGTGAGCTCTGACACCCTCATTAATTCCACTGTTGCTTCATTTCTAAAATCAGAAAACTGGTGCTTCTAGTTCATAACTGAGAAGACACAAGGATGACTAATACACTTAATTTGTTTGAAATGCAAACTATTATCTAGTGAAATCATTTGAGGGTGACAGCATGCCAGCATCACCGCAATAGAACATACATATTCATCTGAAATGCAACAGAACGTGGAGTGCATTAGAGGGGAAAATAAGCTCCTTAAATGGTCGCTCAAACCACAAGACAGATAGAGAGATAGATAATAGAAGTCAAGGTGTCGTTATCTGAATGTTGAACAAGAGCAGCACAGTAGAAAAATAATTACTGGGATAACTCGGTCATTACCCTTGCTGTACAACCAGCAGGTGCTCAAAAGAATTTTCATTAGTTAAAGCATGAGTTGGGCATATCACTGTATTTTTACATGCCAAACAGTGCTCACAAAAACAAGAGGCAAACAAGGTTAAGTGACTTAACTATCCAAATTAGATATTAAACCTGTTTCCAGCAGGCTGCAGACACCAATAACAAAGGAGATGCCTCCCATACAAGGAAAAAGCCTGTGATTATCTGCTTCATGTCTAACTCTACAGTTCTTATTTATTTATATACTGCCATCTCGTAAAACATTGCAAAGAGTGTATAGCAATATATGCATAAAATAAAACTTTACAAACAGTACAACAACCTACAAACAGTACAGAATAATCATTAAAAGGACAGGCTAATCAAAATGTTTTTAAAGGCCAGTTTCACAGGCTAGTTTTAGATGCCTGAAACTGAAAAGAGGGGATGCCTGCCAAATCACTGTTGGAAGAGTGTTCCACAGCATGGGACTGGGGACACTAAATGCCCAGTTTCTAACAGAGGCCAGCCTTGTCCTTCCCGCCATTTTGAAAACCGACTTCTGCTCAACAGTTGGGACTTGAATACGGTATGAGAGGGTGTCTTATTGGACGATTCCCGTGAGATGGGAAAAGAAACTCTTTTTAGAAAGCAGCCTTGAAGATTCCTTACGCAGAAAGATTGGAAATCTAAATCTAATATAAGCATTTTGTTAGTTTTTATTATATATATTTTTTGTGGTGGTGCTTTTTGTAATTGTATTTTAAAATGTTGTAACCTGCCGTGGGCCAAGGTGATTGAAAATTATTAATGGGTTAGTCACCAGCAACTTGATGGATTAAGTCTCCCAAATACCAGAATTTTGGTTTGTTTCTAATACTGCATATAATTTAGTAGCCACCTTCCAAACTACTATCTCAATGTGATTTACAGTACACATAAAATAGATGAAAACAGTTCAAAGCAATTTAAAACAAGACTAGACAGTTAGAAAATAAGTAATTGATAGATTGACAAATGCTTCAAATACCATAACTGTGGTTCGCTGCTAGTAACAGTGACTAAATAAAACCAGCAAGGAAGGTTAGGAGCAAAAGAAAATGGAAAAACATTGTTCAGAAGGACAGAGGAAGGTTATCTGAGAAAACTTACTATGAAAAAAAGATACAAACTGTGAAGGAAATGTTGTTTTAAAAGTGGTTTATTATGCCTAATTCTACCCACAAGCACTTCTGTGCAACAGCTGCTGTGGATAGCAGAGGGAAAGAAAAAGGAAATGTGAGATTAAATTATAGCATGGAGTCCCTAGGGAGGCTGAGATCCTCCTTACAATTCAGTAGAGGCACTCAAACTAAGTTCATATCATTGACAAGCAGAGCTTTATAGAGCACCCAAAAGCTGGAATAAATTATTCCCGTATAACACACAAATGTGCATTTCTGGATTGCCACAAGGCTGCCACTCCTTTTTTCTTTTCAAAAGCCCATTGCTATGAGAATACATCCCATAACATACCCAATTTTACACAATGTCTGCACTTATTTTCATTATAGTGGTGTTGCTGGGATGTCTGCCTCTTTAACTCTTCAATGCAAACAGTTTACAAAGCACTTTAACTTGCTGTGGCGTTTACCTCCTAGGATGGGTCAAGGAAAAGGTTAAAATGGGTGTGATGTGATTGGCCAGTGAGAATGCAACTCCCAACTGACAAACCTCAACTCCCAACTCCCAACCTCAACTGACTTTCAAAACCTCCCACTCTATCTTTTACTCCCCCCTTGCATTCTCACTGGCCAATGACATCACACCCATTTTAACCCTTTCCTTGACCCATCCTAGGAGGCAAACACCACACTTGCTCTTTAAATTTCCTGAGTTTTTCTCAAAAGCAGCTTACGAGGAAGTATGGGGAAGCTGCTGTTTAAGAGATAATCTAGTTCAAAGTCCCAAAGGGCACAAGCTTGTTACATATGTGACCCAGCTTGTTGGGTTGGGAGAGAGGAAGAGGTTGTGCATAAGAACGTAAGAAGAGCCCAGATGGAGCAGGCCAAAAGCCCATCTTGTCCTGTTCTTACAATGGTCAACCAGATACCTCTGGGAAGCCCACAAGCCGAACCTCAGCCCAACATCAGAGTGGGTGGGTATCCCAATATTATGTTGGACTACAACTGCCACTGTCCCTAGCCAGCGGGACCAGCAGTCAGGGATGATGGGAGTTGTGTTCCAGCAGCATCTGGGAACCCTGTCCCTGCCTCCCAAGGCTAATAAAGGCTGATCTAAAAAGTAAAGTAACATTACCGTAAAAATAAAAAAAAATTGTTCTTTCACATTTAATACTATACTGGAATGCATTTCTTTTAGGTAAATTATACACTGAACTATGTGTAGGTATTCAATAACTCTTGCTGCAGCCTGTTCCAAACCACATAACTTTTGTTATGTGTTTTATATTGTAATTTTATGTTGTGAACCACCCTGAGATCTATGGATGAATGGGAGTATACAAATTTAATAAATGGGAATGAATGAATTAACTGCGCTCTCTCAACTGTCCATGGCAGCCAGCAGCAATTTGCTGTAACTCGCCCCAAGTTTGAAGAGACTGTAAAAAGCACTGCAGCAAACTCCTTGGGAGAAACAGTGAAACCAGGATACACAGAACACCAAAGGGTGCCGCATGCTTACTAAGTACCTGTTTTGTTCTCCTGAACATTGGCAACGGGCTGTTGGGACTGCTGGCTTTTGAAGACAACCTGCTGTTCTGTATTGTCAGGAGTGCCTTAGGCCGCTCAAACAGATCTTGCTGCAGTACAGGAAATCCACTATAACTGAAAAAGAAGGGAGACGCCATCTTATTTTATTTACTTATGCCCCAACACCATACAGAGGGCTTTGGGCCATGATGCTGCTTTGACTACAACTGGTATTTTCGTGGGCTACAGTTCTATTATAGGAGTAAAAAATTGAATAGAGAACACACAAGCTTGCTGTACTTTCTTTGTTTTTTCAAGTAAAAACCCTGACCGGGGGTGGGGGTGGGGGCAGAAAGAAAAAGACATCCTTCAAGCATTTATTTACTGAGCGGAATCAGCATATAATGGTTCAGTAACTGACCATATTTGGCCCTCTGACAATTGCTGTCCATCTTCATAATTGAGACAACTAAGAGATGAGGAGGGATGAATGGAGGGACTTACAAAGTTGCCTGGTACTGAGTCTGGACTATGGTCATTACTCTTACTGGCTGTGGGTCTCTGGGGTGTGTGTGTCTTAGGCAGAGAAGGATCTTTCCAGTCATGTGTTGCCTGGTCCTTGGAGATAGAACCTTCTGCACACAAAGCATGTGCTCTGCCACCAAACTATGAAATTGCCGTGAAAAATGGACTAAATGACAGGTTAACTTAGGCCCCCTCTTCTTTGTATGACCCTTCAGTAAAACGCTTTCCTGAGCAGAGATCTATATACTCACTTAAGGCTGAGTATTTAAGTAAGGATTTTTATTTTTTTTAGTGTGCTATTCAATTAGAGTGACAACTTCATTAGTATTGACTGCATTTATGCCATGAACATCTGAAAAGCTTATTTAGTTTCTAACGAACAAAGAAAGAGCAGAAGCCCATAAAAATCAATACTGACCTGCAAACTCATTTGAAAGAGAAAATTAGATTGCTGGATTTTTTAAAAAAGGACTTTCAGGAAGACCAAAATAAACAAACAAACCCACCAACCACCAATTGGTGGTTGTCAAAATAAGCAAAGGTCTGGTGTTCAATCTGGGGAGTGGATGGTGGGTGATACACACACACACACACACACACACACATATATATACATATATATTGTTTAGGCTAGGTACAGCTATTACCCTCTACTGGTACAACAGGTTTGACACATAAAATACTTTGCAGCCAGCACAACTTAGGGACCAGCATTTTGCCAGGATTCTTGCCACATTCCAAAGGGTTACCTGTACTGTGATGGAACCTCTTCTCCATTGGGAAGGTGGGGGATCTCCGGGGGAGTTATGAAAACCGTGTGCTCACTCTTGTATGATTCATCCAGTTCTATAAGCCGCGTGTCACCCGTCCTATCCATATCTACCTACATAAAATAGTTTTAAAATGTATTTTATCTCAAGTACAACATATGCTCACATTTTGGAAGCAGGGTATTGTTCATACAATGGTGTGTAGGAAAAACAGTTGCCAATGATACAGTAACATTAGGGTTTTTACAATCAAGTGGAATGAAATTTTTATGAAACATTTAGATAATGTTTCCTGTGTTTTACTGTCATTATTTGCAATTCCCCCACCTTCGGTCTCCAATCTCTTTAAAAAAAGAAAAAGGAAAGAAAAAGGCTGCGTCTTGGACTTCCTTTGAAGAAATTTAGCAATTCAGTATAAAGATGAGAGCGCTGTTTTCCACATACTGCTTTCAAAGGTTTGTTGGTCTCAAGTCATATCCCTTTCATAGAATATTGTCATGCCTTGTTTATCTTGAAAGTGATTCCAGCAGTCAGCTTCTCACAAAAAGTGATATTTTTCAGCTGCTCATTTTATGCTATATGTAGAACAAGGAGACAGGACTAGCTTGGTTAAGCATGTTTCAGTGTGAGTGTGTGTTTATGTAATAAATACATTGGCATGACACACAATGAACATACTTAACCAAGCTAGTCCTGTTTCCTTGCTCTGCATAGCAAAACCACTGCTCCCTTTGTAAAAAGCCAATTTCCTCACAGGATCCTATGTCAGGGAAGGCTGCCTACTGCCGAGGAGGTCCCCCCCCCCCCACTTCTTGCAGCAGAATTGTCTGTAATCAATAAAGTGGCACTTGAGCTGGCCATCTTTCTAGCATATGGCAGGAAAGAAATGGCCAATTTCCATAGTTGCTGAATTTCTCTCAAGTGTGTGACATGCACTTTATGTTGCAACAATTAAGTCAAGGGTACACCTGCAAAAAAAAAAAGCCACCATCTTCAGAACGTTTTGCAGTTTTCAGAAATTTTAGGGGCACATTAGCGCCAGACTGAGTGTCAGCTGTGAAGATGTCAACTATATGGACACTGACGGATTTAATAAAATCTTTGGTATCAGAGCCAATTAGATCAGTCTTTGCCAACATCGTGCTCTCCAAATGCTGCTGATCAACAACTCCCATCAGCAACAGTGGGCAGTGTGGGGCCATGAGAGCCACTCTAAATTACCTAGAGTTGCCAAATCCTATGTTAGCAGAGTGTTTGTTGTCAGACATGGTTCAATGGAGAAGTATGTCAGCCACACTTACTTTATTTACACAGTCATCAAAAAATGCAAGACTTGCATCTTTATCACTGACAAAGGAGCATTCTTCAATGAAGCGAATGAACATTTGTGTCTTGGTCATCATAGTGTAAAACTTCTGATGTGAACGGTCACGGCTTTTTAAGAACCCTATAAAGTTAAAACAAAAACCCAACATTTGATGTTATAAACGTGGTTGGCAGGGAAAGCAAAGAACATATACTCCACTAAGAAAAGGAAATTAAATAAACATTCCATATGGGGTCCCCGCTACCATCGTCAGGAGCAACAAAAGTGCAAGAAACTCAAACTCTGAATGTCATGTTGAAAAACCTCCAAAAACTAGACACTGAATTTAGCCTAAAGCTTAAGTACTTAAGCCCAGGTGAAACCATGGCAGGAATTCCAAGGGATGTTAAATGAACTGCAGGAAGATACTGAAATACTGCCTGGGCCTAAAACAGACAGGTATGCATTCACAGAGTCATAGAATTATGGGGCTGGAAGGATCATCTAGTCCAACCCTCTACAATGCAGAAATCACAGCTAAAGAATCTGTGACAGAAGGCCATCCAACCTGTTTAAACACCTGCAATTCAACTAAGTGTTACTTTCAATGGGTCTACTCTGAGTAAAACTTAGTTGGATGCAATCCCTTTACAGCTTTCCCCTTGCCAGTCATTTAAACCAAGCTACAAACTGGAGGAAGGTATAACAGTCTGCTCCTTTACCTTGCAGCTCAAATAGGGAACTTGCATCTGTTGCTGTTTCAGAAGGTGCTTGGGTAATGGGTCTTAGATATGACCTGTAACCTTTTAGGATAGAGGCCATGAAACAGAGAAACGCCTCCTGGATTTCCACATCTAACAGATGCAGCTTCTCCCCTGAATGGAAATCATAGTCATTCATAGCCAGCTCCATCAGTGCGTCATCTCTTGGTCTTTGCTGCACTGTGAATAAAAGGACAAAATATGAAAACGTTCCCAGTATTGAGTTAGCATTTCCTTTCTGCTCCACAGGGCTTACTTCATTATCCCACCTTGCTAAGTTACTTATGCTACTTATAAGTGGCAAGCATTGCATGTCTCTTTCTGTCAAGATGTTTCAAGACCAATAAACTTATTTGCATCCTCAATGTGTTATTCAGAAGTGCGTAGCATACAGTCACAAATGGAGGCAAGTGTAATTTTGCTTCAAGAACTGAGACACCAAAGAATGCATATCCTACCATCCCCAATGACTACCAAACACTTATATTGGCTGTCTGACCAGCCTCTCTGTGACATGAGAACAGCTGCCAAGCTAACATGGCCCACCCTGACATCAGAGCACATCAACCAATGGTACTAAGAGAGGCTGGGAAAGCAGAAGGGAGAGACACAGAGGAAGCAAGCATAAGGTAGGGAATGCAGAGCAACCAGGACAGAGGTTTGGCAATACTAATATCCCATCTTACTGGTGACCTCATCACTAGTTCCCTAGATCTGGTTTAAATAGTGGGATACAGCTATTAGCTATGGCAGAGAAGGATGCAAATCACTAGTCTCCAAGATAGACAAAAGACTCAGACGAGCACATTTACTTTTTGCAGAAAAGGCGTCGCTATGGAAACTATGACAGAATTAGTCTGGGTGAAAACACAGTGATATGCACATAGAAAAAGACAATTTATGTAAGCTTTTGAAATGCATACATCAGTTAGTGATATAGCTTAAGCCCCCGGGGTGAAATCTGCCAAGGACTGCTCCTGTGTGACTCCTGGTTATTTCAGTGGAATTTGCATGTGGCTCTTGATGCACACTTATATCACCTCAGTGGAATAATAAAGGGCTCAAGAGAAATAACATTTTTAATAAAGGAAACCACTGTAGATACCTCTGCTCTGAGCAAGAGTCTAACAGATCTTATGAATTTATCTATTATATCAATACGTTATAGTTCCTCCAAAACAACAAAAACTGGGTACATGGTTCTCCCCTCCCCCAATTTTATCACCACATTGTCCCTGTGAGGTAGGTCAGGCTGACAGATATCAACCGGCCCAAGGTCACCCAGGGAGCTTCACGGCTGAACAGGGATTTCAAATGTGGTCCCTCTGGTACTAGTCCAGCACTTTGACCAGTACACCATACTGGCTTTCTAAATGCATTTATTCATGTTTATCAATAAATATGAAACAAAAATAAAATATAAAGCAGCAAAAATGTTCATTGTAGCAGAGGTAGTATAAAACAGAATGTATTTAAAGTACAATTTAAATGCCTGGTTAAATAAAAAGGTGTCAGGCACATGACATTTTTAATCTTGGAAAATAATTTTTATTTGATTTTCAAAGCTGGACATTTTAACAAGCCCAGCTTTTCAAATACATAACATTTATGCAACCTATTAAACAGTAATTCACAGAAGTTCCAGAAAGGTAGCCGTGTTTGTTGTTTGTGCTGCAACAGACTTTCGTGGGACTTTAAAGACTAACAGATTTATTATGGCATAATGATTTGTTTAGCATTTAAGATGCCACAAGTCTCTTAGTCTAATTTTGTCAAAAATTATTGCAAAATTTCAAAATAATGAAAAACCTATCGTGATTTTGTCTGGGTTCCTCTAGGCAAGGATGGCTGGCTGAGAGCTAAACTGAGCTACAGTCCTTTCCCAAATCACTATCTGTTCCATCTGTATAGAATAAGGAACACCATATGTTTCTCCCCTCTTCAAAGACAGCTTTTTCACTGGATTCCCTGAAGTCCACTCCTGCTAAGTAGCACAACAGCTTAACCATCTTAAAGCATGAACAACTACAACAAGCCACTGCATATGCCAATCTCTGTGTCATTTTCCCCACTTACATTCTGCTAGCTGCTGATACAAGTTATTTAGAGTGTTCATCAGATTTTTACAGGGTTTCTTTGGCAAGATCTTCCATGCAATATTTCTTTTATCTCCTGGTCTGGAATAAAAACAGAGGTATTATGCAAAACATGGTATTTTGAAAATACAAAGCAACAGCTAAAAAGTGTACACATAAATGGTTATCTAGGTATGGAAATCTTTATTTATAGATGACAGTGTATTTTTAAATATGCTTGTGAAAAGATGACATCTGGCAAAGTGTCCTTCACTGCACTCGGATTATTCAAGCTTCTGCTCTCCTCTGTTGCTGTTGGAAACCTTGCAAGCATGATTTCCCTCCCCCTCACTTCTTTCTGTGGGAAGCACCCAACATGCTGTTTGTTTCTATTAATATTTTAAATCTTATCTGGTCCTCTGCTTCCATACTAATTGATTCAGCTTCTCATCTCTCAATTCCGAGCCTTGTTGCCTCGGCTGATGGTTTCGTTTCAGTATTTCCTTGAAGAATGTGAGAGTCCTAAATATCTGATACCCTGACACCTGTATGGCACACTCATAACAGTTTACTAATATTTTGGTTTGGACACGAGTAAAGTTAAAAACCACTCCTGCTCTCCTTTCTACAGCTGCAATTGTTCTATAGCAGGCATGTCCAAAGTCCGTCGTCTTGGGGGCCTAATTCAGCCCCGCCGGCAATCTTCTGTCTAATCCTGAGGTAACAACCTAAAAAAAGCTCAACAACTCTGGGGTAAAATCATCATAAAAACAACAACTTCAATCCTATTCAATCCTAAAAAAAGGTTAACAACTTTGGTCGGCCCTCGCAGCCCTTCACTTCATCAAATCTGGCCCTCTTTGAAAAAAGTTTGGACACTACTACAGCATAATGACTAGGGTGTGCCTCAGGCTGGCTGTGTGGCCAGAATGGCTGGCTGTGAATGAGCTGGGTTGCCTTTCTCCTAGCCCCACAATTTGGCCAATCACAGTGGCTAGGAAGAGGGCAGCTCATGTGGGTGGTGAACTGGAGTAGGAACAGCCCTACTCCTGCCTAATATAGGCGAGAGGAGCCCAAAAAGCAGCTTAGTTTGATACTTCTTTATGCAACTGCTGTGGCTATCTAGCTGTACCTGGTTTATAGTAATGCTCTGCCTGGTCTCATTAGGGTTTCTTGCAATACAGCTACATAAATTTTGCCATGAACTTAAGATGACAGGGCCAGGAAGTAACTGAACTTCCCTCCCAGACTGATCAGGCAAGGGGCAAGAGTTCACTTTTCTCCCAGCAAAGGTTTGTAAGCAGTTGCTTTTGGCACTGATGGTGGATTAATGTCACAACTGGTGCAGGGATAAGGAAAGGCAGGCTCCCCGCAAACCATTCTGGGGAGGCCATAAAAGGAACTCAAGAAATGGCACAACAACCAATCCACTGCAATTACCAGTTGCCAGCCATATCCCCGCACTGTGGGGACTTTGTGCTTGATCCAGGTCATCATCTGCAGTTTAACATGAAAATCTAAAAATTTGCTTGCAGGACCAGGCGGTGAGTCCAGCATTCTGTTCTCAGAATGGCCACTCTTTCCCCTCAGGATTACCCAGCAGTAAGGTGGGTGGAGAATATGGACTGTCAGCAACAACTGTCTTGTCCATCTCTTCTCTGCTAAATAATGGGAAAGTTGTGGCCTGCTCTATACCCAACTCTTGGTGTGCATTTCAGTGATTCTTCACCCAACAAAAGTTCTCAAGATCCTTTAAGGCAACAGTCAGGGGAGCCAGTGGCACTTCAAATTTTGTTGGACTCCAGCTCCCATAAGCCCCAGTCAACATGGTCAATGGCCAAAGACATTGGGACCTGGGGTCCAACAACATTTGGAAGCCCGCTAATTCCTCACCTGTACTTTAAGGGAAATCAGTTATATAAGGCTTATGCAGTTGTACCTTGGTTCTCAAATGCCTTGGTACTCAAACTTGGAACCATAAACCCGGAAGTAAATGTTCTGGTTTGTGAACTTTTTGTGGAAGCCAAATCTGCTTCATTTTGAGTGCGACACTTCTGTTTTGAGTGTTACGCTGAGGTCTGTCTGTTTTTGCTATTTATTTTGCGTTTTTGTTTTTGCAGCTTTTTTGTTTTATTTTTGTGACTGTGTGGAACCCAGTTCAGCTACTGATTGATTGTGTGACTGCAGTACATTGTTTATTGCTTTCATTTTTGGATCAATGGTCTCGTTAGATAGTAAAATTCATGTTAAATTGCTGTTTTAGGGGTTGTTTTTAAAAGTGTGGAACAGATTAATCCATTTTGCATTACTGTCTATGGGAAAGCATGCTTTAGTTTTGGAACACTTTGGTTTTGGAATGGACTTCCAGAATGGATTAAATCTGAGAACCAAGGTACCCACTGTATATGACATTCGCTTTTGACAAATGATGCAGAAATGCTCGCTTAATTCCATGTCCTTGATTAAAGATGGTACAAGTTCCCCCTTCCCAAATCATCAGTGAGATTACCAAGATTAACCATGTTTATATACTCCAAGAGAATTGCAAGTTGAGAGCAGTTAAATTAGTAACAACACTGGAACATGCCCATGAAATCTGTTTCCTTTATTTTACAAACACATTTCCTCTGTACTCTTCCCTGCTAAGGAAAACTGCAAAGTCTAGACCACCAAGAACTGCAGCAAACTAATCTCAGTTCTGCTTTCAGACTGTGTGGTCTTTAAGAAGCACCCTTTGTTCACATGAGCTTTAAGTATTGTTTTTAGGAAAGCTAACTGCTTTCCACAGTACTATGAGGATTACTGAGACTATTTGCAAATTACTTAGAATGTGTTTCATGTTCTGGCAAAGTCAAAGTGCTGAGGTACCCAATTTGTCTGTGTGATCTACTAACACATGATTTCTACAGCAAGGAGTTACGAGAAGAAAAACTTAGGGTGACACGGTTAGTCTGCACTTGCAGGCTTATTCCTTCATAACTGTAGCACCATTGTAGCTGGTATAGTGGTAAAACAGGTGAATCAACAGCTGTAATGTGTGGAGTTCAATACATGGCTTTATACTCCCAGCCTCAGTCCCAATATGAAGGTATTACTGTAGTGGTTTACATTACTGGGCTATTGTAAGGGTCCCTGAGACATGTAGACACTTGAAATGCACTATATACATGCTAGGTAACCGTAACCATTAAGTGTGACTTGTATGGCTCAATGAACCATCACAAATTTAATGCCATAGATCATCACCTCTGACACAATGATTTTCAGAGGAATCAGATCACAAGTTCAGCTGCAAGTCATCCAGTGCTGTGTAATCAAGTGATGCAAATATGAATGGACTTGCAGTTTTTGGTAAGCAGAACTAGATGAGGTAGGAAACAAGAATTCACCACTGTGCCTTCTGCTGAACTATTACAAAATCATACAGAAAAGTTCTCAATGCTTACTGTGAAATGGTGTTTGTATCTAGGTCAACGCAGCTAACATCTGGTGGAGGGTCATAGAGATCAAAGTATCTTGAGTCAATTCCTACTATGAATGGACACGGCGCACTCAAAACATCTGCCAGGGCTAGAGGGCAGAGAGGAATGTACGGGCAGGGCCAGTGGAAAGGAAATATCATCTTTAAAAAAGAGAAAAGAATGTATGCATTGTATATAAGTAAACAGATGTGCTTCAAGTTAAGACAACAATCACAGACCATTTTCCCCATATGAAGCACTTTCACCATGAACATTCCCTTCAGATTTCAATTAATGTCAGTGCAATGTTGTAGGGAAAATGCAGCAACTCCTGTACTTTAAAATGCTCACTAATAGGAGACAGACAAAGGGACAATCCTCCAGGCAGTGATGGCTGGGGCACATTGGGATGGGTAGGGTGGAAAGCAGGGAGCCCAAACAGTAGGTGGAGCCCAGAGCCAATGATAGGCAGCCAACTAACTCTCGTGCCATCCCCAACCTCTTCACTGATGAGTTGTACAAAGGCAACACTGAGACTAAGTAGGAGGAATGCTGACAGTCAGTGCCACCCTCTTACTTACTTTCTTATGTATAAGGAGGGGAGAGGGGTACAGGAATAGACGAAGCAGTCTTATACTGAATCAGACCAATGGGTACCTGCCTAGCTCTGCACTGTCTAAACTGACAGGCAGCAGCTCCCCAGGGCCCTTCCCCCACTGCAGTGTACAAAACATTTACAGATGTGACACAAATCACTGCACACTGAGGTTAGAAGGGCTGTGCCCCATTCGCCCTAATGGACCACTGCCTTCAGGGAGCTTTCCTGTGCAAGCCCTGTTGAAATGAATGGGAGAGGACTCTGATTTACTTCAATGGAACTTGTACAGAATAACTTCCTGAAGGACTGTGCCCAAGGATTGTTACAACAATCTAAAACTGGGTGAGAAGCAAGCAACGGGACACAGAGATGAAGATGGCAAACACTCGCAGCAGCCCATCTGCATAAACATCATTGGAAGGTTAAAAAAAAACCCACCACCACCACGACAAAAAGCTAAATATTTAACACATGACCCCCAGCACGGAGCAGAGGCCAGGACCCAAAGGATGACAAAGCCTTATGCATGGGGCTTGTGCTAGCTCAGAGGAATTTTTGACTTTATTTCTTTGAACAATTGACCTTCATGCTGTGTGATAAACAGCGTTTGAAACACCCCCTCGGTTTGACATGCAGCTGGTGTTCAAGCAAAAACAGTCTAAAGCCCCTGGGTCCACAGAACCATTTCTATGCAGCTGTGGATCCTGGTCATTGTGGCAAAGATAAAAGATACATACCAGTTCATTTTACACTTTAGCAAATAGGGAATGTTACTAATAAATACCGGGGAAAATATTAAGTTCCTAGGACCAGGACACCCTATAGCCATTTAACTGGATAAAAACAAATGCTACTTACAGAGACAAGTGCTTCTGTTACACTGGTAAGGACTGACGGTCGTAAAGAATGGATAAGGATTTTATGCTCCGTCACCGCAAATACAAGGAGAGTTACTGCATTCTCTGGTCCAAGGTTCTGCAGAAGAGCAGAAAACTTGCCACCACTGTCAGACAAAGACAATAAAATGGACTGATAAATATTATTTATTGATTACAATGCTACCCTTCCTCCTAGGTGCTATTTCGTCTTTACAACAACACAATACGCCAGCACCATTTTACTAGTGCAAGGTCCTCCACTATTCAGCCCTGCAGCTTAGCAAGGATTTGAATCCAAGACCCTGTGGTTTAAGTCCAACAGCCTAACCGAAGGACGGTCAACATGGCGCATTTCCAAATGCTGTGGATTACAGCTCGCACCCCCCTGTCCGCTAACCATGCTGAATGGGGTTGATGGGAGCTGTAGTTCAAATCATCAAGAAGGTTGGTTACTTTGGCCCTAATCACAAAACCACAGTGGCTATTAAATAATTATTGCAAGTAATGTAAGAATAACACAGAGCTGAAAATACAGAAAAGCAGACGTTTTGGATTTGGCACTGCCACAAGTCTTCCTTTCTTCTCTTTTTAAGTAAATACATACATTGTAGTACAGTACACAACAGGAGAAAGTTATTGTGATGAACTGAAGGGCAGCAGAAACAAGATGGGACAAGCTGTTTATAGTTCCTAGTGAATTAGTTCTCACTAAATTATTGAAAAAAAGTATTTCAAAAACTTTCAGTGTTTTTCAGCAAAATGTTAAAGAAACAAGGGAAGAAACTCATTTCTATTACTCCAAATATTTATAGTCTTCTTGTCTCACAATCAGTAATTTTTCAATCAACCCCTCTTCCCATCCTTCAGATAATGCATTACTTTTAAAATGTTATTTTTACTTGCCTCAGTGGTAGAGGTGATGATATGGGCTGACTAAGAATCAGACTGTCATGAGGCGACAGCTATAAAAACATAACATAAAGGTAGATTTTTATATTTACATGATATTTTAGACATCAGATAATACATTACTAAAGAAAAGTTTAAGAAAAGAAGCAATTTCAGATCACTGTCTGGTATTGGACTTCTAAACCATACATGAAAAAAGTAACAGTATTGTGGTGATCACATAAGTATACACAGGAAATACTCATTAGTTCATAGAAGGGATCCCTACTATTTATTTCATTTACACAAAAATTAAAGACTTCACCATATATTTGGAAAACACTGTTGACAGGTCTAACAGTCTTAACTACGTACTATTTTAGTAAACATTAATTACCCTCGCAGAATTAATACTGTTGTCCCATCCATAGCAAGCTGGTTTTAAAGTATGCATACCCTCAATGTTAATATTTTTAAGTAAGCTTCAATTGAAAAAGAGGTTATGGCTCAACTTCAAAGTCTCAAACAGTTTAACCTAGCACTGGTCTGTTTACTTGCAAGCTAGCTAAATTATTTAATATAGGTATCATCTTCCCAAAGATTTCTTCAAAAACACACTTGAGGAAGTCCACAAAAGTATCAGAATTATAAGACAGAAAAACTTCTCCTTTTAAGAGAAGGGTTAAGAGTTCACATATACACTTATGCACTGAGTGGCAAACAAATAGCAAATTAACTTTCAGACTCTGTAAACAATAAATGCATTCTATAGCCTTACATACTGTGCTCGCTTGCAAGTTTGCTTCTGTGTAAATCCACTTTCTCTTGTCAGGTATAAAATAGCATAGAATCAAGCAGCAGCTTTAGTTGGTGGTGGTGGGGCTTTAATGGAGGAAATACTCAGTGGAGAAGATTTACATTCTTCCCACAATGCTGCAGTTTTTAACTGCCCCCACCCTGGCTGGTATGAACACTTTGAAAAACTGCAGACCACACCAACCTCCTACATTGCATCAAGTATGGCCTACTGAAACCTCTTAAATTTTGGAGCACACAATAGATTTTTTTTAAATTGTGAATATCATTGTTTACTGAGTATTCCAAAACATACATACAAATACAACAAGGGTAGATCTCTTAAACCAACAACAACAACAAATAAACATACAACTTGGCACATGTCCAACAAAATTCAATCTATATAGAAACCTCACATTTGTTCCACCTGACCCCAAATGAAATACCAGGATCAAGACCAAAGATACTGTGGTGGCAGATCTGTATAATCAATTTTATAGCCACAAGAGCAGCTGTATATTTAAGGAAGCAGACTTTTACAGTGTTCATGCTTTATAATGGTAAAACACTGTAAAAGTCTGCTTCCTTAAATATATAGCTGCTCTTGTGGCTATAAATCACGGGGTTGGCACTTTGAAAAAGATCTCTACACATGAAAATACAACACTGTGTCCCTTAACCAGGATTTTGACTGGTATCGAAGAAAAGGGTGCAGGACCTCCAGATCTTAACACACAAGAAACAGCCCTCAGAAGTTTAGGTTATTTGGTACAGAAAGGGCAGTAATATCACAGCTGCACGCAGGTGGGTGCTTGAGTTTAGAATTTTCTCAACTTTTACCTTGACAAACCCCATCAGACCCAGCCAGCACAGTCAGTGGTCAGAGATAATAACAACAACAATAATTTATTATTTATACCCCGCCTATCTGGCTGGGTTTCCCTAGCCACTGATGGGAGCTGAAGTCCAACAACAGTTGGGGAGCCACAGGTTCCCCATCTCTGCTCTACAACTACTATGTAATAAAAAGATGCCAGCACTACGTGCTGGCTTATCTATTTTTATTATTATTAAAATTTATACTCTGCCTTTCCGCACAAGAAATCTAGGGTGGCTAGCAAAGATAACATATGAATGTGCAATATTATCAACAATAAGACTTATATACAAATACAAAAAAGCAAATATCAAAATACATATATATGGGTCACACATATCTCTTAAACATTAAAGGCTGCAACAACCAACAATGAATTGCATATCTGAATGAGCCATCACAGATCAAACACCAAAAATGGAGCTTTCATCTCAGAGAATCATAGAATTGTAGAGTTGGAAGGAAACCCAAGGGTCATCTAGTCCAACTCCCTGCAATGCAGGAATCCTGCCCACAGCCGTCCCTGGATGAGCTTGAACCACCGACCTTAACAGCAAGACGCACTGACCCATTGTGTCACTGGCACATTGCTTTTCAACTGAATGAGTTTACACAATCACCTACAAAACCTTCATGTAATCTAGTGATGCATATACATGCATGAACCTGCTGAAACTAGAACAACATGTGGACAGTAAAGGGCAAATTTACACTTGCCTGGACTAAAATTCTTGGCCTCTGAGGGGATGGAAAAGGAACTTTGTGCATAAAGTGGGAAATATGCCTGTGAGAGAAGAAATAATTATTTCAGTTTAATAAATTTAATCCGTTTACGGACTACAGGATGCCAGTGTACATACAGCATACAAAAAACATTAAAACATTTTTAAGCAGATAGGCTCTATTCAATTGTGTTTGTTTAAATCAGTGCAGAGTTTTCCATAATGACCTGTGTGTTGGCTAGGCAGAATGCACTCTCAGCTGTGACCAGTGGCCAGCCTCAGTTAATAAAATTGTTCTGCAATAGCACTGATGTGAAATGGACAAAATATCCTACAGAACTTACTTCTCAATGGGCAGGACATGTGGACCAGAGATGGAATAACGATATAGAAAAGTAAGAAATTTCTTGAAAGCATCGAAGAATGGCCAGTGAGAAAGAAGGCAGATGCATTTATTCGTCTGGACTGTTTTAGAGCTAGCAGACTTCCCATCAGGAGTAGCCACTAAACCCAACTGAGATTTCTGCTTTTCTGTGAGATTCTCTTCAGAATAGGTTTCATAGAACTGTATCGCAGCACCATAAACCTGCAAACAACAAAATATGTGATTTAATGAACATGCTTGTTCTCCATGCGTTTGCTTCAGACCAAAGGCAAATGACTCCAGAATATGTACATTTCTCAAATAGCTTTACTTTAATGTACTGCACTTCTTGAAATATTATGAAAACAATTTAAGCAACTCAGAGAACTAAAAATGTAAGTAAAGGTGCAATAAAAAGTTGTTTTGTGCATGCATGCAGCACTATAAGCAGTTTAAGGTTAATGAACAACTTCTTAAAATGTATGTCTCAATAGCTGGGTTGCAATGTGTTCCTGGGCAGGTGGCATAATGAGGGGCAATTAATGCCACATCAGATATGGCACTTAAGGTCGAGTGGCCATTATAATTTCTCCCAATGCCTCCAAAGTATTTTGCTGAGGGGCATTATGGGAGATGCAAATCTTGTCTCCATCCACCCAACACAGCAGTGTTGCCAGGTAAGCCCATCCTATTCTACCAAGAGAGGAGGGGGCCTCCCAAGGTCTCTTTGCCTGGGGCTCCTCTGTCCTGGAGCTGACCCTGCTCTGTTCGATTCCACCTCCCCATCACAGAACTACAGCTTCCAGTTCTCCTCATGGAGAAGGAATGATGACCAAATCAGTTTAAGTCTAGCATTAATCATCATGTGAAGTTATTGCAGGAAGAATTTTCAAGCTTTCAAACATTTTCTGATGAATTCCTCAGACTCAGAAAAATGAAAGAACAACAAAATAAAATAAAAGAACAAGCTGTACTTGAAAATTATACTTGTTGACAAACTTATCCTTACCTTTTCAGCTGAAGCTCCAGTTAGTACAAATGTAGAAAACACTGGGAGGGGATACTTGCTATTAGACGGCCAACATTCAATTGTTGCCCCCATTGGGAGGCAAAAAAGAGGTACTGATTCCGGTAAGGGAAATGAATCGTAGTCGTCTTCTGGATATCTGCATATTAGACCTGGAGAAACAATTTTTTATATTACTGACAGACCTGAACTCCACTGCGCATACTAGAAAAACCATTCCTTATGTAACACACTGAACTATTAAGAAGCATACTAAGAGTTTATTTTCCCAACTTCTATGCTTCCCTGCACAACAAATGCAATCCTTTGCATGCCTACTCACAAACAAGTCTGAATTAAACAGGTCTTACTTCCAGCTAAGGGCACAATCCTACACACATTTACTTGGGAATAAGACCATTTAATTCTATGGTATTTACTTCCAAGTCACATGAGATCCAGTTTAACCATACTCCTGAAAAATTATGAAGACCAACACCACAAAATTAAAGAAAAACTACACATATCAGTCTAATAAGGAATTAAGCTCTCAACTGAACATTAGCACCATATTGAGCATTCCAAAAATATACAAAAAAATATTTAAAACCCTTCATCTTTTAAATCAAGCAACACAGCAGAAATTTAAATTGCCCCAATTAGAGCAAATAAGGAAAATTCAAAGCTCAAGATTGTCAAACTGCCATCTATCAAGATTCAAAGCTCAAGATTCAAAGCTCTTATATCGTCAAACTGCCATCTATCCACTGTTGATATCTTTCAATACAAAATTTTGCTTGAGGTAATTTCAATATACCTCATTTATTTCTGACCTTATTGACAAATTAAGGAATATCGTCCTTAGCCATCATCAAATGATCCAGTGAGAATGTAAAATAAACACTTTATTCAGGAAAGCTTTGGGCTGTGGAGTGCAATCCAGTTTTTAATGATGTTGCTTGATTCGTATTTGGAATTTTTTTGTGTCTTTTAGGACTACAGTTTCACTGTTTCTTGTTTTGACATGTATAATTTCTGCATCATCACCATCCCTTCTAATACCAAACTTGGGTGGTCCAATGCCTATCCATTTGAAAGGAAAACATGGCTGCTAAATAAATAAAGAAAGAAAGAAAGAAAGAAAGAAAGAAAGAAAGAAAATAGCTTCTTCATGCTCCCAGGAATATTAGTTTATAAAAGAAAAATACTTTAAAAACAGCAACAAACAGCTGGATGGGGGCCAACACACAGTGGCTTCCAAGACTTATAAAACGTAGAGGATACTTGAGACACAGAAGGTTGCAAGTCTGTTAGGTGGGTGGGGAGGGAAAGGAATATAAATAGAGGGAATTTGCCAAATAGCTTATAGCATGGGTAGGCAAACTAAGGCCCGGGAGCCAGATCCGGCCCAACTGCCTTCTAAATCTGGCCCGTGGACGGTCCAGGAATCAGCATATTTTTACATGAGTAGAATGTGTCCTTTTATTTAAAATGCATCTCTGGGTTATTTGTGGGGCATAGGAATTTGTTCATCCCCCCCCCCAAAAAAATATAGTCCAGCCCCCCACAAGGGACAGTGAGGGACAGTGGACCAGCCCCCTGCTGAAAATGTTTGCTGTCCCCTGGCTTATAGCATCCTTGGCTCAGAGTAAAGCAGGTGGGGTGGCAGGTGCGTATCACAAGGTTACAAAGGAGGCAGGAAAAAACGGAAACATTTTCTTTTGGTATATAGCATTAATACTGTCAGGACTGGTCGTTGTCCTCTTCAGATCACCACACAAACGCTTCTTGTTCTTTTATAACTTTTTACTGCATATTAACAAAACAATCTTATAAACGGTTCTTAACTATTCTTCCTCAGAGTCACTTATTTCAGATACCTTCTGAGCTCTGCTTCTCCGTGACCAGCCACTCTCAAAATGGCGAATGCGCCCTTCCTTTCGCTTTCCCGCTCTTTTTTCTAACCTCCTGGCTAGAGCTGGCTTGTATCTCCCATCCTCCAAATCTGAGCTAGAACTTAACCCTTGCCTTTCCTGTGAACAGCCGGTCCCTCCCTGTTGTTCCTGTTGCTCTCTTCTATTAGATTCACTGCTCTCCTTCCCCCTTTGGGGAATGTTTTCTCCCTCTGAGAAACTGGAAACTTCTAACTCTTCCCTGACAAATACTCTCATGTTTGGGGCTGGCTGGCAGTCCCAAGACTATGTCCTTTAGCACTACATAACGCAATAGGAGAAGCAGGGTTGACCCAATAAGTTTTGCTGCCTGAGGCAAAAAACACAATGATGCCCCTTCCCCCATTCTATGTACCAACCAGGCCAGCAGCTGAATATTACTTCAAACACAAAGCATCCTCCACCACATCTGAGGCCAGCAGGCTAGCTTAGGGAGTATGGGGCTGGCTGTGGGGTGTCCAAAGTTCAATCCTCCAACATGTTGCCACATTCCCTGCCCCTACCAACATCTGCCACCTGAGGTGGCTGTCAAACTCTGCCCTATGAACAAACACAAACCCCTGTGTTGCAGCTACACTATCCAGTGATCATTGATCCACTAGCATGATTCCCCACTAGTATGAATATTTCATTATTCACGGATGAAGACTTTATTCTGAAACAGTTGAACTATTCTTGATATACTGTCCTTTTGAGACTTCAGAGAGACGTCTTCCTTTGAGACTTTTGTGAAACGGCTTCCTTTGAGAGACGGCTTGGCGTTCCTCGCTATTCATTGATTTGTTTGATTCTTTGTTTGACTCTGATGCATATAACAACTTGTAGTTACTTGTATATTTTGTGAGATGTGTTGTATGATATATGCATCATTTTGAAGTGGCTTATTCATATATTTTGAACTCTGTCCTATGGCAGGGCCAGCCACGAGGAGACATTTTCAAATGGGAAGAAATTAAAAGGTGTCCTTTCTCCCTTTCTGCTCCTGAATCCTTCCTTCTAGCTTTCTGCAAGCCCTGAAGGGATCATTGAGGATCCTTTTCCAGAATGCCAAAAGTCCTGAATAGGAACACTCCTTTTAGGGTTGAGGACTGTTGCAAGTCCCCACTTGCTCCTACTAATACTGAACTCGGGTTCCTACAAGTTTGGCAGCAACACAGGGCCTCTCAGAAAGAAATCTGGAGCCTCTGCATACTAGGTGGACTCTGCAGACATGCAGAAGAATATGAGTTGGTAAGTTAACAAAAAAGAAAATTAAAAACAAAAACAAAACAAAAACATGGTCTGAGAAGGACTTGTGCCACGGGAAACACACTGACAACCCCTGTTCTATCTGCTGAACCACATCGGTCCTATTACAGACAGCATTGCCACTTGAACTGGTTTCACAGCTCCTCCAGTCAATGCAATCCAATTTCCCAGCAATGAAATCAAAATAACTCAACATTTCATTCTGCTTATTCAATAGAAGACATACTGGATAAAAGCCTCCTAAGCGATGCTGCGTTCATTTCAACTGGGCTTGCCCAGGCAAGCTCCAGAGAGAGGATGAGCCTCTGTACTTGGCAGATATACCTGTGTGCTTCCAAAATATCCCAATTAAAGTGACTCGGGGTTGTGCATTCCCCCTCATTTTGTTTTACAAAAGCATAGCAACAAAAGACCACCCATTATGCCGTATCAAAACCATTACTGGACCTCCCATTAATTCCAAAAGTGGTTTGCTACGCAGAGAAGTGGGGGAAGAGAAAGCTTTTCATGAAAAGTAACCGCAAGTCAAATTCCCCAATGAGGGAAGAAGAATGTGGGCAGCATGGAATACAAAGGCCCGCGTATAGCTCACCACTTCATTTTGGCCTTGAAAATTGGACCTCCCTCCTCTGCCTTTTACTTCTGCTCCCCTTTCCTTCTCTTTGTTTGCATCTCATCTGTTTAGTTTGTAAGCTTGATGACAGGTCCTGTCTCTCATTTTTTAAAAATGTCATTAATATGAGCTACTTTAGAAGTCAAGAATGGTCCAGAAAATGGAATAAAAATATAATAAATAAGCAACCTCCGAAGTCCCTCCAGGCCCACAGAACCAAGTCTTTATCCTGTTTGTCATAAATGAGAATGTGTACACACCACACATTTAAAGCATGTCTTCTTCCTCACACTCCACAACACACACACCCTAAATCCTAGGAACTGTAGTTTGTTAAGGGTGATGGAAATTGTAGGTCTGTTTCAGGTAAACTACAATTCCAAAGATTCTCTCTGTGTGTGTGTGTGTGTGTGTGTGTGTGTGTGTGTGCTTTAAATGCATAGTGCGTAGGCTGCCTGCCTCTCAAAGTGACATAACATTCTTGGTCTTCTTGATATTACAGAATTTTCCCACATCAGTGCAAATCCAGTCTAAGCTTACATAAAAGAATTAATCCATAAATAAAATTGGTCTACTATATGCAGCCAATAAGCATTACTGTATTATAAATAAATAAAACCTACAGATGACTTACCAGCTTTGTATGATATGGTGTTTGTTTTTGCCACAGACTTCTTATAGCACAAGTATACTGCTGAGCCCCACTGCAAGAGAAGTGCAGAACAGGGTGAATTAGTTGACTAGGCAATGTAGAAAGACAAAAGTACAATGCCACAAGTGGGAAGGATAAACAAGCCTGATCAGGCTTGTAAAAGGTCAAATTATACTCCTTTAAAATCAATTCAATGATTGCAATGAATAATGGAAGCACTCTTGTGTGTCAGATTAAAGAACCCGACTTAAGGTAAAAAACACACAAACTATTTTCCTGGGCAATCCCTTTCACTTGATTCATGCTGATGTTTAAGTATTCTATAACCATGCTTGAGTCTCTTAACCTGTAATTTTTCACTCTATGACTCATTTTTAGCACAAAATCTCATACAATTTCATAATTTTTGAACAGTACCAACTTCTCTCTGCTGCTGGCAATGTGTCAAGGTAAACAGAAATTTATAGTATTCTGCTAAATTTTGTGTCCATTGGTAAACCCAAAGGAAGACTGAATAAAAAAGAGGGGGCTACCAGCAAATGTCTGCAGCACATAAACACTTTTGGAATGTAAAGTGAGTTCTTTCATGCACTACATAAGCCATAATGGGTACTACAAATGAAATACACTTGATTTTGTAGTTTGCTCAGGTTTTGTATATGTTTTGGAGTAGCTCAGACAGCATTCATACCAGAGAAATGAGAAGCAAATATTCCATTCCCACTGATTTCAGTAGCATTTTAATAACTTCAGTTTATAAAAAAATCTTGTGCAGCTCCTACTTATTGCAAAACAAATGATTATGTGCCATAAGTGAAGATCATGAAAGATGTAAAAGCCCTATTCCAGAGGCTTGCTCAGAAAACAGCATACATTCCTACTTCAAATACCCATGAATTCTGGAATGTGTTTTAACTGAGTCCATAATTTGAAGCATTTTAAGAACTGTCTTCTAAGCTACCCTGTGTATATCATAGTTCCTCCTACCCCTCCAACATACACATGATTCTCTGCCTTTTCTTTTATCCTAGAAAGTGGCATAACAACAATTTATCATTGAAAAATAGCACTATGGCCCAGTGAGATAAATAAAAATTTTCAGTTTAAATACACATGAGAAGGGCTTGCAAAAAAATAAATAAAAGGGGCTTTAAAAAAATCAAATCACTTGACAATGATTTGATCACACAAAAGCAAAAATGATGGAAAACAGCAGTGCATTAGCCACAGGCTTTCATGCCACAGTGCACCTGAATCATACTGTTCCTATTGAACAAATGCTATCACCAGAAATCCATTCAATTTAACTTGCATTTAAAATATTCTACTGAAAACCAAGTAATGGTATCTCATATACTTTTTGTGCAATTGACTATTCATTTAGAAGGCCTGCAAGAAGTGCTTTCCCAGTGTTCTGTGTAACTAACATGCATCAGAAGATGGTGGAGTAGATTGGATTCGTTAACATTGTGACAGCAAAGAGGACTTGAGGGAACTTTTATAGAGTATGCCAACAATTATTACTTTGATAATGAGTAGCAGGAAGACTTAAAGAAAGAGAACTCTTCAATCCTGTTGATGCGGCAAAAATAATGTATTCAATATATTATTCAACAACAACTGAGCCTCCATATTCATAGGCAGCCTACGTCTCATTATCAGATGCTGGGAGTAAAGAAGAGGGGGAAACTATTTTGCAGTTTTGTGTCTCCCTACTGAGCTTCCAGAAGTATATGGTTGACGGAGGTGAATTAACTAGGGACTCAGCTACACAGCTGCAAATAAAACTTTAAATGTGTTGTAAAGTGCAGTATACAAATGTGACACTAGGAGCCGTCAGTGAGCTATGCAAAATTCAATGTATTTTTCAAAACATTTTTTAAAAAAGCATTTTCACAGCGTTTTATATATGTGTGTAGATTCCACCTAGGTGTGTCTTAGTCTATCCAGCAAAGCAAGTCTTACTTTTTTTTAAGTACTTGCCTTAGGACTGCACAGATAACTTCATAAAAAGCTGCTTGCAGCATTTAATTTATACCATTGTCCATCGGGCAAAGAGCAGATAACGCTGCAACACAGCAGAGAACCCTTCAAGGGATTACGGATTGCTCATGAGAAGTTGACATTGTTGAGACATGAAGAAGAAACTGGCACAGATCCTCTGGAATCTTACAGGAGCGTAGGATTAATTAGAAATATATATGTCTACTCCAACCTGGTTTTTTTTAATGCCAACTGGTAACTGAATGTTATGCTTTGTAAATCACTTAAAAGCCTATTTTGTCCTTAAGAGGTATATAAATTAAATAATAACAACAACTATATTGTAAGCATTATAAATCCATTAAACAGTATTTTCTACAAATGCAGAAGTCCACCTTACCATACTGCTGTTCAGATTCTTGTCAACCTTGCAGAATGTGTGTGGTGGGGTTTCTCCCTTACTTGGTATAATTATGCATATGTCTGTGACAGCCAAGGTATTCTGAGTCATGTTCTCCAAGGCTCTTCGGAATGTGATGTATACTTTTTGCGATGAAGCACCACCGCTGATATTTGCAGGGCGGCCATGCGGAGTGGCTTGGATGATTTCACAACCCTGTTTTAATCTCTCTTTCCCATCATATAAAACCCTAGACAGAAGACATACCCAAAAACACAAGGACAGGTTTTTAGAAACAACAGGTAAGGAGTATTGCGGGGAGTGGGAAGGAATCCTGCTAGGCTCTGCCCATAATAGACCACAGTCAACTATGCTCCATTCATGAAGCAGCAAGGGTTGGGTTGCATGAATGACATGCTCAGCACAGGTGCAACTGCAGAACCAATCCAAGGCTTCTGACACTGTGTCTGCACTGAACCGGCAATGCGCCAAGCTCCTGCTGCCTTGCTCTTTCACTTCCACATCTCGGTAAGTGGCAGTGACACATGGCACTGGGAAGGAAGGTCAGCAACACACCCCACCTCAGAGCAGACCCCACTCCAGTTTCTCCCCTGAATTGCCAGCTCTACAATTCTACGATTCTATGATTCTATATCTATCAGGTTCTTCCCCAACTCTGCCTCCAAACAAAACCTAACGGACCAATGTTTTTTAAATAAAAAGTTAGCAGCTCTATTCCTTAGTAGTGCAACTTGAATATATATATATTTAAAGCAACGTTAATAAAATTTACTCACCCCAAGTCAGTAAGTGGGGGCTTGTTTCTCCCTCTCCTGTAGCATAGATATATTTGTGGTCCCACAAGGCTGCCATTGTTGAGATCTGCTAACAGTCCTGATGGAGTAACATCTATGCATTTGTATCCATGAGGCACTTCCTCCCCCAGAGATTTAATTATCACCGCCACATCTGTGATTGGCTCTTTTGGCTTTGCAAGCTTGTGACAAGCATCGTTGAAGTGGATTTCCTCCTCTAGTGGTTTTGAAATATCAGTCAATCCTGCCACAACAAAGTAGTCAGCAACACGGGCCCCTCTGTCTTCCATCTTCCATCACAGAACGATCTGGCTAGCAAGGAATGAAAGAAATGTGGGATATGGTAAAACTGAAAGGTCTCTGAAAACCACCAACCTTTAAGAGTACACTGAAAAGCATTACATTTTTCTCTGATGCCATTGCCAAGTTTTGTTCTATGTAAAACAGACTTTTCTCTCTCCTTTATAATGAAATATATAGGCTTACATACCCAAGTTCCAGTTTCAATAATGTCGGCACAAATGTGCTAGCTTATGAACAGCTTGTTGAGTTTAATGTGCTTGCACAGATGTGAGGCCCACAAGCTCAAACATTTACCACGGTAATGAGTTATCTTTGTAATAAACTGCATTACTTATCAAAATAAAGGAATGGAATATTTTCCAGCACCAACATCTTCGGGAGCACACCTTCTGTATATTAAATGTTAATTCAAATGAAAACCTATCCTCAACTATCACAAGTGTCTTGGGCCAATGAAACGAAACACTCCTAAAGCTACAGGGCATTATATAAGCATCTGCTCTTAACAGCTTAAATGATGCAACAGAGCTTAGTCACTTGCCCAGTATCCCCCCCCCTTTTTTTTTAGAGCAGTGGGTAAAAGCAGAGCAAACAACACAAACGTCTTCCTCATGGAAATATCAGAGTGTATAATGGACAAACACAAAGCATTCTTTAAATGGTAAACAGGCTGTTCTGAAGAACCAAGGGAGAAAGAACTGGGTTAGACTACGAATTACCAGTGCGTGAAGACAGCTTGGAGACAGGCTGGAGCTGGAAATAGGCAGTAGATTTTTCAGAGCTGAAAGTAGCACAAGAAAGGCACTATCACTCATGGTACACACCCTCATCTCACCATCTGATCTGATTAAAGAGTTTGCCAGGCTTTTGTGGTACCTCAAAACCCTGCAGCACTGTGTGAACAGTGACTAAAATAGAACAAGAAAATGCGCGTATACAGGATAGGCTATGATGGCTCTATCAGGGCAGCCTTGATGTTTTATTTATATTATTGACATATATTGCGTAACAGTCACTCATCATTTTATCCACTTTGTACTCTAATGGTCTAATAGCTGTTATCCCAGCCATTCAGTGATGGCATTGTTATTGTCTGATTGATTTTATTCTGCATTTACTGATAGTTATTACATTGCAGAAGACCTCTTTTGTTTTACCTGTTGGCAAGCATACTTGAATCAATAAATTATTCAAGCACCAGTATAAACTTCTCTTTTCCTCCTGCTCACTCAGATTCATTCTGTGGGTGCATGCAAAACCCAAGGGTGAAGTTTTTGAAAGCCAACAATAGAAGACAGACGGCCTGACACAAACCTTTAAAAAAGACACTCATCACGTTATCAGTTGAGCAATGCCAAAGTCTCTCAGATATCCATCCTGCCTCATCACAGGAAACTTCCTTCCCTTTTTGGACTTCCGAAACGTCACTAACCACAAAGAGCAGCAACTCATTTTGGCTTATTGTAGCATTTAGATCAGGGTTATCTATTGTCTATTATCCTTCTAGTTCAAACCCAGCTGAGAACATGTGTTCTACCATGTAATAATCTAAGAAATCCTAAAGGTTAAAACAGGAAACCACATGCTACTAATAATATGGTCAATTTACCAACAGACAGCTTTTGTTACTCTGATACAGATTCTGTGCAAGCATAAAGTAACAGCAGAATTTGTTACTGAAAGCAGAATTCAGCAGCAGTTTATATCCAGGCACTGGATATAAACGTATTGACATTATGGCTCTTATTTTTCCTTTGGCTAACAGATTTATCTTAAGAGATCCCTAGCCACTGCACAGAACTACGATTCACAAGGTCCCCTTCGGAGACTGAATGACTTTTTTTAAAGTCTGTAGTACAGTATAGATGTACTGAAATGGAAAGTCAACATAGATTCATGGCACGCTTTATGGCCACTAAAGGAAAGATCATGTGGATACACAAGAGGAGATACTTTCTGTCAACATAACAGAACATGCCACATCCATCAGTGTCAATATTATATTGATTAGGTGGAGATAGATAACAGAATACTTGGGCTTTGGACAAAACAACACAGAGAGACTGGCCTGAAACAGGGCGGATGAGCTTGTACAAAATCTTCCTGCATCTGCTCAGGGATATATTTTTCCTGTTTCCACAGACACACACAAACCCTTAATGCGGGTGTTAGCTTATGTATAAAAAGGGTCAAGAGATTTGTTTTTAATTGAAATAAATCAATACAATTTCAAATGCTTTCCCTCGAAATTTAATTACTCCTCTGAAAAGTAGTCTCCCCCTCCCACTCACCATTTTAAGCAGATGCATGGAGGTTGCCCAGTTGTATAAAGCCAACCAGACACTCTGGCAGAACAGAGAAAAGAAAACAGAGATGACTCATCCCCAAGCTGAAAAGTGCAGTCCTCTCCATCCAATCTCTATAAAACAAGCTAATCCTCCTTCTAAATTTTTAATTCTCAAAGATGAGGCAGGCTAGGATATTAGTGAATTGCAGGTTTTGAAAACAGAATTTAATGAGGTCTCCCACTTAAGCTAGTTTCTTACTGACTAAACTTGCAATTATTATAGAGTCCATTTCTGAAAAATTATAGTTTTACCTAATCTTAGCACTTTTACACTTTTAAAGATAAAAATAAATGTTTTTCTTTCCTCTCCTGTGGAATGTCAAAACATCCTACAAGTCCCATTTCCAGCTACAAGACTCAATGTTCCAAAAACTACTTAAGATTGGGTCATTTCAGCCTCCTGCTATGTCATATGATTGTTGCTCAAGAACCTCTGATTTCATTTCTGGAAAACTGAAGCAATATGTTTAAATCAAACATTACATCAATGCCCTCTTTTCATAGAATCATGGAATGGTAGAGTTGGACTCGCATTTAGCTATGCGAACGAACCCTTATTTGCAGATAAGTCCTGTTGAATTTAGGGAGCAAGCCTAAGCTCCCAGACAGGGAGCCCAAATCACAGGACTTCCAAGTTGGAATGGGCCCAAAAGGTAATTTAGCCCAACTCCCTGCAATGCAGGAATCACAGCTTAAATAATCCATGAGTTGGCCATCCAACCTCTGCTTAAAAACCTCCAATGAAGAAGAGTGCACCACCTCCCAAAGTAGTCCATTCCACTGTCAAACAGCTCTTGCCATCAGAAAGTTCTTCCAGTCAGAATGTTCTTCTAATCTGAATCCACTGGTTTGGGTCCTACCCTCTGATGGGCTGTTGGATGTTGCAAACCTGCCCTTCTGCCAGTGAAGAGGCAGGTCTGATGCCAGAGGGCTTGTCATGGTGGGAGAAAAGTCTGCCACTGTTATTCCACCATCATCAGTGCTCAGTTGGTGGCATGGTTTGAAAGGGAGTATGTCATGAACTCTGAGAAGGCCTTGGGGTCTTCAGAAAGAATAGCATTCCAACCATATAGTTATTTTCTCTCCCATAAAAACCAATGGGATAAACATTTTTAAAAAAGTAAAACTCTTTGAAAAAGGGGAGGACAGAAGGAATAAAGCTGTTCCCCAGCTTCCATCCAGGCTGCCACAAGCCTAGCAGAACTGAGGGAGTGGTGTTGCCTCCGTCACTGACATCCCCCCCCCCATTCACACCAAGGACCTTCATAAAATTGTTCTGCCTGTGGGACTCAGAGCAGTTCTACACCATACATTTAAAGCACATCTGATGCACATTTAAATCACATGTTGTTGTTGTTTAGTCATTTAGTCGTGTCCGACTCTTCATGACCCCATGGACCAGAGCACTAAACAACAACATAACTTCCCTCAAAGAGTAAGGGGAACTGCAGTTTGTTAAGGTCGCAGGGAACGATGGCTCTATAAGGCAAACTACAGCTCCAAATAATCTTTTGAGGAAGTTATGTGTTTTAAATGTGCACTGGATGTGCTTTAAATGTACTGTGTGGATCAAAGTTGTCAGCAAGCATGCATAGGACCCAGCTAGTCCTAGTTCAGGATATTTAGATTTTATAAAGCACAAGAGCCCAGTCTATCAATTTGGGGGGAAACGAGCAAAACAAATGATTTGTGCACAGAAGTGGGACAGGGCAGTCAATATTCGTTGCCCTTAGTTTTACTTTGACACAAAGATTTTTTGCTCTATTTCCTATAAATAAATCTGACTTGATAAGAAATTACAGTGATCCCAAGGAAACCTCTCATTATATAGGGCTCCAGTCTGCAACTAGCTTTGTCAGAAGGTGACTTATTGACAGTACCATGTAAAAGCCTCAACTGACTCCCCACATTTATAAAACCCTGCAACTACAACCACTGTTCTTTCCAAAACACACACACCTCTGCTGGCTTTGAGTTTGTAACTGGGGGCCTAAAATGCCTCCTAAGGGAGCTAGATTTGACTCAAGAGCTGCCAGTTGCTGACACCTACTTTAGAGGGATGATGGAAATAATTCCTATGATTAATGATTATATTTAGCACTACAGTTCTGAATCTTCATGTAAATTAAAAATATAAAGTTATAAATGAGTTATCTGCCCAATACTGAAATCAATTTTCCACCTCTCACTTGGAATAGTATTTGCCAGAGGCTGCAATTCTAACCCCCCTTACCTAAGTGTAAGACCCATGATTGAATTCAACAGGACTTACTTCTGAGTAGACAGGACTGCAGTTAGGTAGTAAGCACTAGGATTGTGCAGATTAGTTCTGCATTTACTCATCTAGAAAGTGAAATATTTAAGTGCAGACTGACAGAGAGTGTAGGGGAAACATGAAACTTACTAAAAAGCAAATTGCACTTTCTTCAAATGTTCAGTTTAAATAGCCACATACAAAAACTCACTTTCCAACTTACACATCAACATGCATCTTGGTTGAGAGTGGGTCAGATACACATTTGTGCATTCTTTAAATAGAACATGAGATTAGCAGAGGCCCAAGGCCACCAACATAATTAACAAGCTGTTAAGTGTTATTAGTATCTAGCCTGCTGACTTTTCTAGTTATTAGAGACAGGACAGCAACAAAAAGTCTCAGCCTCCAGAGCATAAACTGTTGCTATGTTAGTTGAAGTACACTAATCCATCCATTTTTAAGGTCACCTGCTGTATGTAACCAAGAGAAATGCATAACAAAAAAACAAAAAAACACACAAGAGCGTGAGCCAAGATGGACCTGCCATGAAGCAAGGAGAGATTGGCATAAACTGGCACAACCTGAGTGCTGTTAGGGGCAGCAGAGTGAGAGGCGAATGGATCTGTTGCACAGAGCACTATTATAAGAAGCTGCCTTATACAGAGTAGGGCCACTGATCTGTCTAGTTTAGTATTGTCTACACTGACTGGCAGCAGCTCTTCAGGGTTTCAGACAGGAATTTCTCCCAGCCCTACCTGGAGATGCCAGGGCTTGAACCTGGGACCTTCTGCATGGGTCTATGTGCGATTGACAGGTCAATCCCCAGAAGTTCACTGTTGCTCACGGGACCCCTCCCGATTGTCGGTAGTGAAAAGCAATGCAGTGAAAGTGCCGCCCCCCGTTGCTGTGTTCCTCCGTTGCGTCAAATGAGTGTACTGTAATTGTATTTTGTTGTTATGAAACTCAAATAGACGTTAAAATAGACAACTAAAATAGACGTTACCGCTGTGACTACCCCTTAAAAAAAGCTTTCTCTTCCACATTCCTTTAAAAAAAAAAAAAAAGCCCAGCAACTTTGGCTTGGCCCCCCCTAAAGAAAGGTCAACAACCTTGGCTTCCCACCCTCCTTTCATGGGTAGATCACTTCCATAATTTTTTTACTGGGAGTAGCTCGCAGTCTCTTGTGAGTTGGACGTGCCTGACCTACCACATCTTTCTATAGCTCCTGCTCATTTCAATTAGGTGCAAGAAAATTTCCAGGTGGATTGTGATACTTAGCAGAAAGTTGAGTGACATTTGAATTTCCCATCTGCATCATCATGCTGTGTTGGGCTAACCCAGAATGGACATCACCAATTCATCCTGGATGGCAGTTTACGTACTGTTTGAGATCAACTGAATGTTTTCTGGACACAAACCTGAATTTATTCCTTCATTTAAAGTGGTCAGGCCAGCTCTTTGCCATGTTTGTAACATGGCAGGGTCATTAGAATCTTGCCCAAAATCAGTGTCTGCAGAAGATTTATAGCTGTAGGCAAGTCACTGCCTTGCTTCATCTTCAAGTCAGTTCAAGGCACCAAAAGCCTTAAAAAAGAGGCTTGCTAGACAGAGACAGACAGATGGGTAGATATGAAAACTTTAGCATAAATATATGGTAATACAACCCCAAGGTTCTGTTTCTACCACTACAGAGGTCTATTACTATTGTCATGCAAGAAAACATTATTAGTCATCCATAATTGGGGAAATGTATTAAACACCAGAAACACCTAACCATTACTGGCAACGGTCTAATTTTTTTTTCAATCAAAAGAGTTCCCTCTCATATCAAGTACTCTGCTATTATAAAGCAAAGCTATCATTTCAATTAGAAACAGGAAAGGTGGCGGGACAAAATTACCTAACCACTTTTTCCTAAATAAAACAAATCCCAGGTGTCTAAATAAAGATGGGGGCGTAATGCCTCCTCCAAAGAATCCAACTCATAGAAAAGAATGGACGCACAAACTACCCAACACCCAGAGTGAATTCATAAATTCATTAAAAACACTTAATGGATGCCAACTGCAAATTAATATTAGGAAGGTTTGGCAGTTTGAAAGTTTTTAGCTTTGTTTACTAAATGCAAATAAAATAAACATGCTAAATTAAACCACTCTCTAGGGCAACAGAAAACTTCCTCATATAAATTACCCTAACTTGCAAAGGAAAACTTTCCAGAAAGTTTTTCCAATTCAAAAGTTTCCAAAAGTTCCACATCGCTGGTGCATGATGAAAGTTAGTTATAAAGACTACCTAACATTTTAGCAGGTGGCCACCTGGAAACACCAGAATTGCTACAACGCTTTGTAAAATTTACCCCAGCATTTCCTTTGCCATACCCCAATTCCTTCACTAATATGTACTCAAAAGTGATTTTTCAAGAAGTACACAAATGAAGCTTACTTGCTAACCTGGTTCCCCAAACATTTCAACTATAAAACCACCTTTTCCAACACCCCAGTATTTTCCCTCTTTCCTCCCTCTCAAAGATCAGCCTGGCTTCTATCATTAACCTGCCTTCCAATGTACCAGTGTCATCTTTGTCAAATAGCACCCATCTCTTCCTCTTCACATACATACACACACTAATAGTAGTCAGCCCCACATACATCCTCATCATTATAATTTAGTTCAGTTATGAATCACTTCCTATGAAGCATCTCAAAGCAATTTCACAACACAAACAACTGCATTTATAAAAACAACTGAATATTTAAAAACAATTTCAAGCCAAAATATGCTTCTATATACAGTGGTACCTCGGGTTAAGTACTTAATTCGTTCCGGGGGTCCGTTCTCAACCTGAAACTGTTCTTAACCTGTAGCACGACTTAAGCTAATGGGGCCTCCTGCTGCTGCTGCGCCGCCAGAGCACAATTTCTGTTCTCATCCTGAAGCAAAGTTCTTAACCTGAGGTACTATTTCTGGGTTAGCAGAGTCTGTAACCTGAAGCGTATGTAACCTGAAGCGTATGTAACCCGAGGTACCACTGTAATAGCATGTATCTATACACATTTCCCCAAATTAAACAAGAATAAAATTAACTTATCTCTGCTGAAGAAGAGCTCTGTTTACCTTTAAAGTTCAGGGGCTTTCCACAGAAATTGGTTAGTCCCATAAAGGTAGTATCTTAATGGCCCTATGGATTTTGTAGTAATGGACCAAGCTATAAATAAAGGAGCCTCAAGCTTGGGCTATTTGCACATTCACAACAACCCTCACAAGTTAAACCTAGAAATCATTCCCAGTAGCATTATCCCACATGTCAAGGTATCATTTCTACAGAAGAAATCCAAAAGAAAGGGAAATACCCAGTCCAAACCTCTGTTTTTTCTTTATCTCCTTTGAGTCAAGCTGCTTTCACAGTGGAGTAATAACTGCTGGCCTGCCTTTCAGGGCTGTTGTTATGGGGTGGTGCAGGAAATCTGAACCTGAATTTGTACAGCATTAGGTCCCTGATTGCCTGACCCCTTTCCTCCCTTTTTACTGCGGTATGTTTGGTCTTTGAGCGCAGTACTTACTTAAGTTTAAATGGCCATAGATCTGTGGTATGCTTTGAATGAAGCAGGTCCTAGTTTCAATCCGAGCATCTCCTGAGAAAGATGCCTGCCTGAAGCTTGGAGAGCTGCTGTCAGTCAGTGTTGACAATTCTAAGTTAGATGAACCAGTGGTCTGACTTGCAGTGAGTTAGTTTACTGTCTTCATTTTGCATTTCTCCATAGGAATGAATGTCAGCTACTCGCTCATATGAAGAAAGACAAAGACATGCTCTTGAGAGACCCCGTTGCGCTAGGAAACTAAACTATCACCTTTGCTCTTGATGAGTCCAGCCATGGGGTCAAACCAACCCCATCTGCCTCATCACATCTTAGCCTCAGCTGCTTGGTCACACTAGAGCGTGACCAGACCCCGGGGAGCTGCTCTGACATCTGTTACATGCAAGTGAATGTTCAAATTCTGGTGTACTTCGGCATTCACAAGCAAACGCTTCCCAAGTCCCCCAAACTCAAGGGACAGGCTGGTGAACATTGGTGGGTCAGCTCACCACGGGGCAGAGAGCATCAGAATATACCGAGGTCCAAAAAAAACCCAAAACCACAGAAGGAAACATACATTTCATACATTCCTGAGGCACAGTCGACATTCACACGTAACACCAACATTCGCCAAATTTTGAACATAAATAAATAAGACTAGCCAGAAACAATTGAATGGATTATCCCTTTCTTTTAAACACTTCATAGATAGATGGGGGGGGGGAATTGCACAAATGACACCCCCCCTTCTTTTAAAATACTTCAGCTTCATTCCTATGTAACAGATTAAAACCACCGATGACACCGGGTTGTCTCCAGACACGTCGTGCTCGGGAAGAAACCCACGGGAACTCATGGGCCTGAGCCCATTCATTCCAAAAGGTCTACTCCGAGTAGGGCTGCTAACCCATTTCTTTTCTTTCTTTTGAATATTATATACTCCAGCATCTGGCATCACCCGCCGTCATGTCTCACACGCGCCAGTTGCATCATTTCGTCGTCCGTCCGTCCCCCCATCCTAAAACCACACACGCACAACACGCCAGAGAGATGCCCCGAAATTGCGTATTATTCTCTCTCTCTCCCCCACCTCGCCTCGCCATCGCCAACCCGCTGCCCCAAATATCCCAGTGGAAGAGCAGCAACGGCCGCCGTCTTCCCTCGGCTCCGTTATTTGGTGGTGGGGGTGAGAGAGAGGCGCGCATCCATAACAGCAGCAGCGCCCCCGAAAGACAGAGGCAGCCCGCCGTCTCTCGCCCCAGCGACCTCACCTCAGGCGGGGGCGCTGCTCCCCAGCGGCAGCATGAATGGCGGGGAGCCACAGAGAGAGGGGGGTCCCCTCGAGGTCCCGAAGCGCTTTTCCCTCGCCGACGCGCGGCCGATCACGAAGACAGCATCGCCTCTTGTGGCATCCTCCTTCCCCTCGCGCGCGGCAACGGCGGCGGCGGCAGCAACAGCGCCGCCTCCTCCCTCGCCGTGTGGGCGCCTCAGGCGGGATTCCCTCCCCGCCTCCCCTCAGCCGCCGCCATCTTGGCTCTCTGGCGGGGGACGGACGGAAGAGGAGGAGGAGGAGGAGGAGGAGGGAGGCCGAGGGGCGCGCGCGGGGAAGGGAGCGAAGCCGGGGTCCCTCGACGGCCGGGTGGCCAGCTCTCAGGACTCCCTCGAGGGTGGTTGTTTTTAGCGGGATTTCCAGTGTGGGATGAGGGGGTGGGTGTGTTGTTTTAGTTTATTTATGTTCCTTTTATTTCACAAGGTTTATACAGTATAGTATACCTCTTGGCTGTGTAGAAAACCAGCGCCCATGTGGGGTCTCTTGTCCATCACCCCTGACTTCTGAGGGGGGTCCCAAGTGGGGTCTCTTGTCCGTCCAGCACCCCAGACTTCTGAAGGGGGTGCCAAGTGGAGTCTCTCATCCGTCCAGCACCCCTGACCTCTGAGGGGGGTCCCAAGTGGGGTCTCTTGTCCGTCCAGCACCCTGACTTATGAGGGGGGTCCCAAGTGGGTTGGGGTCTCTTGGCCCAGGGCTTTGCTGCTGAGGGAAGGATGGGCCAACTCTACAGTTCTGTGATTCTTGGGGTTGGGATGGACATACCAATTTTATTGTTTTGTAAAATGTTTCTGCTGCTTGACTCACCCATATTACTGCCAGCTAGGGATGGGCGAATCTGTCCTCCTAGGTTTTCTTCAGTTCCTCATTTTTCAGAACTTAAATTCGGTTTCCCGCATATCTGTTTGCGATTTAAGGGGGGGGGGGAGTCATAAAAAGTCATGAGTTTCGTGTGAATTTTTTGTAATACGTGTTTGCAGTTTTGCCTTTTTCTAGAGCAGCTTCCCCTAATGCAATGCATTTTTGTATTTTATTGTTGATAACAAACTTTTTTGTGCACACTTTTGTCACATTGTGTGCATTTTGTACATATTACTGAAGAACTGCGTTGCAAATTTGCTCTGAATTTTGCATATTTTGAGAGATAGCTGTGTTTTCAGTTGGCATATTGCTTTTGAGAGTGCAGATTAGGTAGGTTTGCCTTTAAATGTGAACTGAATTAACTATCTCTCCCACTGCTACCACCAGCTCATAAACATAGTGTAGTGTACAGCATACCTGACTTGAGGCAAGCTAATTCTGTTTTAGTAGGGAGTGGGGAGAGATGCAATTGAACCTTGCCTTAAAACTCTACGTGATTAGGTTTAACATACTACTACTTTCCCCATCCAAAATTTCATTTTTAACCCTTGCAGTTTTCATTTGTTTCTTTCAAGTGTGGCATCTGTTTATCCTGTCTGGGAATAGCAGAAACAGGTACTGAAACTGATAGGCAACAAAATAGTTCTCATTCCAAAAGACAAATCACCCTATCATTTCGTTCAGCTTACTTATGATGCAGTAATGTCTCTACATCTTAAATGTTATACAACAAAATGGTGCTTTTGGCATGGTATGTTCTTATTAAAAGTTAGGCAGCGAAGCCAGAAGCTTTTGATTTGTTCATTAGGAAATTTAGCATTGATCCCTTTGTGCTTAGAGGAATGATGTCTGATAGGGATTGATTAAACTTAAGAAGCAGCATATTTAAATGCAACAATGATGGTGAGACAGCGGTAGAACATTGTGTTTGCCTTTCTTTCCTTTGCTTTCAAAGCAGGTCTTGGAAAGGAATTTCTTACTCCAGGGACCCATGCTGTCTGTAAATTATAAAAGAGGAAACTGAATATCATGGATGGCGGTGGTGATGAATTCTCTGTAGAAGGCACTTACTAAAGCGACAAAAATTGCAACGAAGAAAAAAATAATCCTGGTCTCCCACCAAAATATTTTCATACAACAGACCAAAGAAACCAGTGGGAAAGTTGTTCTGATTTCAGAGGACAATGGATAAAGTTCAGAGCAAAGCTGTATGTTATAAACACATATTTTGATGCTGCATGATTCTTTTATAATCTCTAAATAGCAGCAGCAGGAGAGCTCAATAAGAGTCAGGACAAGTGAGGGGAGAAGGAGATTTATTAAGCTCTGAGCTGTATGTCACACCTGCCTTCCCAAAACTGCTATTTGTATTATGAGAAGCTATTGTTCACATGTCTTATCTTAGATCAGCGGTAGGGAACATCCAGCCTGTAGGTCAGTCTTGGTCTGCCAGGGGGTCCAATTTGACATTCTAGGTAATTTTCCCCAAACCATGCCCACACACTCCCAGCTGACCACCTTCTTTAAACAGTTGGGCAGACAGGAGGGTAAAGGAGCTTGTAAAATGTACAGAGAATCATAAAGCAAAAGTGCTCTTTGAAGTAGCCTCCCTACCCCAACATTGCTTGAGCACTGCTTCAAAAAGCACTTCTGCAAAGCACTTAACACAGTCCCTGTTCTCCCATCTGAGACTGTAGAATGGAAGCAGGAGGACTGTCCTCAAGCACTTTGCAAATTTGCTCTTTGAAGCAGCTTCCCGCTCTTCCTTCAAACATCGCTTGAGAAATATTTAAAGGGGAGAGATGGCTTAAAATAGATTTTGCAAAGCACTTTAAGCACTCTCCCCACTGCCTTTAACATAGTGATGTTATAAGTAGGAGGGGCTGCTTGAAATAACTTTTGCAAAGGGTTTTCATATGCCGACACTCCCTGCTCCTGGGAGCTCATGTGGAAGTGTGGGGTTTGCCTTTGAAGAAGCTGTTGCAGATTCCCAAGTGCTCAACAGCCAGCTGGCTGTTGGGCACTTGGAAACCCTATTTTATAAATTAAAAATAAAAAGTGGTTCAGTTCATTAATGAATTAGTTTCCCTATTTCACAGATAAGCATTCATTTAAAAAACCCAGATAAACTGAACCATGCAAACAGCTGTTCTTTTGCTAAGCCATTTGCACAGCAGATGCAGGTGCCACTGGGATTTTGGCATTCCAGGCAGTTGCCTAGTTTGCTTCTATAGTTAGACCAGCTCTGTGCATTGCTAAGTGTGTTCTCACTGTGCTGCTAATCGCTTTTAGTTGTGGGCTTATGTAAACATGGAAATGTGCTCAAATGTGGAATAAGTGCTCAAAGTGTTTTTATTTAATATTTGGGGTAGTGAGAAACCCTCTCTCTCACTTTAAAGGATTGGGAAGTCCAATCTCTGCATAAATGAGCACCTTATTTGAAGATGTCCAAACTCCTCAGCAATCCTTACTTTTTGCAAATTAAAGATGCAAAAAGTGAAAATGCCAAAAATGAGTAAATGAAATGGACAGATTAATCCATGTCTACTATCAGCCTTGTGGGCTAGCAAGTGAATAGCACAGACTAGCAAGTCCAGCATATCTTTGTATTTGGGAGTGGAGGTGCAATTCAACCAAGCCCTTAAACTAGAACTCTCAATCGCTTTTCTCTAAGCAGTTACAACAAATCTTGTGTGCAGATGTAGAACTGTGACCCTAGTTTATGCATATAGCATCAGGGGAATTGGAATGAGGTGTCATCAATATACAGAAGATGCCCAGATGCAGGTGCTGAACTGAGGTCTGGTGGTGATAATAGGTTGCATGTAGGCCAGTAAATTGAAACTGAATCCAGACAACACTGACGTACTGTGACTTGATGGGTTCTTGGTCCAGGATTTGAAAGATCACTTTGGGGTGCTCCTGAGGCCACATTTGTCACATTAAGCCCAGGTGGATTCAGTGGCTGGGAATATCTTCCCAGCTGTAGCTGCTTCATCAAATATAGTCTTTCCTGGACAGAGAGAGCTGGCCACAGTATTTAATATATATGTATTTCCTGCTCTGTGACTATCTAGGAAAGGGTTGGCTATAAACACTTGAAATAAATATTCAAATACTCTTGCAATGTGGTTTTTACCATCACAAGTGAATCAGTGTCTGCCTTACTGTTACCATTAACCGGTTTTATGTGATGCTTGTGTTTGGTCTCAATTACTAAAAACATATTTTCCCTTGAATTATTTTAATATTCTCCAGGAATGGAGCACGCATTAGGATAATTCAGAACTTGAAATTCAGCTACAAATGCAGCACCAATGAGGCCACCCACATCACCAGCTGCTCTTGATTAATCCACTTTTCTTTCTACAAAGCCTCTAATGAATACTCTGTAGGACCAAGGCCCTTATTTATCTGGGGAAACCATCTGATTTCTTTTCACATCCATTAGTTGGGCGGAGGTATGGGGGAGAAACAAAAGAAATTAAAATCTTAGGCTACACACAAAATGAAACACGCAAGACCTATAGACAGAGTTGTCAGGACTCAACCAAGAGTTCTGAAGCAGTAGAAGCTGATGTGGGTTAACTGTTTGCAGCTGTTCCCAGAGGGAGGGAAAGAGGTTTATGTTTGGGTACCCCCCCCAAGTTCAATCAGGACACCCCACTGTAAAGACAAATAGTACTTGATCCAAGTGACATCTCAGAACTAGCTCTGTATATTGGAGAAAACACCAGGTACTCTGACTAATCATTTGGGAAGGTTTTCAAAGCTTTGTCTCTCGTGGCACGCTCAACCCCAGATCCACATGCTTTCCCTATAATTATTCTAATGATCACAAATGAACACTTCAGCATTTGTGATGTATTCTAGAATCAAAGTAATGGGCATCAGATAAAACCACAGATAGCATTCACGATACAGATTTCCTGTGACTACAAGTGTAGCAAAGGAGAGAATTTTGGTAGGCTCAGTTTCTCTTTCATTTCTGCATAAAATTAAGGGCTATTGATAAATTATGTAATGGGAAAGGAGTTTTGTGGCATTCACTGGCCCCTTGCTTGATTTTGAACTTAAGCCCATCACAAGCTGAAGACCTAGTATTTGCCAATAAATTGTACCTGCTTTTCCAAACCTAAGGAAATATCACCTCTCAGTCCTTGCCTGTTGTGCAGCTGCTAAAAAAAGGATAGACCTTTTTTCTGCACAAGGGTGTGCAGGTGTTTAAAATGTCAATATGTCTGGAATAATACCCACTCTTTCCATATACAAACAGCCCCAGGAATTTATGAGAACTCAGCATGGAAAAGATGGTATTTGGTTGATTGCAGAGGAAATTTCTAAATAGCTATGGACCATAGCAAGGGTCCAAATTTGCCTGGAGCGCTACACTAAAGTGTACCTAGCTAACAGTTAATCCAAACCTGGAAAGAAGCAAAGTAGCTCTGCAAGTTGTCAGGCTCTTCAAAATCACAGTTTGCCTTGCATCTTTGACTAAATAATAGTTTAGGAAACACTCCTGGGCACAAGTAATGTGTTCCATGCGGCTGCTGGCCCCAGTCTGAGAAAACAATAGGAAACAGCTGCTAAAACACAAAACCGGGGCCCTGGGGAGTAGCAACTTTTCAGAAATGTGTGGCATACAGAGGAAAGAATGTGAAAAGGGGAATAAATAATCAAGTCTACCTCTCTTAAGGAAAATCCCATTGAATCTGGGGAGTGGGGGACACTCCACCTGATTTGTTCACTTGCACCCCACCATATGGACACATGTTCCAGGTTGCAATCTGCCCCTCAAACTGTTCTACCCCCCCCCCCGCCATGAGAATCTAGTAAAACCTGTAAAATTAATGTTGTTCTTGCATCGTGACAAGAACAAAATTGCCAACTTTTGCGTTTTACTCATTTGGCAGGAACTGCCCTGGCTGGACTAGTCAGACTAAGATCCATTTCATCCAGCATTCTGGACTAGACTCTTAGCATATGATTCTAATACCTTCAGCATTGTAGGGTTGCAGGGCCAACCCTAAGTTAAACAGAGTGAGGTAACTGCCTTAGGTAGCAGCTGTTCAGGAACAGCAGTATCAGCCTCCAGAATTTCCTATTGACTCCCCCTCTGCTGCCACATGGTCCCTTTGGGGACTGCTGCTTCAGGTATGGTACAGGATGTTATCCGATCACACGTGTTGAGGTAAGACTCAATTGCCAGTGCAGTCAGCTTCTGAACTTGGAATTGTGAAGGGGCAACATCTTGTCCTGCAGCTCAGGCAGCAAAATGTATGGGGCCAGCTGGGTGGGCTGCAGCAGTATGGTGTAGTAGCGGATAGTGTGTTGGATTAGGAACTGGGAGATCAGGGTTCAGATACTCAGCTGTGAAACTTGTTGAGTGACCTTGTGCCATTGAGGAGTATATAAATTTTGTTAACTAAATAGATTAAATAGAATAAAGACATGCATTTCTTCAAAATGTCCAGAGAAGCAGAGGCAGTAGAACGGAGATGGTTTATTATAAGTAGCATCTCACAGAAAATGTTCAGATTCTCTCCGTGTTGCGTAGATTTGTGTTGGGTCTCCATGGTGATGTCCTGTGTTACTGCAACACAGAAAAACATCTTTGCAAAGGGCCAATAAACATACAGGAAGAAGTTAGCAAGCGTGACGTTAAAAAAAGAGGATCTTACTTCATGGTGACTGTTCTTCATATCTTGCTTTCCAGCCTGTTGGGTGTTAACACCTCCTGTACATGCAAATGTACTTATTTTTAAGCTTTCAATGTCAAGCAAGTTTTCAGTATTAAGGTTTCCCTGTTTCTGATCATTGGATATTAGAAATGTGTTCTTGAAATTGATTATTTTAATAGCACCCTTTCAGAGAACTAAATGCTTTGCTATTCTTATTTTGATTCACAACAGCCCTGTGGAATAACTGCAAAGTCGTAAACTGTTTCTTAAGTGAAAACTAGTCTGACGAATTGCCAACTCTTTATTTACTGCAATTGGATTACATGTGTTTTTAATTACCCTATTAATGGGATTCCCATGAGTAAGTGTCCTGCTTCAGGCCCAGCAAATGCAGATAGAGGATCTTAAGTAAGAAAGAGATCTTAATTCAGGAAAGCACAGGCTTGGCAGCAGACAGAGTTCGGGAGTCATGATTCAGGGATTCAGTAAACGAGCCAGATATTCAGAACTGGACAAAAGCAACAAAGATGTCCCAACAGCTTCCACACATACCAAGCTTTTAAAGATAATGCACAGCACACTCGCTTCTTATGCAGAAATGTCTGGACTGCAAATGTGCTCTCCAGGGGGAGTGTCTGCTCCTATCTGCAGAGATGGCGCCTGTTTTATATAAGAAGACTGGCTCCTGATCACTCTTTGCCATCTCCTGAATTGTTCACCTTCCACACCCAGCCATTGGTCCCACCTGGTGTGCACACACACATGCCCCGGACACCAACAAAAGATGCAACACCACTGTCCTGAGGATCAGCAAGTGGGGGGGGGCACATTTGAAGGGGAGACCCAGCCTATAGGTTTCCCACCTGTGTTTTAAATAGCTCCATATTATAATCACTGAAGAGGCATAAACCTCTCTCAAACTGTTCTTCATTCTGTCATCCTACTCATAATTGTGCCATCTCAGTCAGCTTAGATCTCATGGCAGCGTTCCATATTTTATTAATCCACTTTTGTTCCATTGGAATTGCTGGCGTATGCTATTTGAGTGTTGCTAAAAAAAATTTTTTTGCTTTAGTTAACATATTTCCCACCAAATTATGGCATTCCAGATGTATATCATTTTTAAGATACTCTAAAAGGAATTGTAATGGCCTCAGTGGCAGTAAATTATAGCCTAGCATATTTTGTATAATGTTAATAATGCCCCACAAACTACTGATTTTTGCACAAATCCATCGTACATATATAAAGTATAAAGGCTGCTTTCCTTGCACCAGATTTCCAGCATGCACTACCAGTATGAGGATTCATATTTGCAAGGCAAAGCGGAGACAACTACTAGTAGAATATCTAAATTAAAATATATTTATTTATTTAAGTATTCATAACCCACACTTTCATAAATTTATATCAAGACGGTATACAACATACAATGTTATAATAAAATCAGCAAATGCATCCATAAAACATCGTGAAAAATATCAACAAAGCATGTATCTTCCAAAGGATGTTTAAAAGAATAGAGTGGAGACTCCTGCCAAATCTCTGCTGAAGGACAACTGAACCACAAGGGCACGGGGGCCCTCAAGAAGCACCCCATCAGAGGATATTTGTGCAAGGTGATAGCACCAAATTTTTGGACAATACATTTCCCTGTGCTTCTGTAATATTAATTGTCACAGATAATGCAGATTGTATGTGTAAATCCAGTAACGGGCTTCCCACCCCTTCCTGGAGAGGTGAGAATTTCCTTGCATCTAAGAAAGTGTTGGGCAAATGCTCTGCCACTGAGCTTTGGTCCTTCCCTTAAGACACAGGAAAATAGGAAGCGGACTTGCACTGAGTCAGACCAAATAACAGCTTCAGAGAAGTGTGTGGGAAGGATTGTGACAGCGGTAGAAATAATTGAACTTCTACTCTCCAGCAGTTCCAGTGTTGATCAGGCTTCTCCAGGGCAACTATTTACACAACAACAACAACGTGCTTGGTAAATTTGCATTCACATAATTAATATTACATTTTATGCAAGTTTTGTGGCCCTGTTCAATGATACAACCCTTTTGGGCTCTGATTCCAAATGTGATTGATAAAACGGCTGGTTGTTTCATACCACAAAATCCCTAAATAGTTTCTGAGTTATCTTAAGGATTTGATTAATGATGTTGATCTTGAAGTGGTTGTAAACCTACTTTACGGCTGCCAACATGTTTACAGCAGCAAATTGGAAGAAAGCACTTGTTCTGTTGATGTCTGAATGGCATCCGGGAAGACAGAACAGGGCAATTTTATCCAAATTAACCTGCTGTGGAAATTAATAGACAAACAAGTTTACTGGAGTATGGAATTTGTTTGCAGTGTTTTGGAAGAGTGAATTCCAAGATGACTTGGACAATACTTTTTCTTTTTTCTTTGTGTATGACAAGCATCTACCACCTGCACTTTTCAGAAGCATCCAAAGGCATTGTTGCTCCTGCAGGCTTTCCCAGATGGATAGGTAAAGGTAAAGGGACCCCTGACCATTAGGTCCAGTCGTGGACGACCCTGGGGTTACGGCGCTCATCTTGCTTTATTGGCCGAGGGAGCCGGCGTACAGCTTCCGGGTCATGTGGCCAGCATGACTAAGCCGCTTCTCGCGAACCAGAGCAGCGCACGGAAACGTCGTTTACCTTCCCGCCAGAGCAGTACCTATTTATCTACTTGCACTTGACGTGCTTTCGAACTGCTAGGTTGGCAGGAGCAGGGACCGAGCAACAGGAGCTCACCCCACTGCGGGGATTCGAACGGCCGACCTTCTGATCGGCAAGTCCTAGGCTCTGTGGTTTAACCCACAGCGCCACCCGTGGGTCTTTACCATAAGTGTCCATTCTTTGAGTTTTAGTCTTGTTATAAATTTACTTTTTTTGTGTTCTAACTTTTTAAAATTATCTTTCGTGCGAATCACATTGAGATAGTGGTTTAGAAGACAATTAATAAAGCAACAGTATTATTATTATTATTATTATTATTAATAATAATAATAATAATCCACAACAGGTTAGTCATTGTCCATAAAAGGTTATGTCATAGTAAATGTCTAGGGCTTTAAGGTAGCACAAGACTCTTGGTCATATACCTCAAGTACAGGTTACTGTGTGTAATGTATGTAATTTGATTTTAAGTACAATTTCCATCAGTGTTGAGGATGATGTTAACAATAGCAAACAATGCCTTCAGAGAGGTAATCTCCCCTCCCTGCCCTGGGAACTTGGCAGGGATAGCAAGAATCAAACTCTCTCCATCCCATAATCCTAAATCTAGTCAGGTTTCCCAAGAATTGCTATTTACATAACAAAAACATGCATGTTAATTGGGATTCACACACTTCTGCCAGCCAAGAACTAACCATATACTTGGTTTAGCCAAGTACAGTACGCAGAAAGCTGTTAAACTGGTTCAACACATAAACTATAAAAGCCTAACACCTATATAAGGGAGTATGCCACGGTCTTCTATCTGCACCTAAATCTATTGAGCTTTAAACCACTGATATGGGAGAAACACAGTTCATTTCAAATGGCTTTCAACCAGCCTTTGCCAACCTGGTCCTAGCACCATCTAGATGTTGGACTATAACTCCCATCAGTCCCAGCCATTCAGGGCTGGAGTTGATGAGAGTTGAAGTCCAAAACATCTGGATGGTGCAAGGTTGGAGACGGGTGGTTGAAAGCCATCTGAAATGAACTGCATTTCTCCCATGCAAAGGAATGGTAAACAATAGTTGCTTTGCCAACTGGTCTGGGAAACCAAACTGCAGCAAAGAGAGCATTTTTATCAAGCTTTGCTGAGACAACAAGAACAAGTTGGATTCCTTAGGACTGAACTCTTTCTTTTTCCCTTTCAATCCAGCCCACAAGGGGGAAGTGGAGGTTAACTTAGCAAAGGTGTCCAGAGAAATGTCGTCCGCCCCCAAACCCCTCCAACTTCACAATGAAACATCTGCTGCTAAGAGTCTGCATCATTCTCAATACTTGACCCATCCTAGCCTGTGTATATCTCATCAACATGCCTAGGAAGAAAGCCAGTCTTCTGAAACAATCTGTCATCAAAATTGTCACCATGGAACAATGAAACTGCCGCTGGTTCTCCGCAACCTCATTAATTCGTTTTCTGGGGGAACAGATGTGTACCTGTCTTAGGTGAGACTTTGCACCATCCCAAATCCCTTCCAGCCACATGCTGTTACCTTGCTGGCAAATCATCACTATCATCAACAGTCAGACATGTTGCTTGCTGCAGATTGGTTATGGAGCTTCAAAGCATTCCCCCGGAAGAAAAGGAAAAACAAACACAAAATCCGTACAATTTATAATGCCGGCATTACGATATTTTATAGATTATGAATGCTGTAGTATTTCGTGAATCCTATAATATGACTTCTGTTGTAATTGTGCTGTTTAGCTTATTTGTTTTAGTTGTTTTTTAATAGATTGTAATTGTATTGTTTATTATTTGTTTATTATTCTATATGATTTATGCTGTATTTGTGATGTTCTCTTATGTGATTGTTACTTACTGTTTGTAAGCCGCTTTGTGATTCATTTGAGTGAAAAAGAGCATAACAATATAATGAATCAAAATAAAATCAAATGTTGTATTCTGGGCATGTGTAATTCTTCTTTTCTAATAGAGGAAGCAGCCTTATACCAAGTCAAACCGTTGGTCCATCCAGCTGACTGACCAGCAGTGGATCTCCAGATCCTTTTGCATGCCAGGCATGTGATCTACCTTTGGGGCTGGTTGCAAGTAAGAAGACTGGTGGGGCTGTGCCCTATTAATCCCATTTCCCTTTTCCTCAGAAAGCCTAATGAGTTTGTTTATATATATATATATATATATATATATATATATATATATTGCCAATGATCTATTAGCAACATCTGAATGTCACATTGACAGCATACAATGAATTTAAGGCCAAGACATAGTTTTTCCTCGCTGATTTCATAGAATCATAGAATCATAGAGTTGGAAGAGACCACAAGGGCCATCGAGTCCAACCCCCTGCCAAGCAGGAAACACCATCAGAGCACTCCTGACATATGGTTGTCAAGCCTCTGCTTAAAGACCTCCAAAGAAGGAAACTCCACCACACTCCTTGGCAGCAAATTCCACTGTCGAACAGCTCTTACTGTCAGGAAGTTCTTCCTAATGTTTAGGTGGAATCTTCTTTCTTGTAGTTTGGATCCATTGCTCCGTGTCCGCTTCTCTGGAGCAGCAGAAAACAACCTTTCTCCCTCCTCTATTTGTGAAACTTGAGGTTGCTGTAGCGTAGCCTGATCAATTTTGACAAACTTTTGCGACTATTCCTATCTGAGTGCTCAATCATTCAGGACTCAGATAGGAATAGCTGCAAAAGTTTGTTGCTAAGTCCTGTTTTCTGTAGAAAAAGCTGGAGCCTTGTGGCAGATGAAAGGTCAAATATCCATTACCAGAGGTAGCTGTGTTAGTTGCCAAGAAAACATTAGAAGAGTCTTGTGTGGCACAGAGGCAACATCTGCTCCTTACCTTTAAAGCACTGTGATACTACCTTTAGCGGTCATGGCTTCCAACCACCACCCCCACCCAAAAATAACGGGAATTTTTAAAATATAGTTCCCTGTGTCAAGCAGAGCTTTGCCAAGCCCTCTTTTTATTAGAAAACTCTAGCTCATTTCCATAGACAGAGTAAAACAGCTCGTAACTCGGTCTAGTTCTTTGCAGGACGGATCTGCCTCTCCTTCAAGTGGTTGATTCACTGTGTGTGAGATCATTGTGATCTGCTAGAGATAATGATATTGTACCACTAACAATCTGAGCCATTTCATTGTTCATCTGCTAAATGTGGTTTGTTTTGGTGATGTCAGTGAGCTCCCCTTTTGTGTGACTATGTTTAAACAATCATGCCTGTGATCCTGCTTGCAGGGGTGACAATTTGAATAAAATATGGGGGGGGGATGGATAAACCCCGCCTCACCCAGCCCTGCATAATCAAACACACACATACAGGCGCGCTCACACACACACATGCACACACTATTTGAATGACAATGCCCATCAACTTTGGGGGGGCTGGCCCCCTTATATATATATTTTTTGGGGGATGCCAAGGGTCCTTGGCTCCTAGGAGTTGGCTCGTATAGGCCTCTTGACATCTAAGTTTCCCTCCCTGAACTCCTCTTTAACTTCATCTGCTAGCTGTAGGATCTCACCACTGTGAACACATGAGTAATATCCACAACATCATGTTGCAGTGTTAAGGAACGTGCTACTCTGTCAGTTTTGGTTCCACATCGCTGTAATAACACAAAGAAACCCACTTGGAATGGATGTGCTGTCTCCCATCTTCAACCACAAATATGCTGTGGATCACCTGAATGAAACTGGTGATGGACCATTGGTGGTCGAAGGTACTCTTGAATTAATGGCCATCATGATTCTCCACAGTGATTGCAGAGTAAGCAGGGGAGCCCTGAGTGAGGACAAAATTTGGCATGCCCCCTAAAGATTTATTATTTTCACAATAATTCATTAATTATTATTTTGCAACCCCTCGGCTAGGCACCTTGTTCCGGGGAAATTGCTTGCCCCGCCCTAAATCCAATGCTGGGGTGAGTTGGGCCATTTACTTCCTTGCAGCGTAACCTACCTCACAGGGTTGTTGTGGGAGATTAAATGAGGTGGACTCTGTACACCACCTTGAACTCCTTCGAGAAAAGGTGAGATTTGAATGCAATGTAATAATAATAAAAAGAAAACATACCACTTTGCACTTGAGCTTCTAATAAGCACTCTGGCTTGTCGGTATGCTTTTTATTAGAGAGCAGGATCTGCATTCATTTCCGATTGAGCAGAGTGCAGGATACGACCCATCTTGGTGCATGACTCAAGAGGCTGCATCATCCTAACCCAGTGTATTTCAGGAAATACTTCATATGTTTCCGATTTGATTTCATTTCATTTTCACCCAGAGCATTTATTGCAGCCCAGGGTACAGGATCCAGCCCATCTCAGTGCGTCGCAAGGACTATTCAGGTTGGCAGGTCATACTTTCCCATGTGTGAAGAGGCGATCCCTTAAAACTCAGCAGTCCAGTCGCTGTAGTTCTAAAAGCATTTCAAAGATCTCGGAGCTGATGGGAGTTTCGTTTGGAATTGTTTTGAGCACTTGAAAATAACTTGCGTTCACGCGACCTCTGCTTTTGAGAAATAAAATAAAAACAGCCTTAAAGAGAAAAACAAGGAAGGATCGTTGCAGGTTCCACCGAGATTTGAACTCGGATCGCTGGATTCAGAGTCCAGAGTGCTAACCATTACACCATGGAACCGCCCTGACAATATATTGCGGCAGCTCCCACTAAAGCCTTGCAGTTCTTCTGCGCTGACTTCCAGCGCCCCCACGGCGCTCCCAAGCGACGCCTTTTGCTCTTGCAAGCCTGGATCGGATGTTCCCCTCCAGCTTCTGTTTCTCCGGCTTCGAGCAGCAATAGGTTTGGGGAGCGACTGCGTTTACACGTGCGCACTTAGGAGTCTGGCAAAGGCTGGCATGCGAAAGCAGGACGATGGCGCTAGAAGACGCGTACCCGTTGCCACTGCACATGCATTTGGAGTGGGGCGCGCGGGTGTCGAGGCTAAAGTTGAGCCCCGGAACCTATTTGCAGCTTATACTGCGACGGGCGCAAGAGTGCCCGTGAACATATACAGAGTGCATTTGACAACTAACTCTTCTGCACATGCTCCGCGTCTCTCTCACACACCAAGGCGGCAGCTCAGAAGAGGTGGGGGGCAGGCAGGGGACTCTTTTTTAAGTGAACGTGCCAGAGAGATGTGGGTGGAAGGTTCCAATATGGAAATATGGTTATTATTATTATTATTAATAATAATAATAATAATAACTGAATTTATATACCGCCCTAAACATGGAATGTCTCTGCCTCTTGAATGTCTGAGCAACAAGCTGCTGGTTATATTATGTGTGAATTGCACTGGGACTGCACTACTAAGGACGCTTGATACGCATTCAGTCAGGGGAAGGCATGCAGACGTGCAGGCGGAGCTGCATTCCTCAGAAGGTAGGATCCGGGGCCTGCTCTCTGTTCCCGCGCCGCAGTCCAGGAAGAAAGGAGGCATTGAGCGAATGGCACTCTGCACATGCCTCTAGGCATCCTCTTCTTTTAATACTGCATCAGCCTTGGGACGTTAGATGCTGTTGGATTAAAACTCTCATCATGCCTAGCCACCGTGATCAGGGATGATAGGAGTTGTAGCTCAAGAACATCTGGGGGCCCAAGGCTGAGAAGGGCTCCCCTTCCCACATCCCAGGCATGAGTTGAAATCCAAGTCAAAGCACTGCGGCAGGCAGAGGAGGAAAACGACACGGAGAAGCAGAAAAGGGAGGTGGAGGGAGAAACACTGCACATGCTCAGAGGCAAGCTTTTCCCCGATGGGGATCTACACACCACCACCCTTCCCAGAGGCCTCTGCGGTCCAGCCTGGACTACAACTCCCAGCATCCTGTCGCGCTCACTGGAGCTGATGGGAGTTGTAGTGCGAAATTTCTAGGGCGAAGGCTGATCTACGGGCCGCCTCGCTCTGCCCTCCACAACAATAGAGATGAAAACGTCAAGAGGTGCCGCACTCAGGTATCGATTCCGGTTTCCATTCGGTCGCCGTCATATGCGGGGAAAGAATACTGAGACGAAAAGCGTCTAAAGTGGGAGCTGAAGGCTATAGATAACTTCCGGCACAGAAACGAAAGCCCGCATTCTCTCAGGACTTCGTGCGGCGCCGCTCTAGGAATCTGGAAACTCTCTGATGAAAGCCTTTGCCTCAGAAAACAAGTCCGAGTTTAAAACCGGAAGTGTATTTAGAAACCCGCCAGTCTCCGATTTCCTTCCCCCCTTAAACATAATTGCGCTTCGACCATTTTTCAAGTCGCTGTCTCGGTCCCTCCGTTGGTGCCCTTAGTGCCCGGAAGTGTCGTCATACATGTCTACGGAGCGGTACCTCTGAGGAGAATGGCCGCCCTGTCATGCGAACCGGAAGCCGGAAGCCGGTGCCCCCGGAAGCTGTATCTGGTCGGCGAGCGAGCGAGCGAGGAGGAAGGAAGGGCCGGCTAGTGGGCGGAACCGGAGTGCGGCTGATCCTGAGGAAGCAGCAGCAGTAGCAGGAGGAGGCGCAGGGAGGGGCTCTCTGGCTGTCGCTTCCTTGTTAGCTGAGAAGCCGGAGGAGGCGCCGCTGCCGCCGTCATTATGGGGGGCTCCCGCGACGACGAGTACGACTATCTCTTCAAAGGTGGGCCTGCATCCCTTGTCCCCCGCCGCGCCTCGCCCCCCCGCTCCCTGGGGGCGTCAGACCACCCCACCCCATCCCCCCGGTTTCCGATCAGGATTCCTTGGATGGTTTCCGGCCCTACTCGAGAGGAGGCCGATAGAAAATAAAGGAGCACCACTGACTAAGGTCCATTAATTCCCAGGGGCCTCCTCTATGAGTGAAATGCAGTTGGTTGAAGCCGACCCCCTTGCCTTTCCCTCGCCCCAGCCCTTTGGGTGGTATCCAGTGCTAGACCTCCTCAAGGGTAGACCCATTAATGAACGCGCTTAGCATAGGCCCATTAATTGTAGTGGGCTTACTCCGAGTCGAATGTGGTTGGATACAGTCCACAGCCTTGGCTCCCCTTCCCCCAGTCCTTCTCAGTAAAGTATCTCAGGCCTTGTTGGCACATCAGAAAGCCTACCCACCCTTTGCTAGGCGCTGGGCAGGGTTTTTCTTTTTAAATCCTTTAATGATTATCATACTTAATGCTTGTTTCACCAGACTAGTGGACTGGCTTTGTATTGGGACTTTGCGGTGGAGTGTTGTGAAATGTCTGTTGTGTTTTGTTGGCTGAATTGTGTTTGGGCTTTGAAATCTGGGATGTTTGTAAAGTGGGGTGAAGACAGTCTTGACACTTTGGTTAAAAGCTACCAGATTCTTTTTGCTACACACAGGGTAACTGTTAGGATTTCTTCAGTTTGCATTATTATATCCCACTTTTACCCCAAGGAGGTCAGGGCAGCACATGTGATCCTGTTCTCTTTTTTATATGCCCAAGTTTAAAGTGTCAGACATGGCTTAAAAGGACCAGGCTGAAATCTCCACTTGGCCATGAAGCTTGCTGGGTGACCTTGACCCAGTTATGATTTCTCAGTCTAACCTACCACAGAAGGCTGTTGTGAGAATAAAAGGAGAGGATGTGAAGGACCATGTGTGCTACTTTTACCTCCTTGGGTGAGGAAGTGGGATATAAAATAAGAATGTAGATTTAAGAAATCCTAACTGTCACGGTGTAATTAATCTGTGTGATCCAGAATTTGCACTCTTGCTTAAGATTATCCCAAGTGACTTTCAACACCAGCAGTTGCTTAATGAGACTGACATGCTGTGTTGCCCAGTGAGGGCAGCAACAACATAGAGGGGTGGGTGGGGAAGATTGGACATCTTGCAGGACACAGTGTATTATTGACTAAAACAGCCTTCCTCAACCTTGTGTTCTTCAGAGGTTTGGGCTACAAAACATCAGGCTTAGTCAGCACAGTGCGGTTACTGGGCTGGGCTACAAAGAGAACCCTGAACCAGGTTTCCTCCATCCCTTCTTTCATTCGGAGTGCAACTAAAGAGAAAGTTTGGAAAATGGTATCTTCCCAGAAGTGAAATGAAAATAGATGTCCGTATGTGTGCTAAATCACTGGGTTGTTCAACATCCAGTAAAAAACATAGGCAGGTATGTGTTAAACATAAGAAGGACCCTGGTTAGATCAAACCATAAGAATCCCTCTAGTCCCCATCCTCCAGTTTGCTCTAGCTGCTGGGCAGAGGTCTCTGGAAAGCCCCAAGGAATGCTTCAGGTCATACTCAGGGACGTATAATGCTTTGGGACATGGAGGCTCTATTTAGTTGTGACAACAAGAGGCTAAAAGGGGGGGATATCTGCCTCAACACAAAATGATCACAGCAGCTGATTGGAGCAGAAATATAGGGAAGAACACCAGTCTAAACAGGAGATCCAGTCCCATTACCTCTCTTCTGTAATTGAGCAGCAGAACACCTGCTTGGCATGCAGAACCACCCAGGTTCAACCCCTAGCATCTCCAGGTAGGGCTGGGCAAGACTCCCTGCCTGAAACACTGGAGAGCCACTGCCAGTCATTGTAGACAGTACAGAGTTGGTGGACCAGTGATGGGTTCCGACTTATCCGATAAAGACCAGTGCCATAATAGGCTCTTCTTATTGTGTGTGCCTCTGTTGACTTCTTTCCTCCCCCTCTCTTTGCATACCCCAGAACACATCCACCCACCATAAAATAGCGCAGTGCAGTTGGAAAACCTTAAAAAGAAGTGGGAAAGGCATAACTTGGGGCTACTGTATCAGATTCCCCCAGGAAGTGAAAAGGTGACACAAAGCAAAAAGGGGACTGGTGGCAATATCTGTTGGCTACTGTAGAATCTGGCCCTTTTATTGTTGCGAAGCCAAGTAACTTTGAACAAATTGTTTTCTCTGCATTCCTTTTTTATTATATTCCCCGCCCGAACCACCCCCCTATTGTTTTGTAATTATAGTCCTATTCCCTATTCCTTTCTTGAGACTTTTCTCATAGAAACCAATGGCCAGGTCCTTCTGGTGCCTCCCCTGGAGTTCACCTTTGCATGTCTGATCTCCCAAGTTCTGTTAGGAATCTGTCATCCTTCTTGCTGTGTGTGTTCAGCATTTCTGCCCTACTTGGCTGCTGCAGTTGCTTAGGAAAGAGCTATTCAGGAGTGAGGCTGGACTTTTGATCAGCACTTAGCTCTTTGGTGGGGGTGGCTTCCAGTCACTGTGGTGATGAATAATGCTAGTTAGTAACTTTGTGGGCTTTTTACTTAATACAGTACAGGGAGAGCCGCTTCCCTTTCAGAAAGAATGTCTACTGTCTCAAGACAAACTTTCCCTTTGATAACTTGGTTTACTCTATGTGTTTCGCTGCTTTTGTGTGAAATCTTTGTAAAAGTATCACCCTGACCCACTGCTTGGTCTTGGTGTGGTTTTCCTCTGGAATTTTGCTTTCCCTCCCTCCCCCTTTTTACTTTGAGATAAAGGAAGTGACTGAGGAAGGCATGGCAACCAGTGAGCAAGTGATTTAATGTTGAAACCTCAACTTCCAGCTTGCGGGGGCAGGGGTGGCAAACGGAGAGGGTTAACTGGTGAATGTTGCAAGCGTGGGATTTTTAAAAAATGTATTCTAGATTGAGCTTGTTTGTTTTTTAATGCAGTGCATTTTCCTGTAGGGATAAACCAGGCAAAATAACAGCCAACTGTTTCAATGTGGAATGTTTATCTGTCTTTCTGGGGCGGTGGTGCTGGTGGTGTGGGTTGTCTGGTTCTTATCACACAAAAGAATGTAAGCCCTGGCATGCTTTAGCTAGGCTGAGCTTGCAGGGTGATGGTGGTTAATTGCCTAGAATCTGCTGGATGTGAAGAGTTAAGGGACTTATTAACAGGTTTTTCAACAGAGATTAATTAGCAGCAACAGCAAGATCTAGCCTTGTTGCTGTGTGAAACTCCTGATCAGGGCATAAACAAGACGGGCTGTTCCTTGCTGCTTGCAACTGTACCCTCCTTGAGTGGCTCCTTCTAGGCAACAGGGAACTTGCATCCTTCCACTGACCTCACTTCCGGTCTTGCTGTTACTACATAACAGTTACCAGCCTATTAGCATTACTCCTCCTCCTGGATGTGCAGGCATTCTTCCCAGCAGAGTTTTCCCCCCTGATAGTGAGCAGGATGTGTTGGGAAATAACATGCTTGGCTGCACAGATAACAGGGCAGGGAGGGGATGTTGCAGAGGTTATAAATCTGGGTTTTAGAGACAAAGGCTGCATGATAGGGAACACACTTTGAACTGTTTCCTTGTTTTTTGGGCCAGCTTTCCGTACTGTCCGGCCTGTAAATGCTTAGGTGTGCCAGGTTTTCATTGTGAACAGCAGTTTCTCCTGAGACAGCAGCTAAGCATGTCACATGCTTGACCATGTGTACCTTCTCCTGACATCTTCAGACAGCAGGAAAGGCCAGTGAAGCAGCTAATGTGGCAGCCCAGTTTCCTGCCCTCCTTGCTCACTTCTCTACAGACTAGTCCCAACAATAACCCTCTGTAGTCCAGGACCTGTGGCATGTATTGCAAGTATCTGCATTTTTTAGGTTTAAACACTTGCGTGGTAATTGCATAGAAGCATTCAATACTGTATTTTCTAGTGCATTTCACATGCATTATGTTGATATGCAACACCTGCAACAATCTGGTTAATTTCATCCTAACAGCTTCTATAGCCCTCTTCCACATCTGAGTTTCACTCCTATCCTTATGATGTTAGCAGGGCACAGCCTGTGTTGCAAACATAGTTTAACTTTCTTCCAAGGAATTCTGGGAATTGTAGTTCTGTAAGACGGGTGATGAGAAATCTCTTCTGTAGCACCCAGTAAATTGCTCTCACAGTGTAGTGTAGTGGTTAGAGTGCTGGACTGGAGCCCAGGAGAACAGAATTCAAATCCTCACTCAGCCATCAAGCTTACAGGGTGACCCTGGACCAGTCATGGTGCCTTTCAGCCTAACCTGCCACATAGGGTTGTTGTCAGGATAAAACTGTGGAGGAGGAGAACCATGTACAATATTCCACCTTGAACTCCTTTGAGGAAAGGTGGAACAGTAATGTAAGCAAATAAATAAACAAATGGCACTCCCCCCCCCCCCCCCGTTATACTGTTCTACCAATTTGGTTCTGAACCACGGTTCTGGGTTTGATCTTTAAAGCCCTAATTGGCCTAGGACTTGGTTAGCTGCTGGATGGCCTTTGTTCTGTGGCACCTTAAAGACTAACATTTGCTGTCGTGTAAGCTTTTATGGACTAGAGCTCACTTCTTTGATACATGGAAGTGCTATCCTGAGGTAGGTGTGTGTGTGTGTGTATCCACACCTCTGTGACTCAGGCATGTGTATACACACACACACAGAGAGAGAGAGAGAGAGAGAGAGAGAGAGATGGTTGGAGGGAGGGGATTGTAAATAGTGAGGTCAGAGGGGAAAAATGAAAGAAAGTATGGATCTCAGTATGATCTCAGTATCTCTCTGTGTGTGACTTGTGGTCATTAAAGTCCAAGAGTTCTCTTCTGTGTTCCGGAGAGGATGCTCTTTCGCTCTCTAATGGGGCCTTAGGAAAGGCCTTAGTACAGACCCCATTCTGGCAATAGGCACATGAACAAACCGTTTGAGAATAGCTTTGCTGTTGGAGGGTCTCATTTCCCCATCTTGTTTTAATCCCTTTCAGCAAGAACAGAAGCCAAGCCCCAAGAGTTGATAAGTTGCAATAACTACAGATGCGGGTCTACACTGGCAGCTGAGCCTGGCAATCTTCCCCACCATTCATCAGTTCATTTATGGCAGGTGCAAATAACCTTTGACCCTCCAGATGTTGCTGAACTGTAGCTTCCTCCATGACCATTGGCTATGATCTCTAGGGCTTATAGAAGCTTTAGTTCAGCACATCTGGAGGGACAAAGGTTCCCCATTGAGCATTTTAAAATCTGATTGGCTACAGCTCCTCCGTTATGTCCCTGCTTTCATACTGATTCAGGGTTGCTCCAGTTTCCTCCTTTTCCCTTGTGGGTCTTTGTACAGCCCTGGCCTATTCAGAATGGCTGACATCAGCCATCCTGATGTTTTGTGTTAGAACTCCCAGCAGCTCCAGCCAGCATGGCTTTGCCGATCGGAGAGTTGTGTCCTGCAGATGTTTTGGAGTTGGAGAAAGTTTGCGTAGAAGAGGCGAGGTGCTGCACACATTGGGGCTGATGTAGCTGCTTGTATTTGCAGAGCTTTGAGCCACCTGACTGCGCTGAGGTGAGGTAATTCAGTTTGTCTCTTCCCTGCTTGTCCTTGGGTGTTGCTGAGGCCAGCTGATTACCAGTGTACCCTGGACTCTTTGCTTTCCCCAGCTTTATTGTTAACAAATAAAAACCACAAGGACTGGGCAATCTGGTTAGTCTGGCTTTCAGGCCTTCCGCGAGTCCTGTGAGTTGTGCACCTAGAAATGCTGTAAACCTTCTCATATGCTTTTTACACTCTCCTTTGGGGAAGCTGGTTTCCTTTCCTTTTATGAACAGGAGCTTTCACATGTGGCTTGTCTTATCAGTGTCCTTGGATAAGTTCTATCCATACCATTGGTTTAGGTTTTTTATTTTTACTTGTTGGCATCTTTGCATTCCAAAGCCTTCTGTAGAGTCCTCCCTCTCTTTACCAGTGAGATGATGCCCAACCAAATCTCTACCTGCCCTTGCTGTCCCTTGGCTGCTGCAAGGGGCCTCATTTCGCATCCCTGGAAGCAAACAGCACCCTGGAAATTCCTGTCACCTGCTCGAGGAAGTTAAATCATGCATTAAACTTAACAGTGAAACTCAAGTTGGAAGCAAGGGCCATGAGACCAAAGAAAAGACATAAAATGTTTTCTTAAAATACTCAGACAGCTCTTCTCTAACAATTTTTTTTAAAAAATGAATTTCATAATATTAACAAACACAGAAAAGGAGAAAAATGTGTCTCAGACAGCTCTTCTGAATTTGCACCCACTTAACATTACCCAGCTTGGCTATGTTATGGCATAGGTTTGGGTTAAGAGCCACCCAACTTTCACTAACATCCTCCCTCCCTCAGCGTCTACTTTGTCGGAGCAATAAAGGGTTGAAAACTGCCTTCACAAGGTGAATGCCACCCACCAGCTTGTTAAGGGTGGTATAGTGGTTAGGGTGCTTCGTGCTTGACTAGGAGCAGGGAGATTGCGGTTCAAATCTCCACTCAGCCATGAAATGCACTTGTTGACCTTGGCAGGGCAGGGGACACATAAACATTGAACTAGTATCTATGTATGGTGGGTTGGTCAGTATTTTAACCCCCATCTCCATGCACAAACTTTCACGGTCCCAGGCACAGGAAGCAGAAATGGGAGGTTTGCAGGTCCCGCTTGAGTAGACAAGTATAGTTGGCGAGTTGCTGAGATGTGGCTTCAGTGGCCATGAGAAAAACTTTAGGGATTTTTCTGTGCAAAAAAAGGAAGCATCTAAATGCCAGGTTCTCTTTTGGACTTCACAGTTTCTCTTTTGCCTGACTTTGGTTGGATAACAACACCTTGTGATAGGATTTAATTTCCGGTGTGTGTGTCAGAGAGTGCTGGCTCTGATGGGCTTACTCTGAATTAACAGAGAAACTCCTGAAGCTGAATCTTCCCAAAATGGTGCCTTCCAGATATTTTAGACTACAACTTCTATCAGCCCCAGCCAGTTGTAGTTCAAACAAAATATCAGGAGGGCACCAGGTTGGGGAAGGTTTGATGCCTTTTAGTCTGGCATCAAACTCCTGATGGGCATGAATAGTTAACAAGCCTCTTCCTGTTGTTTTTTTTGTAGTTTGGCTCCTGCTTTGCTGAATCAGCTGAAAGGGGAGAGCCGACAAAAAGGGCTGGTTGTTTTTGTCCGCACAGTGAGATTTGTGCAGTAATTAATTAAGATGAAATCCCAGTTGTGATTGTTTTATCGTAATTTCAGAGTGGAGGAAAGGATTGAGAAGCAAATATGCCAGTCTTGGAAGGATGAAGCCATTGATTGCTGCAGGATAAATACCCGGGTCATGTTAGTTTTCTGGATCAAGCTGACCACCCCCCCCCCCTTCTTAAGTGATGCAGATGGAGAGTCTTTGGTTTGACCTATAAAAGAATGAGACTCTGCTTTGGATCCTTTTCTGGCATGCATAGACCAAAATGAGCATTCAGATGGTAACCATGTAAAACATAGGTGTATATTTTCAGATAAAATGGGATGCGAGAGGGAGCCAGAAAAAATTGAAGATTTACATCCTAGCTTGCAATTGTATGGTTCTCAAGGTCGCTGTTTAACAGCTTGTGGTAATATAAAAGCTGGCTGGCATGTACACACAAACACACACACACAGTCCAGAGTCCCCTTTTTCTTTGGCCAGAAAAAGGCAAAGGCCAGAGTGTAGGAAGATGGAAAGCTGCCTTTTTCCAAGTCCATCTAGCTCAGTATTGTCCACACTGACTGTCAGTAGCTTTCCAGAATTTCAGGCAAGGCATCTCTCCCAGCCCTACCTGGAGATGCTGCTGGGGATCGAACCTGTGACCTTCTGCAAGCAGAGCAGGTGTCACTGAACTATGGCCCTTCTCTTCAGCTCTGCAGTCCCAGCTGCAGAGCACCTGGAGCAGAGTAGCCTTTCTGGCAGGGAGAAAAGAAGCGAGCTCTCTGCAGTTGCCGCCTGGGTGGAGCCAGATCTAACAGTTAATTTTATTGAGTAACAAGAACTTTGGTATTACAATGTTAACAGCAGCTAAAACAGCAGCTGAAAGAAAGCTAACATTCTAGCTTTATGCAGTTGGGGATATTGTGACTGTCAATAAGAACTACATATATAGAAACCTGAGAAGGCAGCATGGTGGAGGAGCAAAACCAATAGAGGTGAAAGGGGTCTTCAAAGGCCATCCAGTCTAACCTTCAGCTGATGCAGGAGATGTAGAGATGAGCAATGTTTGATTAATTAGGAACGATACATTTCAGGATCACATTTAGCCTCTGCTTTCTTTGTCCATTTAGTTCAAGCGTCAGTATTTTGATTGTGTGTGCGCGTATGTGTGTATGAGTATGTGGAGCTTAAAAATGTAATTTTCCTCTGGTAACAACCCCCCCCCCTCGCCTGGTTCCCTTAAATGTTTACCTGGGCAGTTTCTCTACACACAGGGCCAGGTGAATCAGCAAATGAGGTTCAGAGTGTCAGAGCAGAGAGTGTGTTGGGTTCCTCTCTGAATCTCCTCCCTTTCTTCCTTTCCCAGTTGTTCTCATTGGAGACTCCGGAGTCGGCAAGAGCAATCTCCTTTCCCGCTTCACCCGCAACGAGTTCAACCTGGAAAGCAAAAGCACCATTGGCGTGGAGTTTGCCACACGGAGCATCCAAGTGGACGGCAAGACAATAAAGGCTCAGATCTGGGACACGGCAGGGCAGGAGCGATACAGGGCGATCACGTCGGCGTAAGTGGACCAGCGCCAGAGACTTCCCGGGGATTGTGGGGGAGTTTATGGGAACAGGACGCAGGAGCACTGCAAGTGTGTGTGTTTCTTCTATGTGATGGTCCTTGCAGACATCGTGTTTGCATAAAAAAAGACTGCTTTTCAGATTGAACAGCATTCAATAATCCCATCGCATTCTTTAAGTTGCTAGTCTTCAATGTTCATAGAATTGTAGCGTTGGAAGGACTCAAATGGCCAGCTAGTCCAATTCCCTGCGATATAGGAATCATGTGACCCACCAGCTGAAAATCAATAGCCTTCTAGCCTGGCAGGCCAGATTGATATCTGCCTCCACCTGGCAGGCAGAGCCATCATCCACCTGTCAAATCACCTGACTTTACGATGACATCAGGTGGCCTTTTCTGTCTGCTGTTTTGCGCAGCACTTTGAGCAGTGCTTATGAGGATCAGCCCCTCTGAAAGGGCTGCCCAAAACCGCCCTATGAGAGGGTCCTTTTAGCCAAGTTCCTCCCTCATCTGCCCTGTACATGGCTTCATGTATGATGGAGGCAGGTGAGCATGGCTTGGCCAAAATGGGGAGAGACTTGGCAGGCCTGATTAGTCCCGAGTAGGCCCATGGGCTGGAGGTTCTCCATCCCTGCTGTAGGATAACTGAGTCCAAAATTGAGTCCAAACTGAGGATAACTGAGTCCAAAACTGGCTCCAAATTCAGGCCAGCTAGGCATGTGTTTTTTCCAGCAGCTGCTGTTGGAAGAGATTTAACCCTTTTTTTATTTTAGGTCAACTGTAGTGATGATGCATATAATCACATTTACTTCTCTCTCTTTAAATGACTGTAACAGGGCGACTTATAAAACCAAGTCACGACAGGATGAAAAACTGGAAAAGCCAAATTATGCATTGGGCAAGAGGCTGTGCCAGCCCCTCCCGCCCTCGTGTCCTCCAGATGTTTTGGGCACCAACTCCCGTCCTAGTCAATTTCACCATAGTCAGTTTATTTATCTGCTGCATTTTCCACAGATATGCTTGTTTTCAGAGCAGTTCACATAAGAAGCAGTGTAAATTCAGCACAAGCAACTTCCCACGTGGGCGAAGGCAGTGCGTACTCTGCCCCTGACTTGGCAATGTATCACCAGCCAAACATTGCGCTTTGGCGATGTACTGAGGTGTTGATAATATATAATAATAATAATTTATTATTTATACCCTGCCCATCTGGCTGGGTTTCCCAGCAATACATCAGTGTTTTAAGGGCAGCTAATCCTCACCAGTTGCGGGACACGAGTGGCACTGTGGGTTAAACCACAGAGCCTAGGACTTGCCAATCAGAAGGTTGGCGGTTCGAATCCCCGCGACGGGGTGAGCTCCCATTGCTCGGTCCCTGCTCCTGCCAACCTAGCAGTTCGAAAGCACATCAAAGTGCAAGTAGATAAATAGGTACCGCTCCGGCGGGAAGGTAAACGGCGTTTCCGTGCGCTGCTCTGGTTCTCCAGAAGCGGCTTAGTCATGCTGGCCACATGACCTGGAAGCTGTACGCCATCTCCCTCGGCCAATAAAGCGAGATGAGCGCCGCGACCCCAGAGTCGGCCACGACTGGACCTAATGGTCAGGGGTCCCTTTACCTTTAATTCTCACCGGTTGGTAAAATTAAAATATCCAACAACTTTACATCATAAAGGAATCCTGGCCAGCCTGACATCTAGTCAAGGATGATGCGAGTTGGTAGCCCAGAGCATCTGGAAGCCCCCAGGTTAGGGGAGGGCTGGGGTGGTCCTGGGGCAGTTGACACACATGCAGCCTGTACGAAGTGGAGCCAATTTTAAAAATGTATGTATTGATTTACATCCCATCTTTCCTCCAAGGAGCTCAAGGTGGCCTGCATAGTTCTCGCCATCTCAATTTTATCCTCACATCAACCCTGTGAGGTCCTGAGAGTGAGTGACTGGTCCAGGTCACCCAGTGAGCTTCCTGGCTGAGTAAGGGTTTGAACCCTGGTTTCCCAGGTCCTAGGACCCAGCCCTCTTAACCATTGCAGCACACTGGCTCTCTGGAGAGTGTCGTGATGCCCCACTGGGCAGCCTGGCGAGGTCTGAGCTTTCCTTCCCCTGCCCCCTTTCTGTGCTTGCTGGCTGCTTGCTGTGGGCTCACGTGGGTTGTGTGCTTCTGCCTGCAGCTATTACCGAGGTGCCGTGGGGGCCTTGCTGGTTTATGACATCGCCAAGCACCTCACCTATGAAAATGTGGAGCGGTGGCTGAAGGAGCTGCGAGACCATGCCGACAGCAACATCGTCATCATGCTGGTGGGCAACAAGAGCGACTTGCGCCACCTGAGGGCTGTTCCGACGGATGAGGCCCGAGCCTTTGCAGGTGAGTGGGGGGGGGGGCAGCGTGTTGCCACTGGAATGCTTCTTTGTTTTGTTTTGTTCAGTTTCTGTTTTTCTTGCAAAACCTCTTAGAGCAGCTGTCAAAAATTTAAAGCTAACAATAAATGGAAAGCAATACTAAAACAACAGCAGCAGAGCCAGTTTGAAACTTTGTAAAACTTCCCAAGTTTTTTGAAATGTGGAAACAGAGCTTGTCACCTGGAGCCCAAGAGGCTCCAGCCTCTGCACCAGACAAGCCTCCTTGGGGAGGGCATTCCGGAGTCGGGTGCCACAACTGAAAAGGCCCTGTCCTGCATCATGGTCACTTCTCCGCTGGAAAAACTCAAACAGGTGACTCGGAGGCATTTCTCTGTAACTGTGTGGTGGGAAGCGGTTATTGAGGCTCCAGAGATTTTGTCGCTTCTTCCCCCTGCCACTTGCTAATTGTTGGGTCATCAGCTCCTAGGCATCAGTGTGGGAAGAGGAAGATGATGCAGTCTTCTTGGTATGTTAGAAGTCTGGATGGTTTTTGCTTTCATTTATTCCCTGCCTTCCCGCCCCCAATCATTGAATCCAGGGTTATCTGGCCAGGCCGAGACCTGCAAGGAGGTGTCCTTATGCACCTTTCAACCATACCCTACAACTTCTTTCCATGTGTATCTTTTACAGGATAATCTCCATCTTGGCAGGATAATGTTTGTCTAAAATTTATTTATTGCATTGTTATCCCACCTTTTCTCCAAGAAGCTCAAGATGGCATACATAGTTTCCCTCCTCCTCTTTAATTAATGCCCACAACAGTCCTGTGAGGTAGGTGAGACTGAGAGCGAGAGACTGGTCCAAGGTCACCCAGTCAGATTTCAGCTCTGGTCTCCCAGGTCATGTCAGTACTTGCTGCTCCTAAGTAAAACTATCTAAAGTACCTTTCCTCCTCAGCCTGTCCTGTGCAAAGCTTAGTCATGAAGATTAGCTTTTCATACGAGAGGCCCAAGGTCCAGTCCATAGACAAAGAGTAGCAGAACTGGCAGGGAGCTTAGAGCTTAATAATAATAATAATAATAATAATAATAATAATTTGTTTATATCCCACCCACCTTGCTGGGTTTCTCCAGCCACTCTGGGTGGCTTACAACATAAAAAACACAACAAAACTTCAAATATTAAAAAACAAGATATCCCATACAAGCCACAAACAAACCAATAAATCAATAAAAACCAATGACAACAATGTTGTTGTTGTTTAGTCGTTTAGTCGTGTCCGACTCTTCGTGACCCCATGGACCAGAGCACGCCAGGCACTCCTGTCTTCATGACAACAACAATAATAACAACAACAATAATAAACAGTTTACAGTTATACCCAAATCAAAGTAACCACCAACCCCAACTAAACATTTAACCAACACCAACCTGACAAAAATGAAACAGAGGAACCAAAATTGGAACCGTTTAAAACATTTTAGCCTGTTGCCCCAGCCCAAGTGTTGTTCCAGCAATGTCCCAGTGGCCTCCCAGGAGCTTTTTAGCTGTTCAGGGTGAGTCTGGGCCCTGCCTCCTAGGCCAAGGCCTTGCAGCAGGGAGCAGGTCTTCCTTCCAGCACTCACGGCAGCAGCAATCAGGTACCCATTGCCCTTGGGTATTGGGCAGCTTCCTATCTTCTTCCATGTTCCTGCTTCTAGACATCCTCTAGTTAGAAGTAGGAGGCAATAGCTTTGGAGTTTCGCATGACCGCTTTGCACCCCATCCCATTCACTGTCTCCTGGGTATTGAATTTGGGCTGCCCGGCAACGGCGACTGGTACCAGCCGAGTTTGTGAGTTCCTGACATCCGTTTTCCTTTGATAGATGCCATCTGTGGATTTTTATGTTTGTGTGTAACTTGTAGGAATGTGAGGCAGGGGCAGCGAGCAGTCTAAGCAGCATCTTGGCCTCTTCTTTAATTAAATGAGAGTGCCCCCTCTTCTCTCCCTTCACCCTCACTCCCCCAAGGCTAGGAGCAATTAACAATGTGGAGGCATCTGCTGTGACCTCAAGACATTGACTTGTTCATAAATCTGGTTGGTTTTCAGGATAAGTTCATTCCACTCTGGAATGTGGCTTTGAGTCCTCTGCACTAATCATGATTAAAAATGCTTGATTTATGCCACATGCAGTTCAGAGAGGAATTTTTCAGGAGGAGGGGAAAGTTGGCAGCTGGTTTTCATGGCCTCAGTCCCAGAGAAACGGCTCCCCTCCTCTTCCCTGGGAGTCATTAATATCTTGCAGCTAAGGTGCAATATTCTGATGGTTGCAAGACTTCCTCCTCTTTGGTCATGTGACACTTTGCTAATCACTTAAGGAAGCGAGAGAGGATCTACAGAGAAACCTTGAACCTGACCCAGCTTTATTCTTTCTTCTCTCTGAGGAGTGTTTGAAAGCCCTCTCATCCGTGTGATGGAAGAAGCTTTTTAAAATGCGCACAAAATTCATGGGGTTCAATACTATTTTATACAGCACCCTCATCTAAGTTCTTCGTAAACCCACTTAACAGAGGCTGACCCTGACCTCTAGCATATGACCAAAAAAATCTGCGCGGTGTGAGAGGGAAACAGCCAAACATTTCATGCTGCTGTTCCCAAGGAGTGAAGATTATTGTGACAGGATGGGAAAAGACTTAACAGTCGAAACAGGTTCACAACCTGTCTTCCATTGTGCAGTACTTCGTATCCTATTTGTGTATTTCGTTTTGTATGTTTCTTGAGTACAATAGAGTTGTCATGGTCTGGTTGGGGACAGAGGAATGATGGGAGGAACCAGCTCGGGAACCACCAAAGGAAGAAGGTTCAGAGCCTGGGGAGTGGTGCTGGGAGAGGCAGAAGACGCAAAAGAGGAGGTGTCAGAAGCTGAAGGGGTAACAGGGCTTAGTGAGTTGAGGAGCAAGTTGAAGCAGGCGAGTGGGAGGAGGGAGGTCAAGAGACAGCGATGAGTCAGGCTGGCGAAGAAGCCAGGGGGTCTCCCCCTCCTGCTGCAACAGGCTCCCCACCCCCCTGACTCCAGAACTAGGAGAGGTATGAAACAGGAGGAGCAAAAACAAGCTGCAGTCTGATTGCTTGCAAAAAGCTCTGAAGAGGCGGAGACATAAGCTGCTGTGAGAAGGCAAGGATTTTTAGTCTCAGCAACTGATGTTATGACCCACAGAGCTTGAGCTGCTATGCTCATTACGACTGACACTCATCCAAGTCTGGGAAGATCATGTTTCGCTAATAAAGAGTTAACTCTAGCTTTGAACTGTGTGATTTACTGACCAGCTTGCACTGTGACAAAAGTATATTTTCGTAATTTTGAGGTTTTTGAGTTTGTGCAAAGTTTTGAAAATGGCAGCTGGCAGGGCAGAAAATATGGGGGAAAGCAAGGCTTGGGGAGCATTTTGGAGGAAGAGGGAGACATAGCATTAGGGAGGCCACACGCAGCACAGCCAAAGGTACAAAAATGGGTGTGAAGTTGGGCTCCTGGTCTCTGTGGCTGCGATGGGAAGCTGGGAAGCTCTTGAGCTTGAAGCAAGGCAGCCTTTTATTCAGGCCTCTTCACTGGACTGGCAGATCTAATCAACTTCCTGCTCTTTCTCACAGAAAAGAACGGCCTTTCCTTTATTGAGACTTCGGCTTTGGACTCGACGAATGTGGAAGCTGCTTTCCAGACCATTCTGACAGGTGACTTGGCACTGATGTGGGAGAGCTGTGTGGGCCACGAGAACGAAATACGGAGCCTCTAAGCCGAGAATTGGGAAACCTCAGTCTTCAATGCTGGAGGCAAACACAGAGGCAGTACCTTATGGCTGTTTTTTACTCTAGGGAACAGAGGAGGGTTTTGGGATCTTCTTCCATGCCTTCATTGATCCTCCCTGTTGGGGCACATAATGTGTGTAGATTAGAGAGGCTCTTCCAGGAAAGTCCTACCCCAGGACTGGCTATGCACCTACTTGGTGGGAAAGATTGCTGTGGCAACATTTTTGATAATATTGCGTTTTGAAGCAAATTCGTCACTTCTTCCCTAGATCTTACTTTGTTCTGAGCACTCTCCTTCCCTAGCCTGTCACCAGAATTTGCTTTCTCTCCCTTGATAGGCTTGTCTGGAAGTGTGCAGGCTGGTCTTGCCCAGTCTGCTGCCCTTCAGTTGTTTAGGGTTCCAGCTCCCATCACCCCTGTGGCCCAATGTTCAAGTAGAATGGGACTTGTCATCTCAACAACACCCGGAGGGCACCAGCTTGGGGAAGGCTGGGGTGGGCAACACCTGCCAAAATAGTGGAAGCCATAAACTGATTTCCAGCAGTTAAGGAGTGGTATTTCTTTGGAACAGAGGAAGCTGCCTTATACGGAGTCTGACCCTTGGTCCAACTAGCTCATTGTTGTTGTCTGCACTGACTGGCAGAGGCTCTCTCGGGTTTCAGGCAGGAAGTGTTCCCAGCCCTATCTTGAGGTGCCAGGGATTGAACCTGGGACCTTCTGCATGCAAAGCAGGTGCTCTGCTACTGTTAATAGCGCCTTGCCTGTCCCATTTCTAGAAAAGCAGGATAAATTATGCAGTGTAAGCAAGCACCTGAAAAGAAACATAATTGAAACTAGTTGCAGAATCCAGTTCTTTTACAGCATCTGGGGTTTCCTCGGCACAGAATTTTCTTTAAGCACACAGCGTACATAGCAGCCCTGCTGATAGATAGCTATTGATGTCTTCTTGGGCCCCTGGCAGTCAACTCTTAACTGGCCACCTTTCATGTCCTGTCGCTGAGAGGCGGAGGAACAAGGGAGGCCGCTCATCTCTGTTAGCAGCAACATTTTCCTGGCCCCCTCAGTGCTGAGATCACTGCAGAGCCACTTGTTCTCTGTGTGGAACAGCACATCCTCTGCTTCCTGCCATCACACTAGATTTGCTCAGTTCCTCTGTGTGGAAATGAGCAGACATAGGAAATTGCCTGATATTAGACCCTTGGCCTTTCGAGGCAAGTGGTGTCTACATTCATTGCAGTGAAAGTTAACACCAACAGTTATCCCAAGATCTCTTTTCAATTAGATCAGCCAGGGATTGAAGCTGGAACCGTCCTTCTGCATATAAACTTCTGCCACTGAGCTATGATTCTTCTTCATTTTGCCTAAGGTGCTGAATAGCAGTACCAAGTGGGTCTTTCCTGCACAAACTATTCAGCTACCAGCAAAGTATCCTCAGTGGAATGTTAGAAAGCAACCCTTCAGCGGATCAAATCCAATTATGTGTCCACTTTAATTGAAAGAAGCTGTGGACAAGTACAGCTTATTAGAAATGAGCATTTATGATGGTGTTTACAAGTTTATGGTGGGAAGAGACTCCATTGACCAAATTATTTAAATGTGTTTCTAAAACTAGCTATCCAGCCATGTCCTCACACCTGGGTATATCCAGAAAACTAGAAAACCTAATAATGAGGCAGGGAAGTGTTTCTCTGTCCCCTTATCCTACCCATCGCAGCTTGTGCCAGATTGTACAGAACTGCAGTGTACAATTTGTTACCCATGTCCTCAATGCAGGCATGTTTTGGCAGATAGGCCAGGGAATAAATGACTCTGTTTAATGCATTTTATCCCTAGAGGCTCCCAGAGCAGTTTACAGATCAACAACAATAATAAAAGCAGTCTTCGGCCTCAGGCTTACGATCTTAAAAGACACAACACAAAACTAAAGAGATGGGGAGGGAAGAGGAAAACGAGCAGACTTGGGCACCTGTCCTTTAGGTTACACAGTTCTCATAATGACCAGCTGGGATGGAAGCAGTTGAAGGAGAGGAGGAATTGAAGGCAGCTGGTTCCTCTGTGAGTCCAGTGGAGTGGCCCTGATTTCTCATCTATTTCTCTGTTCTGCAGCCTCATAGAACAGCTGCTGATAGGTGGCAAGTGGGTACCAGTGGCCGCTCGTCTCTCAGCAGAGCCAATGGAGCTGTCCTGCTTCTCTCCTCTCTTCTGTCAGTTGGTGGCATGGCAACTGCCAAGTGACCATTCAGGGAAAGGAGAATCTCTGTTGAGCTGGGGGGTCTCAGCACAGCCAACAGAGTGGTCCTGTTTCTTCTCACTCCCTGTGGGGCAGCTGAATAGGAGTGCCGTCCCAGGTGAAAGTTGCCCAATGGAGGCAGTCTTATCTGTAGCGGATGTGCAAGGTGCGAAACCTGCGGCCCCTCATCTGTTGCTGGACTCCAGTGCCCATCATCCCTGACCATTGGCCAAGTTGACTGCAGGGGCTGATGGAAGTCTGGTCATATCTGGAGGGCTGCAAGCTTCCCGTCACTGTTATAGTACTTGGTTTTACCAACCCTTTTTGTTTTTTGCTTTTAAAGCACACCTTAAAATACATTCCAAATTCTACAAAAGAGAGAACTCATTACTGCACGAGTTGAATTGGTGACAACTTGCATACGTTATGCCCAAACTCTGCAAGTGGGAATGTTGGGTTGTTTGCCCACAAAAATGGTCAGAGTTGGGAGGGGAGGTGGCAGCATGTTGCAATCCTGGACTGCGCAGCTGGCCATGGGAGGGATGGAGGGGCTTCAGCCATAGGGCAGGTGCGGCCTCTGTTAGTGACACCTTTCCTCCTCTTTCAGAAATCTATCGCATCGTGTCTCAGAAGCAAATGTCTGACAGACGCGAGAACGACATGTCACCAAGCAACAATGTGGTCCCTATCCACGTCCCCCCGACCACGGAAAATAAACCAAAGATGCAGTGTTGTCAAAATATATAGCAGGTTCCATTCCTCGAAAGCTGTGTATATTTCCCCAGGTCTAAGATGGAAATAGATTCTGAGTTCACATTGTCCTCTTTTTAGTTCTCTCTCCCTCTCCCTCTCCATGAAACCTTATTTTTATTCTCTTTGGATTTCTCCATGTCTTAACTCTTCCCCTTTATTTCAGTATTACAAATCATCAGTTTGTTTGCATGTGGCTGCAGCATTATCAGAATGCTAGTCCCGGCAGGGCAGTTTTTTAAAAATCATGACTGATCTCTTTTCCAAACAGGTTGGCTCATTCAGCAAAGAACTAGATTGCTGCAGCTTAAGTCTTTGCAATTCTGATACTCCTGAGAGTCTGACCGAGCTTTTTAAACCTCCTTTCAGCCTCAATATTGCATCTCATGGAATGAGCATCTTGTGTGGCTTATCCTGTGGCTCCCAGCAGTATCCCACAGTTAACAGTACGCAGGAACTACACTAATTTATTGCTAAGAGGAGGGATCCTGGCCCAGGAGGCTGAGTTTTCTCAGTTCCTTATAGTTATATCAGTGGGTGCACCCATTCTGAGTAACCTGGTGCCCTCCAGATGTTTTGGGGCTACATCTCCCATGAGCCAAAACTAATGCTGGTGGGGGTTGTAGTTCAAAACATCTGGATCACTGGGTTAGGGGAGGCTGATATAATGAATTAGAGTTGTACATATGTAACGTTCCCAGAAGAAACTGCTCACTCCTCCTACCTACTGTGTCCCCAAATAGCCAATAGTGCCACTTCATGAAGATGGCTAGTTGGAGCGAGGTAAATGTTTATCCAGTCACAGCATTCAAATAATCATCTTTGTGCAAGCAAGTGGGGGATTAGTCGCTTTGCATGTTGGGGAGGGCGGGTGTAGTTTTATACTGAGCCAATGCAATACCATTTGTCTTAAGGCCCAAAGAGTTGGTGATGGGTGCCTTCTGTAGACGAAGCAGTAAGTCGTAGCTCAGTAGCCCATCTGCTTTTCTTGCAAGTGCCTATGGCTTGCAGTACTTCGTTTCACGCACCCCTGGGCCTCTGGTCCATTTTGCACCTTGGTCTGTGCAGCAATGCTTGCTGTCATTCTCAAAAAGGCATGGAGAATATTTGCAGGATGGGGACATCATTGCACCTCCTTCTCTTTAAGTCCCGAATCCTTGTGAAAGCGGGGTTTGATTCCAGCAACCACTCAAGGCACAGGATGGGATTAAATCTAGTCTGCAGTTTTGGCAGGAGGCCTTTGTTGCACCTCCCTGTTACTGGCCAGGGAGTGTGCTTGGCCTCCTCCTTGCCCCTCCTCATTTATTTAGAGAAGCTCAGGCCATGTGCATGAGCCCTGCTGAAGAGATCCAGAAATACATGCCAGAAGATTTGTTCTTGGATTCTTGCAGTTTTTAAGCCAACTGTGGATGTCCCTACTTCTAAAGCACTGTTCTACTTCTAAAGCACTGTTCAAACAAGCAGTGTTTTTTATATCTACACATACAAGCACGCATGGAATACTGTGGTATTTGGAAAGCCCATTTGCAACCAGAAGAGGAAATGGCTCCAGGAAATAGTTAGGGGGGAGTGGACAGGAAGGAAAGAGGCTTATCACAAAGATGCCATAGACCCATACGGTGTCCTTTCCTTCCTGCTGCTCCCACCCCCCACGAGGGCACGTACAGAGTGCTGAATCTCTCAGCCAGCCTGTCGGTCTTGCGGTGCTCATGACGTGTGAGGAGCACAGAAGGCATTGCTGTAGTCCCTTCATGTTTGTGTCTTTCTCTCCTGTAGTTGTTGATCTTTTGTTCCACAACCCCCCCCCCCCGATCTTTTTGTAAATTTGCTTTGTACTGTATGCACATTCTGTACCTCAAATATTTTTTTATGATTGATTTGAAATTATTCATTATTGGAATTCTAATAAAAGAATCACAGGGGGACTGTTCAGCTGTTGTTGAGTGGACTTCTTTGGAATTATGCTGCTGTGGGCATTCTGGTATTTAAAACATGGCACTTAAGTATATGAAGATGATTAACCTGAACGTTATATGCAGTGCAGATATTACTCGGAATAAATTATGCAAATCAATTTGAGATGCAAATCTGAATCTGCTTGCTATTTCAGTTTGCATGCTACATTGTGTGTGTGTGTGTGTGTGTGTTTGTGTGTGTGTATGTGAAAACGTGCGTTTTGGATCGTCATGCATTATGGGTCTGTATGTAAGATCATAAAGGAGGGTGAAAGTCAGGCACTGAACAAAAAGCTCCTTCCTGCTGAACACATTGAAACTCTCTTGCAGGTGCTGAAAGTTTTGGACAGTCACTAGCGAGAAAAGGTTGGCTGGGAAAATTCAGCTGGCCAGGCTTGTTGGGGGCCCAGTACATAAGCCAAGATCTCTCCAGAGATTGAGTGCGCATGCACAGAATTATTATTTTTTTGTTTTGAGAGTGGAGTGAGAGCTTAGCCACTGGTCTTAGTTCTCCTTTCCTCCCAGGAGTGAGATCTGTTGGGTTGATGACTGCCAACAAAATACTTCTCACTTGCTTTTAAACATAACTGTTCCCAGTTCCAGAACACTAGGAAGAAGGGAGGCTCAAATCAGTTTTTCCCAGTTGACACAGTAAAGTTTTCATGAATGACAATAGCTTTAGCGACATGCAAGGTTCACAAAGGCTTGTGTTACAGAAGTACACAGCTGAGAGAAATTCAGTTTATTTTTTACAAGGTAGACCACCGTCATACGGTCAACAAATATTACAAATCTGTCTTGCTTTAAAAAAAGTATTGCCATTACAGTGTCTAGATTCCTTTTTAAAGGAATGCTATATATATATATATATGTATGTATATATATATAATATTTATATGTATATATATGTGTGTGTTTGTGTGGAACTGGATTTGCTTTTCACTGTCTCTGCTGGATTTAGTAGTATTCTTCTCCCTCCCCCCAACCCTCAATTTGGTTTAACCATCCAGTTTTTTAAAAGCCAAAGGACGTTCAGTTACCTGGTGCAGTCTCAACTGTGCAGCAACATGACGCATGTGGCTACTAGAGGGAGGGTTGTGTGATGTGAAAGCTTGCACCCTCTGATGGGGTAGCACTAGGTTGCCTTCCCCCTACCCCCATCTAGGCCTCCATTGTGCCCAAACCGACGGTGGGGACAATTTCACCAGTCAACGCGCGTTGCTACAGTCCAGGATGCGGCGCAGAGGCAGGATGACGTCCCTCCAAATTTGTGCAGCGGTTTCCTTGCTCCATCTGGGTTAAATGTGTTAACTTCCGAGTGAGACGTGAACACAGTTGGGAAGTTACCCTGTCTGAAAAAAAGCCTTCATGGAGGACTTTTCCCATCGCTTAACTCTGAGGTAAGACTTTTTTCTTTCTATACACGTAATTAAAATATATATCCCCACTGGCCCTACAAAATAAGGTTCTGCTACTTTTCGTCATCTGCATAAGGCTTTCCTGGAAAGTAAAATGGCTCATTTGCCTCCCCCACCCCACCCCCACCCCTCATGCACACATGCAGCATTCGGGTAAATAACTACATTTCCTCCTGTGCTGTGGATAAATCTTGTCATCCTTCCTGGGGAACATCCTTGCTCTGTTTCCTAAGATTTCCCCCTCCCTGCTTTAGGAGAGAGAGGCCTTCAGTACTTCATCGCCGCTTCTAGAGAGGAATTAAGCTGCCATTAGTTATCTCAACTTACCGGTGGATGTTGAACAGTTCAGTGGGCTGAATGGGTGGGGAACCTCAGGCAAAATGTAGGCCTTTGCCTCTGGCCTTTAGCTCTCTCCCCAGGGCCAAGAACCCTCGGTGCCCCTGCTTTCCACCTAGATTATTATTGCTTGGCTAGAATGTGTCCTTGAACTTGAGTAATGCCTCTTGCTTGTCCAGATGAATGATAGAGCAGAATCTAGCCAATGGCAGAAAGGCAAAATTGACATTCATTGCTCCACACACTTTTGCCTCTGACCACGTCCACTACTGCCCTGTGGCCCTCAGAAAACTTTTCAGCCTCAATAAGGTCCCCCACTCTTGGGCTAAAGTCTGGCACTGACTCAGCTGAGCTTTACACCCAGCAACAAGTCTACCCAAGTCTGCTACTTGGCTGAAACCGATCCTGTACCTCAGTGGTGTAGTGGTCTGAGGTCACAGAGGGTCAAAGACCCCTTACTATTTCTGCAGCTGGGTCACTATCTCCAGCATCCTTCAAGCCACCCAATCAGCATGAAAGGGGACGTTTTTGGCCACTGTGTTCCAAAGATAAGCATTCAGGAACACTGAAAACAAAAGGTGCTTCAGTTTTAAGAGAACAGTGTGTTTGCTTAGGCTGCAGCTCTTCCTGGCAACTTTACCCCTTATGTGCAAATAACATCTACTCCATCCTCCTCAAATGCGTTTGGGCCTGGCTTAGAAAGAGTCTGCCATTCCATTTTGCCTGTAGAAGATCAGTATATCTGTGTTCACCAAATAGGAAGTGCATTCTTCAGGAGTAATGTCCTGCATTTTTGCACTAGGAACATAGGGATTTGCCTTCTACTGAAGTCCCTAGTTTTGCAGGGTTTCAGCTAGGTATCTCCTAGTTGCTGGTGACTGAGATGCTGCTGCTTGAGCCTAGGATTTTGCAACCAAAGCAGATGCTCTGTCACTGAGTGGCAGCCATTCGCCCACTGTTTCCATGCCAGCACATACCTACAGCCACAGACAGGTAACGTACAGTTTGCTCACACATTGAAGGCAACAAAGAAGGATCTCGTCAGCATTGCCCATCTCCAAAAATCAGAAGCCGTTGTCTTTGTAAGGGGAGCCTGTTAGCTATTACAGGTAGACTTCCTAAATGAGTGTGGTGGGTCACTAATTGTCTTTCTACAACAAGAACAATTTGTTATCAAATTACCACTCCAGCTGGGGACTCACTTGAAGCTTTTAGAATGAGGGTGTGAGAAGCTGCCACATTCTGAGTCAGATGATTGGCCACCTAGTTCAGTATTGCCTACACATACTGGCAGCAAGTCTCCAGAGTTTCAGACACAGGACATTTCTAGCCATACCAGGAGATGCCAGGGACTGAACCCGGGACTTTCTGCATGCGGAGCAAGTACTCTTACCACTGAGCTGCACCTTTCCACACTCTGTTCCTAGGAACAGTGTTATAAATAAATAGCATCCATGGCCATGTTTTATAACGTAACTGCGCACCTGGCATGCACATGTTCCTTATTAAGCAGTGTTGGCTTACTGCAGCAGCACCCTTTTTTGGAAAATACAGCTAGCTGGAGTGTGGGAATTCTCGCAGACCCAGAACTGAGGCTCAAGTCTTCCTGGGCCTGTTGTTTTACCCAATCCTCTTCCAGAAACTCCTTTCGTTTTCCCCACATATCTGGTTCCTACTGAACTGTAATAGTGTTAAATTGGTATTTCCTGGTGAAGCAGCCTCCTCTTTGCAACCCCTCTTTGCACGTGCCCTAAAAAATAAATACATTGAGTCCCAACATTAGGTCATGCTCAAAACAATCTAGAGGAAAAAATGGAAGTTTTGAACAGTGACAATTTCTATGTCTGCTGCCATGGCATCTTATGCGCAAAAGGAAACACCACAGCAAAATAATGTGTATAGAATGAGCAGTTGCCTGGTGGGGAGAGAGAGCCTGTTTTAAAAAAAAACAAAAAAAACAACTTCTGGAAATTGTATGTTGTTGATTTGACTGTATTAGGTGGCATGGCTTGAAGGGAGGGTGTAGATCAGTGTTAAGTGCAGCTGCTTGGCATGCAGAAGGTCCCAGGTTCAATCCCCAGCAGCATCCCCAGGTAGGCTGGGAAAACCTTTCCCTGAAACCCTGGAGAGAGCTACAGTCAGTCACCATCAACTGTACCAAGCTAGAAGTTCTGATACAATATAGAACAGTTTCCTATGTTTGCACCTATCCTGCCAACTCTGGCATTTCTTTATGTGGCTGAGTATCTCTCTGCCTCTGAACCTTGTTTATAGTGGAATGCTGAAGTGTGAGAACAGAAGCACCTCAAGGGAGTACCCTCCTTTCTTCTCTACTTGAAATTCACCTCTTTGGCACTCTCCACCGCTGCGAGCAAGAAGCATTTTTGAAGCAGTAGTGGAAGTGCATGAGCACCAGATAGTTTGGTTCTTCCACGCACAGTTGCAGAATAGCAGGTGCACACTCAAAACGGACGCTGAGGAACTAAGCAGAGCTCAAGCACGTTGTCTAGCCGGGATGGCAGAAGCAACCTGAGCCCTGCTCTCTCCTGTGGTTCTTTGATGCAGAGCTTATTTCTCATCTACTGTCTTGTCTTTAAAAGTTCTTTTTTTAAACCCCTCTTTTTCAGCAAGTGATAGTATAGTACATACAGCTCTAAGAACTTACAGCAAGGGATTTTTGTCTTTTTTCTCCCCTCCACCCCCACCCCTCCAATTTAAAAAGCAAAGTCAAGTCAGTAAGATACACTTTGTCCAACACTAGACTTGCATGAGAAACTGCTTCTGGGAGGCTTCCCCCCCTCCCAGTTTGTACATAGAGCAGTTTTTCTTGGTTTCTCCTGTGATCGGTATAAAACTGTCTTGTAAAAAGAAAGTGTTTCATGCAGAAGGAAGTTGGCCCAATACAAGTCTCGTCTTCGGGTTCCTTGCGTTGTGTTGTTGTTGTTTATCCAGCATGTAGCAGAACAAAACAGAAAGGATTGTCTTCTCTTCGGTCATTGCATCGGGGAACGAAGTTTATGAGTGCAGCAGCAGCAGCACGCACAGCCCTCTAAGACTGCTTGTCCCAAAGTGTCCCATGCGTTGGGCTGTGTCTTACAGGGAGAACGTCATAGTGACAGGGGATGTGACTGTTCCTGGGCATGTCGTATGGGTTTTGGATGTAGACAGCATTGCGGAGACGAGCCTCTTGGATGACGCTGATGGTGGGCTCTGCAAAGACAAACAGGGACTCGTTGAATAGCCTCCTCTAAGCAGCCACCTCTTCAGAAACAAAAGACTCGGGGAAAGACGCTAAAGACAAAAGATATCTCTGCAAACACCGTCAGTATGATCCATTCCAAAGCTTGTTAGCTCTAAACAAGGAATTCTGGGATGGGTTGTTCTAGTGAGCCGAGGCTCCTTAGCTCTGCTACCAAGCTTTGAGGTAGCTAATATGGTGCCTTGCAGATGTTACTGGACTCCAGCTCCCATCAGCCTCAGACAGTATGGCCAACAGACAAGAGGGATGGGAGTTGTAGTCCAACATCATCTGCAGGGCAACACATTGGCTACCTCTACCATGAGCTGCTTCAGACAATTATTCCCTTAGCAAAAGCTTATTTCTATGTTAACTTTGGCAGTAAAAGCATATCAGTGTCTGTTCTCTTCCCCCATAGGTAGCTGGCATAGTGTTGCCTAAATGTTTAACTCATACCATCACCTGTGCATTGGCCATGCTTCCTAGGACTGCTGAGATGAAATCCCGCACCATCCAGAGAGTACCACACAGATTCCCGTTGAACTTTTCCACCACAGAAATGGAAAAATATCACTATTAATGGTTTAAACATGTTTTATATATATCCTGCGGCATTTTTGTGTTTAAGAGATTTAGTGTCTACTGTGTATGACTTTATTTGGCGATAGTTACACACTATTGGGCTTATATGTTGCTTTCTGAGGGCTCCCATACGTACTATATCACATTAAAAAAAACTTATTTCTGACCTTTATTTTTTGTAGATCTCGTTTGCTACCTCTTTTTGACTGTTTACATTTCATTCTGTACCTCTGATTTACCCAGTATTGGAAGTGGATGTTTGTTATTTCCCTGATATTGTTGTTAATTGTTCTATTTGTTTTACTTTTCCAATAAACTAGTAGGTGAAAGTGAGCATAAATATGCTTATATTTATTTAACTGCTCCAAAATCAGAGAATACCCAAGAGTGGCGTACGAAAACAGAATATAAAAGCATAACACAGATCATTAGTATTAAAGCTTTGGGTTGTAGCCAACTGAATTAGACTCTATCCACTGAAATTAATGGACCTAGTGAGCAAGGTCCATTACTTTCAATGGGTCTCCTCAGATTAGGGCAAATACTAAAATGAAATCCCGAAGCAAGAAAATTAATAATAATGTTAAAGAGAAAATAATATATCAAATGCATTATCTTAGAAGAAATTTATCACAGAAATGTTAGAAATGCACACAAAAATGCTGGCAAAATTGAAGACTTTAAAAAGATTTCAAACTGATGTAGAAGTGTGGCAAAATGTACTTAAGTCTAGAAAAATAAAACCAAAATTGACAGAAACACCCATCTCTAAGAAAAACGTACACAGCAAATGTGGTAATGGATGTAAAGCTCAGGTTACTCAGAACCACTATTTTTTCTCCCCCTCCCCTGTCTCTAAAATCCCAAATATACCATGTTTCTAGTGCCTCCAGCCGAAGGTGTGTGAGCAAAAGCCACACACAAGTTGCTAGGTGATTACCAATATTTATGGAAGCTGGAGGAATTCTCTTTTAGTGAATTCTGGTGTACACTGACACAACCGATGTTTGAATCGGAACTTAACTATCCTTTGGCTTCCAAACTTTCCCAGAGTTGGCAATATAGTTCTCAGCTCAAAGTACGAAATGCATTAGGCTCAAATCTGTTTAAAAATGCATACACCGAGATGAAACTTGCTCTTCCTATACCAATTCCCAGGTGAATCATTATTATTATTTAATTGCAGATTAATTTGGAATCAGGACGAAACAGACTTAGGAATGAACGCAGGTGAAAAGTGACACAGGCCAGAACCAGGCTGCTCCATCCACCCCTGCCAGCAATCTAGGAAGAGAGGCTTCAGCAGACCCACACTGGTCCCTCCCATGGCTAAGGAAGCCCCAGATAAATTATGCAGAAGAGTGAAAACATTAGGAAAACACAGACATGTGCATAAAAACAAATAAAGCATACTGACGCAAAATTTGGCACTTTGGTCGTGCAATTTGGATTGCTGGGATGTGGAACTTGAAATAATTATTCTTGGACGAAGAAGCCACATAGCCCTAGTTAATAGGGGCATAGCGGGGGTTACCGGTGCCCAGGGCTCGCTAAGTGTTGCCCCCCCCCCCCCCCGGTGTAGCGGTCAGTCCCTTCACTGGCCAGCATCTAATCAAGGGAGCCTCTCCTTGCAAACCAGCCCCAACCTGGGAGCATGGATAAGGCAGTGAAACACAAAGGCAGGAGCACTGCTGTGTTGCTCTGAGCATGGCTCTGGCAGTGCCTTCCTGCCTGCCTTCCTCCCTCCTTGGTGGGTGGCAGTGGCAGCACCCTCCCACTCGCTCCCCCCGGCTGGTCCAGGGGCTGGTCCAGGGGCGGGGCAAAAGCGGATGTCCCTTCACCAGCCATGTGGTGAAAGCGCTGCCGCTACCCCAACCCCAAAGGTCCTGCCCTGGCACCGCTTACCTCCCTGCAGCCCCAGCCTTGATGAAGGAGCCTGCCATGGGGGCGTCTCATTGCATCCCCTCGGAAATTTGTGCCCAGGGCCACGGCCCACTGCCCCCCACGCTACGCCACTGCTAGTTAACCACACTTTGGGAAAGCCCTTTGCCAGTTTGCAAAGGAAACAGTAGTAACTTTGCACCAACTCAATGGGCAATGAGCAGTCGGTGTATATTTTTTTGGCCTGCCCATTTGCCAGGGGTCGTCAGTGTGGTTCCCCTGCTAGATGTTGCTGAGCTCCCATCAGTCTCTGCCAGCGTGGCCAATGAATGGGCAGGGGGCCATGGGGAGTTTTAACGCAGCAAAAACTTGGACTGCACCACCGTTGATGACCCAGCACCAGCTAGATCTCCCTGCTTGCAGCTGGATCACCGGAGATACTTACCAACATCGTATATGTTTTTATTAGCTGCTGACAAGGCTGGTGTGTCAGAATAGGATGCGTCCCGGTGAACGGGAGATTTCATTTCCACATAGCTGCTCTCGGAATGTTTGCATGCCATGATGGGGGGGTCTTTGATGGTGGCGTAGGGGTTTTCGCTGCTGTTGAGGGAACAGGTGCTGGAGCTGCAGGCAGATCCCTTCATATAGTCTGCAAGACAAGAGCCGGGCCGGCCTCTTAGCACACATGCGACCGGACCTCGAGGAGAAGGGGGAGGGGAGGAGGGGGTTTCTAGCCCTCAGAGCGCACAGCACAGGGACCCACCAGTTACGCCTCAGGGATCTCCGAACCACTGTCTCTCCAAACCATCTGCTCATCCAAACTCATTCGCAAGTCATTTCCTGAACATTCAGTAGGAAAGAAAACAGCCCTTCAGTGCCACGGACTCTGCGGTCAAAAGGGTCTCATTTGCTACATTAAGAACATCAGTTTGTACACACACAACCACCCCATGCCACCATTCCCCACATCCCTCAAAGCAGGGATGGCACAATCCGCGGCCCTCTAGATGTTGTGGGGTACCGTTCCCATAAATCCCTGGCCATTGGCGATGCTGGCTGGGGCTGATGGGAACTGTAGTCCAATAATGCTTGGAGGGCCATGAACCAGCGACGCCTGCCTTAAAGGATAACACTGGTTAAGATCCCCCTTTCCATACCAAGAGATCATGCACAAGTCCCACCCTCCTCCCTGGCAGAGAGAACCATGCTAGCAAGCAAAGTCTTTTGGCATACTGGGTATAATACCTGTTTCAGGGGTGGCACCCAGAAATCCCACACCACATTTAATGCAACGTGGGTTTGTTTGTTTGTTTTAATTGCTTTATAGGGAGAAGTCCAGAATGGCATGATTAGATTTTCATGTTAAAATAGGTTTAGAAGGAAGACTGCTTGCTAGCAGAGAAATTCTGTGGTCTCTACGGGAAGGTAAAATCCAGTTTTCACATTGCTCCCTCTTCTCTCCCCTCCCTCCTCTGCCTTTTTTTCAGACAAACAGCATTTCTTCCCAAAAATGTGAAATAAAACCATTGTTATCTCTGCCTCTCCCTCCCCTCATTGACTTCCCGACTGGGAACGTTGGAAGCTCTGCGGGGCAGGGACCTGACATTTCTGTTTTGCTTGTGCGGTCCTGCAAATGACCATTGACATTATACAAGGCAACATCATTTATAAGGCTGACACCACCATCTCATCGTAATACAGGAAACATTCATCTCAGGTGCGAAGGAGAATGCCTGCTCTGCAATCTTGCAGAGAGCCTCAGACCACCAGGTAAAAAAAAAAAGCTTGGTTGGCTCTATTGTGGATACAAAGAGGGAATCGGATGATGGTCACTTACCTGTCACTTTAAGGATATTAGCTGGGGTTCCCTCCCCGCCTCTCAGATTTCTTAAGGAGCATCCAGAGGAATTATGTCATGTGACCCAAAGTCCACCCCACCCTGGATGGCTCTAACTCTGCCTCTGTGGTCAGAGGCAGTGATGCTACTGAGTACAAGCTGCTAGAAGCCACAGGAGGAGGGGAGAAGGCGCTTGTGCTCAGGTTCTGCTTGCGGGTTTCCCACTGAGGCATCTTGCTCTGAGAGCAGGGCTACCCTTACGTCCTTGTGATCTCTGGGTTTTCTTGCTGAAAATACAGGCATTCCACTGCCACACTTGCTGCCATCTTGATAGCACACTCTCTCTCTCTCTCTCTCTCTCTCTCTCTCTCTCTCTGCTTCTGATGCTATCTGCATTTCTTAACCATCTGCATGCATTTAACACCAGAAGTTATTTTGACCTGGGAGAAATGACCGTCTGAAGGTCACTCAGCAAGCTTTGTGGACGAGTGGGGATTTGAACCTGGCTCTTCCCAATCCTAGTTAGCTACTGCACCCATCACGCAACACATGCAACACACACAGCCTTCTCCAACCTGCCACACTCCAGATGTTTTGGACTACAATTCCCATCAACCCCAGCTGACAGCTGTAGTTCACAACATCTGGAGGAAACCAGGGTGGAGATGGTGGCACTAGGCTGACACAACTTGCCTCACTCTGAAACAGGAATGGGCTGTGAAGGTGAGGAAACCTCATCCATCTCCCTGCTTCCAGCTAAGATCAGCTTCAAGGTGTGAAGGAGGGCAAGAGACAATTCACCAGGGAACTGGTTTGGAGAGTGAGAAAGAATTAAAAGTCTCTCGTGATGGAAAGTACCTGAGTTTTTACAAGGTTGGTGAACGAGCTCCATATTGGATGCTTATGTTCTCTTTTGGGAACAGCCTGCTTTTTTTTTAATGACTGTTACATTTATATCCCACCTTTCCTGCAAGGAGCTCAAGTTGGCATGTTCTTTGCTCAGTAAAACCCTGACAGGCAGCAAAGGGCCCAACAGCCCCAGGGAGCTTTATGACTAAGTAGGGATTGGGGGAAATGTCCTAGTTCAACGGCTACACAACACTGGCTGCCATTTTGACCTGGCTGCGCTTGCCATGGCCTTTGGAAATTACAAAATGCCTCCCGGGTCTCTTTCTGACTTCACTATTCACTGCTTGCTGAGTGATGAATGTTTGCATTTCCTTCCTCACACAGGAATTCACAGGTGAGGTCACATATTTGCATACAGAGTCATAACTTGTATTTGCATTTGCCCTTCTGAGAGCGGGAGCCTCTCGTCCTGATTGGTTAAAGTGCATCTGGCTTCTTCTCTATACATCTTTCAGCGAATGCTGAAGATGCACTTCCACCCTGGCCTTTGACACCTGAGACGTGCATTTTCGGTGCTCATCCTGTGACTGCAGTCTATTTTAACTGTTTTTAGTTCTGAATTTCAAATTGTTGTAACCTGCCCTGGGACCCGCTGGTGAAGGGCTGGTCATAATAACAACAAAAATACTCTGTCTTACCAATAACTAACGGATACACATTTTTTAGAATGTTCCTAACTACCTTAAGACACTTTAAAACTGATTGCTACTGGATTTAATTTTTGTTGGTGCTTTATCATTGCTGAGTCTGCTGCCCTCGGCTCCTTCAGGAGGAAGGGCATGATGTAAACTGAATATATTATTTCTTTCTTATTTATTTATTCATAAGAGAGGCCTATTTATTTATTACAGTTAACAGAGCCTCACAGTGCAAAGCGTCCACTTTACTACTGAATTCATTTCTGGGCTGTTTGGGCCAAAAACAGGGGAGTGCCCTGTGAAATGTAGTGACACCTCCCCAACCACCATCTTACTTTGCCCTGAAATATCTATACATAGAAATTATCGTGTGCAAATTTCATGCAAATTGTACCACGGGCCTTTGCAAGCATACGAATCGTAGAATTGTAGAGATGGAAAGGACCCTGAGGCTCACTGAGTCAAACCCCTGCAACGTAGGAAGCTTTTGCCCAAGGTGTGGCTTGGACCCATGACCCAGAAATTTAAAGTCTCATGCTCAACCGACTGAGCTTCTTTCTTTCTTACTTACCATTATTCAAACCCTCTTTCCCTATTCAAAGTGTTGGTGCTGACCTTTAAAGCCCTAAACGGCCTCGATTCAGTATACCTGAAGGTGCGCCTCCACCCCCATCGTTCTGCCCGGATACTGAGGTCCAGCACCGAGGGCCTTCTGTCAGTTCCCTCGCTGCGAGAAGCCAAGTTACAGGGAACCAGGCAGAGGGCCTTCTCGGTAGTGGCACCTGCCCTGTGGAACATCCTCCCACCAGATGTCAAAGAACTACCAGATTTTTAGAAGACATCTGAAGGCAGCCTTCTTTAGGGAAGCTTTTAATGTTAACAGGCTACTGTATTTTAATACTTTGTTGGAAGCCGCCCAGAGTGGCTGGGGAAACCCAGCCAGATGGGCGGGGTATAAATAATAAATTCTATTCTATTCTATTCTATTATGTAACCCCCTCTGAGAACATAAGAGGTGCTTGCTGGATCAGGCCCATGGCCCATCCAGTCCAGCATCTTGTTCTCACAGTGGCCAACCAGATGCCCCAGTGGCAAGTCCGCAAGCAGGACTGGAGAGCAAAGGCACTCTCTCCTCCCGTGGTTTCCAGCAACTGATATTACTGTGTGCCTGGAGTTAACCAACACTCCTTCTCCCACTTCTCCTTGACTATCACTGCGGCACGGCTTCAATTGTCCATAAACAAGGGGGCTCTTGTACATGGGTTTTAAATGAGAAAAAGGACACACACACGGGGAAATCAGATTTTCCAGGTCCCGTTGCAGTTTTGGCTCCAAACTTCACAATCCCATCTCAAAAGTTATTTCCCTTTTCTTTTTTTTTGGGGGGGGGGAGGGGAGTTAGACACCCTTCAGATTACTATAATGCATTATACATGGGGCTGCCTTTGAAGATTCAGACGCTGCACCTAGTGGAGAATTCAGCTGCCGAATTATGGACCGAGACCAAAAGACCTGAGCTTATTAGCCCAATTGCGGCCTGACTGCATTGGCTACGGATTAGTTTCTGGGGTCACGTCAAAGCTCCAGTTTGGGCCCATAACAGCTTAAATTGTTCAGGACCACAACGCTGTATGGGCTGTCTCTGCCTCAATATGAATCAGCCCAACCCTGTGGTCTCCTTCAGAGCTTTCATCTGAGGGTGGTGGTGGGGGGTGGCGAAGTGCAAATGGGCCTTTTCAGTGGTGGTTCCCCCACAAAGTTCATGAGATGCTCTACCATGGAAACACACCTATTTCCTTCATTATCATTCTTGGTACTAAATTGAGACCTTAATTTACTCAGATCTGGAGGTGGATCCGGATGTGACCCACCCTTCAAGACTGGCTTCTACCTGTCAATCACCTGATAGAATACAATCAGACTTCATAGTTCCCCACAACTATTTGGTTGTTTTCCTAATGCAGAAATTTTAATCACAGCCACTCCTGCTCCTCCTTCTCCCCATCAGTTTTCCCTTGGGCCAGATTAAGAGGCATGTAAACCAGCAAGCAGGTTGCAACGGTTTAAGTGTTGCAAGATTCAGGACAAAGTGGGGAGGGGAAATAGCTGAACTATGGAATGCGATGGCCACCAAGTTGTAAAGCTTTAGGAAGAGGACTGGACAAGTTCACAAAGGACGGTGAATGGCCAGGATGCTTCTGAATACCAGTTGCTGGAAGCCACAGGAGATTAGGGCTCTTGTCTTCATGTTCTGCTCCTTGGTTTCCTACAGGCATCCGGTGGGGCACTGTGAGAAGAGGATGCTGGATCAGAATGGCCATTGGCCTGATCCATCAGGGCTCTTCTTCTTATGCTCTTTTGTTGAGAGGAGGAACAGGTCCAGGGGAACCTTGTCACTGGGCTGGGGGCGTTGCTAATATGACCAACCATGGACTCAGCTACACTAGTAAAGAAACAGCGATTTGAAGGTGCTATAAACATGCAACACCAGATGGCGATAGAGAGCAGAAAATGTTTATATGCCTTTCCCCAAAGGTTTTATTTTATTTTGTTATAATGATCTAATTCCTGACATAAATTTAGTGGTCTCTCCCCCCCCCCCCCCCGCTTTGTGTAGATCCACGCCATGACTATTTCTGGCGCTGGCCCTGATTTTGGTGTTCGGGTCTGAAAGCGTATGATACAGGGACCTTGTTTATTTTCAGCGTATATCTGCCACCCTATAACCCGAGATTGTCTGAGCAGCTTGCAGAGTGAAATTAAAAATATTTCAAAATGGGGATTTTTGCTTCTGCTAGTCAGAGCCTGGCTAGTGCCTGGAGCCCAGTTCTGAGTCGCCTTGAGCACCATGATGGAATATGAGATATAAATGCAGCAAGGAAATAAGCAGCAAAGAAAAGGAAACATTTCTTAAGAGAAGGAAAACCCTCTTCATGCCACCATTTTTGATCCCTGCTCTTTAGCCCTTAAATCCACAAAAGTTCAGTGCAGTGCTCTTATAGTCTAGTCTAGTCTAGTCTAAGGCTCAGGGAAAACATTTATTTCTCGAGCAGATATTTTAACAGCAACCCTCCAAGTAAACCACCAGTCTTTCCATTTTCAGTGTAGGGTGGGGATGGGGAACTTCAGGCCTAGGGGCCAAATATGGCCGCCCAGGCCTCTCTATCTGGCCCTTGGAGCTCTCCCCAGGACACACACTCCTTGAATGCTTTGGCCTGGCTGGAACATGTCCTTGAAACCAGATGCTTTCCAGAGGATGAGTGTGTTGAGCATATGCAGATACTATCCCACCATACAAAGGCAACATTTACATTCGTTCTTCTGCCCAGCTTTGCTTCTGGCTCCGCCCACCACTGGCATGTGGCCCCCGGAATGTTGCTCAGAAGGAATGCGGCCCTCAGGCTGAAGAAGGCCCGCCACCCTTGGGAGTAGGGAAACTGAGGCGCAGGGGACGAGTTGCCTCAAAACCACATGGCAAGTCCACATCAGAGGTGGGCTGTGGACCCACATCTACCAAGTGCTACTGCCATTGGCTTTCCTAAACAGAGAGCTCAGTTCTAATTCGTTTGCCAATGGAGGAAGAAGGCAATAACAGCAGGAATGTGGGGCAGAGATCAACAGGCATGGCAAAGCTCCAAGTCAAAGCTGGGCTGTCGCCAGAGGTCTCAAAAAAGTGCTGGCTTGCCTGCCTGCTTGCAGACCGACTAACAACCACCTTGCAGATGTTGGGGGCTGGCGAGCTCACCTCTCCTGCCTTACCCAAACTGGCCACTATGGGGTCACTTGCCAGCATCAGATACTATACCTTTGAAGCCTTTTTCCATAATGTATGTGTTCTGACGTCTATTCATCCCATAAGCACCTGCACAAAAATAATATACAATGGAAAATGCATAAATAACTTTATGCAAACTGGACTTGTGCAGCAGAAAGATGTGTCTCCTTTGGCTCACTGCGATGCAGAGGCAGGGGAAAGTGAGTGCTTGACCATGGTGGGGGGGAGCCCAATGCTCTCTGCTGGCTGACACAAGGGATTTTTTTTTTGAGGGGGGGGGATAAGAGAGGGAGGGAGAAGTGTGTTGAATCATCTTGCAAAGAGCAAGTGGCATGTGGATGGGAGGGTGTCTGGATCTCTCACCAGAAGTCGCTTTAGCAGAGAAACGAGTTTCTCTTCGCATTTTAATTTTCACTTTCTGAAACAATCCATGGACTGGCCCACAACCACCCTTCAAAATTTTGCAGTTCGCTGGTTTTTGTGTGTGCAAAAATGCACTTTTTTTCTTCTTCAAAGCAATTCCCCCTAATATATGCATGCATATGCACACTTTATCCTAGCATGTGCATTTACATACACATGACTTGGCTGGAGAACTGCAGATTTCGAAGGGTGGGTGAATGACAGTTTCTCATCTTGCTTCCCAAAGTGCAAATTAGGTAAGTTTTACATATGTGAAGTGAGTAGAATTCCTCCCCCCACCCCAAGTCTCAGGGCACTTGGGGAGGAGGATTTTCATCTGGCATGCCACTAACTCCCACTACTGAAAGCAGACCCAGTTTGAGACAATATGCAAGGACTTAATCCAATTTGGGTGCATTTTGAAAAAGGCAGGTTTCTAGGCCTCATGGTGACCAAAGGCATTCTTGAGAACACTTGACCCCTCTGGTGAAATTTCAGAAACCGGGGGGTGAAGAAGCAGTACTAAAAGAGCTTGAAATGTGTCCCTGGTACGAGCATCTTCCCCATTGGAGAGGCTGCAAAAGATTTATTTCGTATGAGACAGGGAGAACAGAGGTTTGTTCTTCCTGCTGTCACTACACCTGTGCGGAGCAGTCAAAGCCATTCTAGAGAGATGTGGAGTGGTCAAGAAGGGTGGCTTCAGTGCTCTGCAGAGCTATGGATCCCTCCCTTACTGGTATCATTAGCTGGATAATTTTTTAAATTTTTTTAAAGTATATGCAAAAATTGCCTGGCATGTAAAATTTGTTCAGGCCACTCTTTGTGGTGCCAACATTCATATGAAAAATCTAGTCCATTAAATTCTTCCAAGCAAAGGGGGAAATGGAGGGTGTTCACATTCAATGGCAAAACTTCTTCTGATTTCAAAGGAGCTGGGCTGCCTCTACCCCATAATCCCGCTACCTCTGCACCTGTTTGCAGATGGAGATAGCATGGATGGGTTTCTATTTTCAATGCACTCTCTTACAGCTGGAAATCCTTGGCAAGGAAATCTCCTCATCAGGAGGAAAGTGGGAAAATCTCCTGCTGGGGACTCAGCTAAATTAGGGAGCGATCTAACACAATGGAGGTATAAATATGCATCTGCAGCACTTACTTTGAAGCCCTCTGTCGCTGGTGGATTTGAAGGTTAGTCCCTTCAAAATGAGATGCCTTATTATATGATGCGACGTGGGGGCATTTTGCAAGCCACTTAAAATTTGCACAGATTCAACGAGGCGGATGGGAAATTCCCCCCCACCCTGGCCTGGCTTTGAGGACACCCGTCTGCAGCTGACATTCAAATGTTTCCCTTGCAAAATCTGGGGTGGTAACAACA